TATATAATATATATATATATATATATATATATATATATATATATATATATATATATATATATAATAGCTGTAGTCCGCAGAGTGTTCTCCATGTACACTCCCTATTATTAGAAGCTACGCGAATCGATATTTATTGCAACGTATTGCGATCAGTCGATTCTTCGATATTGAACCGCATCGCCAAGGCCGGGAAAGTGGCCAATTGTCTGTTGCAAGCCATATTTGTTCAGCTTAACCTACTTGAAGTCCGTCTGGAATGATGGCAGCCCTTCGATGTCGAGCGTTACGTTGCCCGTTGCTTCGAAACTAACCTCCAGCGAACCTCCTGAAAAACGGACGCCCTTATTTCTCCATTGTTTCTCAAACTTTTCGCTCGCTATCGTCGCGCGTAAGAATCAAGGAATCCTCGATCGCGATCGTTGCTCGATCTTGTTTATTATGACAAATAATAAAATCTCTTCGATATTGCAGAGTTCTTGTTCGCGACCGTCACCGGCAAGGACCAAAGTTGTGTCAAGGTTACGTCAAGGTTACATCAAGGTTCGACACAGCCATATTCGAACAGTTACTTGATTTAGACTGTTACGAAAAATAATACTTGTCTCTTAAACGTTGCAGACTTCACGAGCAGGGACCAAGAAATCGTCAATTCGACTTCGAAGCTTCATCGTAAACAATTTGCGACAACCACATACGGTTTTTTAGGAAAAATCATGGACTTCGTGTTATGAAAAAAACAATGCTTGTTTCTCAAATTCCGAAATCTTTATGCTTGCAAGCACAATCAAGCTAGCCAAAGAAGAGGAAGATTTCTGTACAGCCGAGTCTACTGATACATTACTAGACTGCGGATGTTGTGCATTTATGCAGAGAATGTGTAGATCAAACGCAAAATAGCGAAAACGTTTATATGTTACATTTATTAAGTAAACATCTATGTGGTAGGGGGACCGGAAAGTTATGTCGTTTGTTTACATTAAATTCAAACAGATAAATATGCGCAGAAACGACATTACTTTCCGGCCCCCCTAATAGCTTCTTCATCTTGCAGTTAATGAAGACAAGTACTATTTCGCATAAATATCCGCAGTCTACGAACGAAAGATCGAAGCTCCGATTGCTTTTGTCCTTCGCTCCGGAGCCGATGACATCTCCGGGTGTCACGGCTTTCCACAGGGAACCTGGATCGCCTCGCTCGATCGTCTTGTGCTCTCGCTTTCAACCCCTCCACGGCGCCTCGACGTCTTGTTATCTTTTCGCATAATTTACCACGGTCCCCGTCGACCGGGTTTTCCCCGTGCGCGTAGCTTCGGCCGCTGAATTTAAGGCTTCTGGCGGTTTCGTAGTTCGGCTCGGATTACCTCGTTCCTGCCCGATTATTTCCCGGCGGGAGTCTCCTTGCGGGAAACAAAGCTAACGAGGTAACGCGTCGATTGCCGGCTCGTTAAAAATCACCGGACACGATCGACCTCGGGGCAGACGCGATCATTATCTCCTGATGCGCTGCGCGACACGATCGACGAACATCCTTCGCGGTTTCCTTCGTTTTTCTTCACCGCGCATTTTTCCGCTCTCTTATACACGAAGCTTGTATTTCTTTTTATATCCTAAACTCGGATAGGGAAGTCTCTGCTGTAACAAGTAGTTTGCGGATTTTATACGGAAGAGCGAGGATGCAAGAAAAATGTAAGAACATCGTTACTTTGTTTTCACTTCGTTAAAATGGTGTTCGCGATTGATGAGACAACTTTTTATTTTGCAGAATGATCCACAGTCTAATAGGCAAGGTAACCCGATCCCGATATATCCTGGCGAGGATCTGAAGAAACAAAATCTTCTTCGAGGAAGAAGACAGATTCGAATCGGTTGGATCGTCGTGGATCGATAATATTCATTATACATCCCAGCGAACACTTGGATTGGAATGTTCGTGCCGCGAAGCATGGGTCCAGGGACCGAGAGAAACGGTCGTCGCGATGACTCCGCGTTTTGTGGTTTCGTCGAATTTCTATCTTGCGGCTTCAATTTCTAAACGAGCCCCATCGGCGCGCGAGGAACAACAAATACTGCGATTAAATAAGACGAGGCGTTCCGCGGCTCCATTTCCGATTCCGTTGCTGCGTCGATGCTGTCCTGGCCCGGACAGGGGCGTCTCGACGGAGACGAGGCACGATTCGCAGGCATCCCGCGACCGTGCAATCCGGCCAACGATCACTTTCGCCGATCGTCGTCGACGGGCGAGCTGCTCGTGACTTGCATAACCTCCTGCAAGGCTGTTACACGACATTACACTTTCTGTTCGTTTCCTTGGCAGTCGGAATTACTCTCATTCCGGCCCACTTGCCCGCTCTTTCAGACGCGGATGACGCGAGACTTCCCACCATTTCGCGCAACCTGTCTCGTCGCTGGCCAATCTGTCCTCCGGCAACGATCGCCGGGCCACGTTGCTCAACTTCTGCACCGTGATCTCGTTGATCTCGACGTTCAACTTCTGACGCACGGATCGTTACGTTGACGTGGTCTCGGCGTTTCTTCAGCCTTGCTGTCTTCGTTACTTTCTTCGGACGAACGTACCCTAGTTTCATTCGCCTCTGATCCTTCAGATATAGCAGAAAATAATGCTACACTGTGTCGTTTATAATTTTTCACGATATTTTTCAGTATCGCGAGTCGCACACCGAAGGGGATGATGCGTCTAAAACGGTCTCTTCTTTTTATTATACAAGCTTTAGACCAGATTTCCACAGTCGAGTCCCTTGCGATCGTACATTCTTCAAAATATGATACAAACGGAAGAAACGAAAAGATGAAATTTTCTATATATGAGCCGTTTATTTTGAAAGTGGCATAAGTCACTTTGTTTTTAAGTCGATATATTTAAGGGTTTGCGTTTTAACACATTTAAAAATATGGATGCTAACTTTCGAGAAGATTTACTTGTATTTGTTATCTCAGGATACTGATATTTTTCTCAGTATAAATAATTTCGTATAAACATTAAAAAATCACCACTTTTCATTACGGTAAAGTGACTTGTGTGCCACTTTCAAAATATATAAACGGCTCATTTACTTGTGTATATTATACTTCTACATTTATAGCTGATATTACACAGTTGTGTTTTTAGGAACATTCTGCAAGCTGATTCCACGAGACTTCATCTCGCGGCGTTCGTCCATCTTCATCCAACGGTTTGGCGCATCTTTCCATGAAATCGCAGTTCAAAACCGTTACGGCTGACAGGACATGTTCACACGGTGATTCACACGTCGAAACGTCAAGAAATCGTTAGCTCCTCGTCCAACGGTAACAACGACAAATGAAATGTCGTTCTAGTAATCCTCGTGCAGGCCGACGTTTTACGACGTTGCGTCGCACATTGCCGGGCTCCGTTTGCGTTTGTTCGCCGCCGAGGAAGTGCTTACCGTTTACTCTTCGTTAGGATTGCAAATATCGCCGACGCGCAATTCAAATATAATTGAACATTCGACATTGTTGCGTTTACTCGATTCCGAAATCTGCGACTGGATCCTTCGCGGAACTGATTTGCAATCCCGACGTGTTTGTAAATACACGCGCAGGAGCCCGGCGCAGCAGGAAGAGGATTGCGCGGTAGGAAACAAGTTTCCGACCGGGGAATCCTATGTGCATTTGTGTCACGCTGTGCTCGATCTTTTCAGCAATATTTACAAACGAAAGCGTAATGTCTCCCTTACTGACGCTCAGATTGTGCAGAAAAGTGGATAATTTGGGAAGAAGAGATACGATTATTCGAGCCTTGCGGCTGATTTTTATAGCTGTTGAGAATTCGTAACTGTAACAATGAACCGCAAGGATCGAATAACTGTACCATCTCTACCTAAATTGTCCATTTTCGTAGACGATCCGAGCGTCAATTCGAGAGACATTACTGTAATTCTTTTTGCGGGTCGACGAAATCGAAAATGAAAATATTCGATGACGTATAGGTGAACAAATGTTAATACAGCAGAGCCTCGATTAACCGAACTTTGTTAGATTTTTTATTATTCCAAGTGATAACAATTAGACTATGGAAAGACCTCGATTAAATCTCGACTTATTCGTTTACTGTCCCGTTAATAATTTATCGAAAATAAGAAGAAACGAGCTGTCGATTTTGAATTCGGATAATCGAAGTTCTACCGTGCTGTGAAAGTGAAATTTCGCACAGTCCAAATCCGTGAACGATTAATTTGATATTCCAGTGATCTCCCTCGAGGTCGGCTTCTTCGAAATCGCACGGTCATCGAGGCATCGGACCGCGATAACGTCGCTCCGGTTTTCCCGAAGAAAGGATAAAGAAGAGGAAAAGCGAAGAGGAGGACGTGGAGCGTGGTGGAACCGCGACACTCGGTCAGATCCGAACCGTGCCAAGGGATTACGCAACAGGAACGGCAGGTTACCGTCTCCGAATTGTCCGAGAGAGCGGATGAACGGTGGCGCGTAACAACAACGATACTTTCACAGCGGAGGGTTCAAGGTTCTTGGATCGCTTTCATCCGACGTGGTCGAACGAATGCTGCCTCGAGCCCGAATCTTTCGTTGCAACCGTGACACCGCCGATTTCGCGTTCGCCTCATGGCCGATTTCTATCGAACCCCTTGTTGTCGCCAGTCGAGAAATCCGCGCGAGGTCTTTCCTCTTCGAATCGATCAGCGAAAAGAGCATCGCGAAAACAAATTCTATATAGACCGAGTCCATTTTTTCTTTTTCAGTAGCAAATAAAAATATATAAGTTAAAAATAAATAAGGTTACACTAAATTAATCGCAAACTACGCGATATCTCGTTCAAAAAGAAAACAAAATAGACTCGGTTTACTTTAAAGATAAACTTATAGGGCTGCGAATGATCTCGGTAGCTCGACGGGTAGAAGATTCGTCATTGTGTCGCGAATTCCGTGGGGGATTATTCGAGGGCCCGGACTCGCGGCACGCCGCGCCAGTCTCGCACGAGAACAAACATTTCTAGCTGTGATTTTCCAGGAAGTCGTTTAATGGTCCACAGACGAACGTGCGTCTGCGAAAACGTAGAATGACGCCGCGGCTCATTGCGTTTAAATAAAATGTTTTTACTCGTCGCCATGGGTAAACGAGAATCCAATTAACACCGGCGCGCGCCTGATAAGTAACGCCTGAAAGCAGGCTGTTCGGTTCTCCGGGAAAATACAATGTCCACAATGGCTGCTTAAAGAACTTTACATTTGCTCTCTCTCTCTCTCTCTCTCTCTCTCTCTCTCTCTCTCTCTCTCTCTCTCTTCCGTTTCGAAAACGAGCAAAACAATTTTCTGCCCACGTTCACTTTCAAATTGTTGAATTAAACATTTATTCGCGTCCCTCACTTCTATTTTTCCCTGCAGCACAGCCCGAACGAATGCGGTTTCCGCAAATATAGACATCATATGAGCGCGTGTAACGCCGGTAAATCATAATTAACCTTTGGTCGATTACGATATTCGTAGTTAATATCGCGGCATCATTAAATCGTTTTAATAGACGACATCACGTGGACACCGTTCGCGTCGCATTCTCAAATCCCTATCGAATTAGCATAGAAACGTGGCAGTGTGAAATAATATTAGCATAACACGTGGTGTGGCCGGCGGGGGGGGGGGGAGGGCCGGCAGCTATTCTTACGGAAGATTCGATGCGATCGTTTGAATAGTTTTGATCCGTGGAAACGGGAATTCGCCTCTAAATCCACGTCAATTTCAGATACAAATTTCATTAAATTTTCGATTTTACGACGAACAGTTTAAATACAGCGCTGTAAAGTCGCCGAAAGAATTTCAAGATGTCGTTGTTTTAGACTTGTTGCAATATCGTTGGAAGAGGAAAGAGATCTTGTCATTTACAATTACCACTCGAAGATCCGTATAAGTAGTTCAATCGATTACGCTCGGCTACGTTTAAACACCTGCGGTTGCCTGCGATGAAATCGTTAACGATGTTCATTTTTTTCGAAGCTGTTGATCGATGTTCGCTCCGTCTTGTACGACAGATCCGCTGTGTATTTATCTTAGACGCGAGCGAACGCAAAAACTTCGTGTTCGACGATCTCGAGTAGGCTCTAATGAATACGTCCGTGCAGGTTTTATCGTTGCTACGCGTGTATTCCGTTCGATCGGCCTAGCTGTCCACGAGAAAACGAGTAACACGGATCGCCTCGGGAGGGAATGCTGTCTTCAGAGCCAAAGTGCTGCTGCTGTTCTCCTCATTTTTTACGCGTGCGCGAAAGATGCCTGAAAGACCGTCTTTTTAACGCCGTGCAAAGAGACTTCAACGTGGTTAAACATGCATTTAAGGACGCAGATATTTGTGTAGATCGCGATCATTTCCGAGGCGTTCTTCTTTCTGTTCTCATGCCTTCCGGGCGCTCTCTCGACGAAGCGCATTCAATTAACGCTGGAACTATCGAGCTCTAAACGCGGCTATAATGTATATTGTTTTATAACAACGACAACATTCGACTTGTTTAAACTTTCCACGATTCTTTTTTATTATAATATCTTCATTGTATATAATATAGAATATATATTATAATATAGTATATATTATAATATAATATATTATATATTATAAAATATAATATATAACGCGGATTTCACGCGATCGCAATAAAAATAGATAAATAAAACTCAGCGCCGCGAAGAAGCTAGAAGAAGAAGTAGAAGTAAAATACTGTTGCATTACTTTCACCATATTAACAACACATTTTTATCTAGCTTCTGTTTTATATAATCGACGAGGAACATTTTTACGTCTCGCAAAGATTCGCTTTTTCGATAATACGAAGAATTTACGATGTCGAGTAAATATTTGATACGATTGTTACGTCTTACGAAACAGGACATTTATTTTGTTAGTCGTTTTCGAGGCTCGGTAGGCGTAGCGTTAAACAATTACGCAACGAAAATTTCTTCGATCAATAATTATTAAGTAAGCATTGTTGTGAACAGTGATCCGTCAAAATCGTCGGCGTTTCGGTGACGCAATCGAAGTCGCCGGTGCATCGCATCGGAATACAATGTGTTATGAATTATCGTGCGCCGGCCGTTCGTTGCATTCTCTTTCCCTCCCCCGGGCTCCGCCGCTGAATCGCTGAATCGCGTTGCGTATCCGTTGACGCAAACGCGTCGTTGCTGCCTCTGTTCGCGTTCCCCTTTTCTGTCCTCCGTTCGCCATTAACGCGCCGGCAAAACCGAAACACGAGCGCGCATGCACGCACAAACGAACGAACGATCCTCGCGGAAAATCGCGTCGTTCTCGCCGCGACGCGCGGGTCCAGGCCGAAAGAAGACGACAGCTTGCGAGTAACGATCGAATTTTTCTCGTTAAGAAACAATTTCCAAGATACGGACAATTATTTCTTTCTGTACAAAGAGCTCGGACAAATTGTTCCCTCTCTTTTCTATAAAAAAAAAGGAGTCGAGACCACCTCGATTATTTGTTCATCGCCGTATATTTTTCGTACGATAATGTTACGGCGGGCAACGAGACGAGTTCGACGATCCGTATGACATATTATGCGTTGAAATTGTACGCTAAAATAACCGCGAACAGCTAATTCATCGATTGGGACCACTGTGCGCCGCGACGCGACGCGACGCGGCCCGGTTTCCTCCACGTGCACGCCGCGTGACACAACCGAACTGAAATTTTTGTCGGGTTTGCTCCTTATCCAACGCGTTGGTCCCGGTTGATTAAACGCGCGATCGTTACATTCCGAGATCCACTAATTATGCTGGCGTGAAGTTTTCCACTGGCCGCGCGGAACGGACGTCACCGCCTCGTTTCGCATTCATGTTTGTTTTCCATGGAATTCTACCGGGCCTGTCGCCTGCTTTCGGCGCGCTTCCGACGGCCGCCCGAGGCCGTCGGTCATCTGCATTCACCGTAGGATACCGTGAACCACGATGAACTCTTTCGGTCCTTAGTCCCCGGCTGTCTAGGGGCAAAGAGCGTCCGCGTATTCAGGGTTTCGCGCCGATGACGATGCAGAAAAAAAAAGAAGCTGCGAGCAGTCGCTCCGATTGTGTGTACTTCGTACCATCGGATTATTCTTTATCTTGGGTGTGTGTACGCTTTTCTCAAAATATTGGAACTCCGAGGGCACGAATTTCATTTAAAAAGCGTGACGCGAAGAAACCATGCGTGTGCGTATATTACTGCGGTCGTGTATCTATTACTGCGCGTCGAATACTGCGGACGTTCCGATTACTGTGTGTCAAGGTTGACGTAACCCATTTTCTTTTAAATGTACACACACAGCTACAATTCCTAGGATCAAGATGTTCTCGCTGTAGCATTTTAGAAATTAGGTATAGCTGAAGTGTAGGTGAAGGCACGCGGTTCGGTAAAGCGTTGCAGTAATGTACACACGTAGTAAAAAGAACTGCGCGCCGAATACGCAGGGGACAGATGACAGTGACAGTGTAAGCGAAGGTACGCGATTCGATGAATGAATTAAAACTGTGATTGCTGCTAACTTGTGTGTCATAAATTATATAATATAAGATAAGTAATATAATATATTATATAATATAATATATTATTATATAATAAAAAATATAAATTATATATATATATATATATATATATATATATATATATATCTTATCTTATATAATATCTTATAGCATATAAATTATATAATATAAGATATTAAACGTATACAAAATTATGAGACTAATTTTTAGAAGATTGTACACTGTAAAACGTTAGATTTTAATACTTTTACAAAATACCGCAGTATTTGGGCCGTCCGCAGTAATATACCCACGCTTACCCTAGAATAACAAGGGGGGGGGGAGAAAAAAGCTAACGATTCCTAAGCATTGTACAGAGAGAGAGTTTGTTCACATCGGTTGCATCATATCGGCATATCATATTCTGGCGAGGATTATGATATGAATACGTATTCGGGTCATCGGCGTTCCCAGCGAATCGATCGAGCGGGAGAACAATTACGTTAGGGACGAAAATGTGAAGAAGCTGTTGAAAATTGCCATCGATCGACGGATTCTCGAGAAACCGTTTCGGCGGAGACGTCGACGCAGGTTCGAAGGGACGCGAAGGTATTAACGTCCTCGTGCGACAACGACGACGCAATACAGCGGAAGCAACCGGACGTACGCGTCGGACAGATTTCTTGTTATTCGATCGTATCCGCAACGTATAGCTGTTAAATACACGGTTACTAATGTCAATTAACACTATGACCTTTTTTTAATCGGCGAACTCTTTTTGTTCGACGATTGTTTTTCATCGGTGTGACGCACTTCAAACAACTCGGAAACGTTGCAACGTGCTACTTTTTTTTTTAGCGACGCGACGATCCCGGGGACAGAAAACTACTGTCAACGTCGCGGACTCCACCCGATCGATTTCTGCACCCGCCGCTCCTTTATTCGATCGCGATCGCGAAGCTGCTGCGACGGGAACTGAGCCGTTTATTTTGAAAGAGTGGCATAAGCCACTTTTTCAAAAAAAATCGAGTTAATGGTAACGCTAATTACAATCGAACTGTATCTTTTCATTTAAAAACAAAAAAAAAATAGTGACTTATGCCACTTTCAAAATAAACGGCTCAACTATGCTCGCGACTGTAACTGAAAATTTACACTTTATACACTCGGTCAATTTTCTACCTATTATAATTAGCGTCGTCGTTGCACATGTTTGCTAATTATAGGTAGAAAATTGACCGAGTGTACAAAGTGTAAATTTTCAGTTACAGCTGCGAGCATAGTTGAGCCGTTTATTTTGAAAGTGGCATAAGTCACTATTTTTTTTAAATGAAAAGATACCGTTCGATTGTAATTAGTGTCACCGTTAACTCGATTTTTTTTGAAAAAGTGACTTATGCTACTTTCAAAATAAACGGCACAGTTGCAAGAGATTTTATGTTCGCCCCTAATCCCGGTTCTCAGAACAGTGGTCTCTAGAAAGTGCCGTTTCATCGTACGCCGGCCAGAAGGGGCTCTAACGAAACAGCATTGGACAGCGTGCGTCACTGTAATTGACCGCAAACAATGGCATCCTTGGTCCCCCGGTTTCAGCATACGGTCGGAGGTTGCGCTAATGGCGGCCGGGCTCCTTCGGACCCTCGATTACGAATTCTGGTTCCGCGCTGCCCCGAGCCGGCGTATCGTAATCACCGGGTAAAAGCACGATCTATCTGTCGTAATACATTAGCACGTAGAACGCATGCATTAGCGTGGCGTATGCAGTTTATCCGGAGCCTCCTTTATGTCGCGTGGCCCCACGACTTTCACCGGCCGGGCCGCCACTTTCACCGATGAAAATTAGTGCCGTCGCTGGAACGGTTCGGTTCGGTTCGATTCGGTTGGGTTCGGTTCGGCTCGTCCGCGGGACAGATCGGCTCCGTTGGGACCGTAGGACCCGACGGCCAAGGGGACCGTTCCTCTCCCATCGTCGTTTTTTCAAAGTTACGTCAGCGACCAGTTTCGCTGGCTAATACGTTAATTGCCACGTTGCCTGGCCGACCAGCGACGGCCGAGGACGTCGAAAAGAGGACCGAATGATCGATCGGATAACTGTTATTGAGTAATATCGTTTCAGTCGAGCTAAACAATTAACAGTTCACCAATTGCCGATGTAATTACCTGAACACGAATAAAAGTCTTTTATTAAATAATTAACGGTGGTCTTTAATGCTCGGAGGAATTTTCTGTGTCTGCCATAAAAGGATATTTATTGTCTCAAATTGTATATAGAAAATTGAATAGTTACAGCGATGCACGATTCTTGCAGATACGTCTGCAGAAAATAGTATAAATTCTGCCAATGTCGGGGTGAAAAGATATTTCGAGGGGGCAGAAATATTCAGGAGAGTCTACTGCATTTTTATCGTACGGAATAGCTTTGTTTATTATCATAAATATAGAGAACAGATGATTTGTGCCGTATTCGTCGTAAGGTACGATGTAAAATCCGGCACGAATCATTCGCTCTGGCAAATATCCGCCTGTCCCGCCATTAGGACAGGTAGCGCCTCTTGTGGAGAAAAGGTGAAGCTTCGAAGGGGTCCGTACAGCGCCAATTAGTCCGGTGGCAAAACGCTCAAACTTTTAGCCAAACAGTGGCGCCTCTTGCGGCAGAAGCTGGAAGCTCCTTTCGAGGTCCGTACAGCGCCAATTAGGCCAGTGGCAAAACGCTCAAACTTTTAGCCAAACAGTGGCGCCTCTTGCGGCAGAAGCTGGAAGCTCCTTTCGAGGTCCGTACAGCGCCAATTAGGCCAGTGGCAAAACGCTCAAACTTTTAGCCAAACAGTGGCGCCTCTTGCGGCAGAAGCTGGAAGCTCCTTTCGAGGTCCGTACAGCGCCAATTAGGCCAGTGGCAAAACGCTCAAACTTTTAGCCAAACAGTGGCGCCTCTTGCGGCAGAAGCTGGAAGCTCCTTTCGAGGTCCGTACAGCGCCAATTAGGCCAGTGGCAAAACGCTCAAACTTTTAGCCAAACAGTGGCGCCTCTTGCGGCAGAAGCTGGAAGCTCCTTTCGAGGTCCGTACAGCGCCAATTAGGCCAGTGGCAAAACGCTCAAACTTTTAGCCAAACAGTGGCGCCTCTTGCGGCAGAAGCTGGAAGCTCCTTTCGAGGTCCGTACAGCGCCAATTAGGCCAGTGGCAAAACGCTCAAACTTTTAGCCAAACAGTGGCGCCTCTTGCGGCAGAAGCTGGAAGCTCCTTTCGAGGTCCGTACAGCGCCAATTAGGCCAGTGGCAAAACGCTCAAACTTTTAGCCAAACAGTGGCGCCTCTTGCGGCAGAAGCTGGAAGCTCCTTTCGAGGTCCGTACAGCGCCAATTAGGCCAGTGGCAAAACGCTCAAACTGTTAGCCAAAATTACTGACGGTCGATTTTGGCTAACAGTTTGAGCATTCTTCCGCTGGTGCAATTGGCGCTGTACGGACCTCGAAACGAGCTTCGGACTTTTGCCGCATGAGGCGCCATATGTTCTCTCTAATGCGCTGTTGATTTTAAATTATCTCCTATACGATAAGCGACACGAATCATTTGTTCCGGGATTTGATATTAGAATACGAAGAGGAGAATTGTTTATAATTAGTTAAATATAACTCGAATATGCGGAAAATTATGACAGACATGTTTCTAGGGATAAAAATGATAGATCTCGAGCAACTATTAAATCAGGGATGGTTTAATTAAACTTATCTTTAGACTATAATAAATTATAGTCTAAAATATAGTATATAGTATATTATTATATTATATATAAATATAATATATTTAATCATTATAAAAAAGGATTGGACAAAATTGGGTGAAATGGAATCGGTACAGACGAAGAATACGAAGGTCGTTGTATGTAGAAATTTTATATTTCTTAGAACTGCTACGACTAACAACAAACCGTATATTCATTCGAATGTTTTCACTGATATTCGTCATTCGACAGTACCGGTTAGGGTCAAGCACATTCACCGTGATTTTCAAAATCCCAATCCCCTTCTTCTTATCGATATAACCATGTTAGCAGCGGTTGATCGCGTGTTTAAATAGTTTAATCCGCAACGAAGAGGATCGCAATTGAAAGGATCGTCCTGTCACTTTTGTTTAATAGGCTCGCAACATTTTACCGATGCACTCACAATTCGTAACGAAAGAAATCCACACAATGAGAACGTGTCGGTGGTGGCGTACAGTATGAAGCCAATGGTAAAAAATTTTCTTTATGTTCACGTTCTTATTTCACGTTCTAACACCTAGCTTATCTATTAAATTAACGTTAGTTGAATCGTCGGTAATCGAGCATTGTTCTTCATATGACTAAAGTCTCCAGTCTAGAGTCACACAATGGAGAGAGGCACTGTCCTAATTGAAACAACTGAAACATTATTTCGCCTCCTGAATATATAAACTTTCTTCTCCGTTTCAAGACCGTTCGTTTTAAATCACGTACGTTCCAGGTTTGTTCGCGTTTCCAAAATTGCAATGAATCATTGACATTCGCTGGCGCTGCGGAATGTTAATATATATTTGCAAAAAGGATTAGACGTTCGCGTTTCTATGCTCGCACAGTTCCAGGTTTTCATCTCAATGTACGAATTGATGCGCACAAAAGTAATATCCAGCAGCATTGAGCAATGTTACGTAGTCGGTGGCTTTAAGTAAAATAGTGAATCTAGACTTGCGTAATTGAAATCTGACTTTTATATAGTACGAATTTGTGACTCATGGGACGAGCAATATATGACTGAATAATAATTGGCGAACAGTTCGTTTTCAAGGATGGCGTGCAAGCCATCGCAGGACTCGACTTTGGACACGCGTGCTGAACGAATAAATTAAAATAGAAAGAGAGAGAGAGAGAAAGTGAGATATTGCAATGGTTCAGAAAAATACTTGACGATTTGACGAACAAAAACGTTTCTTATTCGCTTTGTTAATTTTAATGTAATATTAATAATCGTTGATAAAATTTTCATTTAAGAGCCGCGTTTGCGCGTGATTATTAAATAGTAAATAATTAAAAGTATCAAGGGAAGAAGAGTCCTACTTTGTGAAGAGCAGCAGGCATCACTCTGTACGCTCTTATTTGTTTAATCCCACGATATAGACGTTTTACACTAAAATTGTGCTTTAGTCTATCTTCACAGTGGAATAAATTTTTCGTACAAATGCATTAGTACCGACATAGCCGACTGTTCCGCACATTATACCCAAGGCAAGACTGAATAATGCCATGTAACCGAAGTAAAATGCCGTCTGGAAAAGACCGTACATTCTGAAAGTGAAAAGCACGATGTAATTAGACTTTTATGAAATTGCGCTGGCCGCTCTACGATTAAAGATTATCCATATCATAGAAACATACTTAGTCTTGAAGAAGAAATAATAAAAGGAGTAAATGTAGACATATCCAGCAGTCGAAGCTGCAGCTAAGAAACTTGTCCACTGCCTGCAAGATAATATGTTGGGAGATGAGACTTGTTGCCGTAGGTCACGAGGAATAAATAATCAAACGATTCTTACCATCGATAGTCTTCAGCGTTCAGCAGGAAGTATGTACATACAATAGTAACACAGACGGTTACTATCATTAGAATAACGAATACTAGTAACATAAAACCATAGACATAATAGATTTTATATGCCCAGAATGAGGTAAAAATGAAATACCTGAAAGAACGCATTGTTTCGATTAGTTCGAGTAATCGTTTCAGTACGCGAATTACGGAACATACATTTCAATGAATATCGATCCGAAAGGTAAAATACCGCCAAGCATTATAATAACTAGCGGTTCCATAAACCATTTCTTTTCTGGAATAGGTCGTGGCACAGCGTTGATCCTACATGGCGCGTCCGGTGTTCCAGCTAGATTACGGCCTAAGATGGTTCCAACCAGCGTTAGGGGTAATATAACAAATATGCAGATACACGTGACTGCCACCTGAATAAAGGAGAATTAAATAAAATTGAAATATAAATTCAGAGATTCCAGATATCTTACCATAGATCCGAAAGGTATCGCGCGGCTGGCGTGATAATACATGGCAATAAAATTGATAAAGAATGCAGTGCCACAAACGATAAGGGGTAACATAAAGGCACTGAGAATCATCTGTTTGATCCAAATTCGTCCACCCATGCGAGCGTACAAACCGCCACCGGCATATCCGTTTATGGGCGATGTAGCAGCGTATACAAAAATTGCTGTAGATAACATTGATCCTCTTTCAGTGTAAAGCTCTCCAAGAATAGCAAAAATGATAACGCTAAGTACAACAACCGTGACCTAAAACCAAATAGGGTGTGTCATTCCACAGATTCGTCCGATTTAAGATATTTAATTAGCAATGCAATTACCTGATAGCCTGCGCCTATCAAAGCAGAGAAAAGCATGGCATGACTAGCTGGTCTAAATACATCCCCGTGAACCTGTTTCCAACCGTATTCATCTCCCAGATCTCTTTCCATGTCATCCATTTCTTCGTCCCTACTATACCTAGCGTAATCTTTCCTTAATGTACGCATTAGAATCATCGACACAAGCCCAACTAGGAAGATTACCATCATAAAGCTATTGAAAATACTGAACCAATGAATCTAAAAGGAGACGTCTGTTAATCAAACTGGAGATTTCGTGTGAGAACTGTTTCACTTCTGATAGAACGTACCCTGTGCTGGAAAAAATTAGGATCCAAGTACTTGTCGAATCTATCTTCAAATTTAACATTGCTCTTCTTCCAGTTAACTTCGTAACTGAAAGAGATAGCTGCACCCTGTTCTATCTTAACTTTATTTTCACTGGTTAAATTTACATCGACTATTTGCTTTCCATTATAGCCTATGTCAAACTTTTTATGTGTCCAGATATGGTAGGATACCTCTCCATTATTTTCTTCTGGATCACCAACAACTCCTAATCAATGTTACGAAAGTGTCAGTTAGTATAACGGCGAATAAATTCAAGCGAAGAAAGAAAAGAAAATTATGAGTTACCCCAGATTGGTAAGTCATCCATGTACATCTTATACCAATACTGATTCTTGACTGCATATATGAATGCTTTCTCGCTCTCCTCGTTCAATTTTATCTGACAGTACTCTGTTTTAACTACATCGGCTGAAAAAAAAGAAACGTCAAACGAATAACGCGCTTGAAATTATTGAAATATTCAACGTTCTCTGATAATATGTAAAATATAGTTTACATTTGAATTCGATCTCAAGGCCACTAAATTTAAGTTCAATGCCTTGTAGTGCCTCGGAAAAAGTTTCGTGGTAATGGTTGATGACATTTTTCATGCCCTTACAAAAATGTAAGGAATAGTACGAATAAGTTTCTTGGCGGTTATGATATGGTCCGACTGTACTCATCCATAGGACTACTTCATCGTTATCCTCGTACTGAAAACACAAACAATGTGAGAACAATCTTTCACATTGAAAAGTATATCGTCCCGAGTAGCATTTCGAGTCAATGAAAGATTGACATTATTTTCTTTCATGAATGACGGGCATCGGACACACAAAATCGTGATTACATATTTACTTATCTTAAAGAGATAACGTACGAACGAATGCCAGCGAAACAGAATGCACGTTGCTTGCCACGAGTATGATAATGGAATGCGCTGGGCGGTCTTGGAACTTTGACATTTCGAAAATATGTCATTTGGAAATACTTACGATGTGATTGTGCTCGTCGGGACGGGCAAAAGGGAGTAGGCTAAGCGCCACAAAGTGGAATAACAATCGTGCCCGACACATGTTCATCGTGACGGGAAGGCGCGCTAGGCGCCTTATGCTATTACAGATAGAAATTCAATGATATCTGACAATAAAAACATCCCATAGATTCACAGAATACGACTAACGTAGCAGAAACACCGGACGGACAGACATCAGTGGACACGTATTAAAATGCAACGATGACACTCGCAGGTAACCGCTAATACGCGCTAGGCTCTTAAGAACGTTTTCCTACATCAGATGGCGCTTCCATCGGAGTTATCTCCCGGAAAACTTATAGAGGGGAAACATCGGTATCTTTCTTTATTAATCAATTTACATTGCACATGCGTTCGTGAGTAGATCCCTGAATGTAGTTTCAGAACCTTCCATCAATCGAGCTCGCCTTTCATTGGTCAGTGTCTTTCATTAATTACTCGTAAGCAAAGCTGCGAATTGCATTCGCGCTAAAAAAGAAAGTTACTTCAAATGACCTCGGGAACCCCTCATTTTCCGATTTTGAGTAACTTTTGTGATACCCTGTATAGCTTGTACACCATGAATAATTTAAGAGTAGAAATTAACATTTATAGATTATTAAATAATTAGCATTCTATAGTATAATATTTGTGTTTTATTCAAATTATACAATATCTCTAATAAATCTAAAATTTATTCTTAAATTGTACAGTTACTTGCTGCTATACATCATTAAATAGTTGGAACAAGATCATAACACAGCGCATATAGCATAAAGAAAGTCTGACATATATTTATTTTTTACAGGTTTTCTCTTATATAGTCGTAATTATTAAAAGATTAGATACTGTTACTGTTATTCTTCTGGCCAAGGCTTTCCTATGCCTTGAGATGCACCCATTCTCGATGGGTCCTGACTCGGATAATGGATGGGAGTTGTGCCTGGAGGGAAAATTGGTGTCGCGGCAGCAGCAGTCATCTGGGGTGGGAACATGAATTGTGGAGCAACTGGTGGTGGAGGTATCATCATTGGTGGTATCATCCCAGGGGTAGTTTGCAGGTTGAAGAAATTGTTTCCCATGCTTTCTGGAGGTGGTGGTAAAGCACCGGGTAAACCTGGTACAGGTTCCAGAATTTCTCTGGTTGCTTCTGCTGCTGATACCGTTTGCCTTCCTTGAGAACGTCCCCATTTGATAGTTAATCTCCTGCCTCCCAATATTAGTTTGTTGAATGTCCTTTCTGCCGCTGCTTCAGCAGCACTCCTTTGCGTGTATTGTATAAAGGCACACTGCTGACGAGGAACCATTGTTACAGAACGTATTTCTCCGTACTGATAAAAATGATCTCGCAGTTGCTTCTCCGTTAAAATATCTCCCAAATTGCCAATGTATAGAGTCGTGATGGATTTGTCCTCCGGTGGATCTAATTTCGGCATCGCAGCAGCTCTGCGCATTAATTTATCAGCAACAGGATCATTCACACCATAGTAACGATCCTTGATATTTTGATCAGCCAGTGGATCATCAGGGTCTGTAGGCTTTTCATGACGGTACGGGCACTCTTCTCCTCTTTTACATTCTCCTTTGACCCAGAAGGAGCAAATATGTGGTCTATTCCTTTTATAATATGGACTTGTTCTGGCTAATTTCATTAGCAAATCACTGGCAGCTGCTGATTTACCAACAGCTCCAGCTGGTGTTGTTGGATCTATTTTACCAATTTCACTATCTATGTTTTGTACATAATATTCTTTGTTTACATCCGACCTAGGAAGATCATCTTTGATTTTAAGCGCAGCATCGCGCACTTGAATGGGTAAACCATATTCTAAGTCAAGTAAACACGTTTGACATACATTTTTTAGACGACTACAAGTTTGACAAACTTCGGTTTTCTTGAAACGCATTCTTGCTCCTGGACACCATCTGAATACTGTAAACGGACGCATACATATCTTGCATTCTTTTCCATACCTTTCCTTCGTCTGGAATAGTAACAAAGACATCGTTGTTACAAATTAAGTACTCCTTAAAAATATAAATAATTGTATAGTTTACAAAGATACACTCACCATACGAATATATGGATTGTCGCCTAAGCAAGTTTGACATAATATCGGAAATTCCTAAAAAAAGAAATGTAGTGTAATTTCAATTCCAATTTTAACGTGTTCATAAGTTTGCACTATGCTACTTACTGCATCTTCCCAATTTTGTCTGTTGTACGTGTTTGTAGTTTTCGACGTAGCCATTTTAAATTAATGTACACCACAGAGATCTCGCATACATAAAGACAACCACAATAAAAAGATTTATACACTTTCAACAACAATTGTGATTAAAATAAATCATTATACAACACAGACACGATCAACGATGTTTATTGTTCAATGGAGGTATGTAGGTGGTAAACTGATGGTAAATCACTACAGTAATACCTCGGGATACGGAACTGTACTGAACGATGTCGAACTCGGAAGCAAAGCGTCCAGAAATATAAGGCTAGGTAAACAGTGCTGCCCTCACAGTTGTAGGCAAAGAGAGGAAGCAGCGAACGAGCAAGAAAGCACGACACGTATACTATTTTACCATACTTGCGATCTATTCGTGCATTCGTTTGCCTGATTATTCCAACAAACTATTCCGTCTATTTATTCAGGTATTGTACAATTATTCGAGTCATAAAGCGCATATTGCAATAAAGATTCTAATTTCTCACTAGACGTAGAAGAAAATTACTATGATTTCTTGTGGTGCCAAACTTTTTTTTGTAGCTTTAAGAACGCATGATTGAGATGGTAGGAGGTATGTACTACATAGAACCGTAACGAATGAAATCGTCAGATCGTCACTTCATCAGGGAGGGAGATGCCTGCAACGGGAAAGAACGGTTAGAGGGAGTCGCGACTCGCGACGCAGAAGGCCGCGGGAGAAACTGTGTGTGCTCGTTGCAAAATGGCCACGTCCGACTCCAAAGCGCCTTTGCGAACCGTAAAAAGGGTCCAATTTGGCATTATTTCTCCCGATGAAATAGTAAGTTCGTTATTTCTAGACAAGTGAACACGTATGGCATAATTTTCATGGCGGCATACGACACTATTTCATAAGTCGACATTTTATGATACCTTATCGCGGTATAAAATGATACAAACAGACGCGCGTGTTCTTTGATGGATCCTCTTTGTTTATGTCGTCCAATATCTATGGGGAAATGCAATATCAATATTATGTGATATATGCAATAATAATTGTTTGTCTCTTGGTTATTCGTTCAATGCGAATGCCGTGCTCATTGCATTACTTATTTCCTTTTACTACCTTTATTGAAATTTCGAATAAACGTGTAAAGAAAGTGAAATCCTTAAATCTACGTTTTCGTGTAATTCACATACAATTCTAATAAAATAAGATGTTGGCGATCTACAATGATGCATAAGACAGTTGTGTTTCTTTACTTTTATCAATGTCCCATTATCCTCTCTATTATATACCTTTTTAGAAATTCTTAATACTTGCAAATTTGAAATATTTCAAATCTGTTTACGTAGTTCCATCAGTTAGTTGTTTTAGTATACTTAAATGCTGCTGTAACATGCTATAATATTCTGAAATGTTTTATGTAGCGTCGGATGTCCGTCACAGATGGCGGCATTCGTTTCCCAGAAACTATGGAGGGCGGTAGGCCCAAGTTGGGTGGACTTATGGACCCGAGGCAAGGTGTTATTGATAGGAACTCTCGGTGTCAGACATGTGCTGGTAACATGACAGAATGTCCTGGGCATTTTGGACACATAGATTTGGCCAAACCAGTCTTTCACGTTGGTTTTATAACGAAAACAATAAAAATATTGAGATGCGTTTGTTTCTATTGCTCCAAATTACTTGTTAGTCCAGTAAGTATCGATTACAATTGTATTTTTAAATTCTCGGTTGTCCATTGTACTACTATTTTTCTCAATGCAGCACAATCCAAAGATCAAAGAAATCGTTATGAAAACTAAAGGTCAACCACGTAAACGGCTTACATTTGTTTACGATCTATGTAAAAGTAAAAATATCTGCGAGGGTGGCGATGAAATGGATATCAACAAAGAAAATCAGGAGCAACCACCCGCAGAGAGAAAACCAGGACATGGAGGTTGTGGTAGATACCAACCTAATCTCAGAAGATCAGGCTTGGACGTTACCGCAGAGTGGAAACATGTAAATGAAGATTCTCAAGAAAAGAAAATTGCGCTCACAGCAGAGAGAGCATGGGAAATATTAAAGCACATTACAGATGAGGAATCATTCATTCTGGGTATGGATCCAAAATTTGCCAGACCAGATTGGATGGTAGTAACTGTTTTACCAGTTCCACCCCTGTCTGTAAGACCAGCAGTTATTATGTATGGTTCAGCAAAGAATCAGGATGATTTAACACACAAACTAGCGGATATCATAAAGGCAAATAACGAATTAATTAGAAATGAGCAAGCCGGAGCAGCTGCGCACGTTATATCCGAAAATATAAAGATGTTACAATTTCATGTAGCAACGTTAGTCGATAATGATATGCCTGGAATGCCTAGAGCAATGCAAAAATCAGGAAAACCGCTTAAGGCCATTAAATCTAGACTGAAAGGTAAAGAAGGGAGAATTAGAGGTAATTTGATGGGTAAACGTGTTGATTTCTCAGCTCGTACCGTCATCACACCAGATCCTAACTTACGGATCGATCAAGTAGGTGTGCCTCGCAGTATCGCCCAGAACTTAACATTCCCAGAAATTGTAACGCCTTTCAACATTGATAAGATGCAAGAGCTTGTCAGGCGTGGAAACTCCCAGTATCCGGGAGCAAAATACATCGTCAGAGACAATGGAGAAAGAATAGATTTGAGATTTCATCCAAAGCCATCCGATCTGCATTTGCAATGCGGCTACAGAGTAGAGCGTCACATTCGCGATGGCGATTTAGTAATCTTCAATCGTCAGCCGACGCTCCACAAAATGAGTATGATGGGGCACAGAGTGAAAGTTCTGCCTTGGAGTACATTCCGTATGAATCTCAGTTGTACGTCACCCTATAACGCCGATTTCGATGGCGACGAGATGAACTTGCACGTACCGCAATCGATGGAGACTCGCGCGGAAGTAGAAAATATTCACGTGACGCCTCGACAAATTATCACTCCCCAGGCGAACAAACCAGTCATGGGTATTGTACAGGATACGCTCACAGCTGTAAGGAAAATGACCAAAAGGGATGTGTTTATTGAAAAGGAACAAATGATGAACATTCTTATGTTCTTGCCCAGTTGGGACGGCAAAATGCCGCAGCCCTGTATATTGAAACCAAAACCTTTATGGACGGGCAAACAGATTTTCTCCTTGATTATACCAGGCAACGTGAACATGATCAGAACTCACAGCACACATCCAGACGAGGAAGACGATGGTCCGTACAAATGGATATCCCCTGGTGACACCAAAGTCATGGTAGAACACGGAGAACTTGTCATGGGTATTCTCTGTAAAAAGACTCTGGGTACATCTGCCGGGTCTCTGCTTCACATTTGTATGCTGGAGCTGGGCCATGAAGTTTGTGGACGGTTTTACGGAAACATTCAGACGGTAATTAACAACTGGTTGTTGTTGGAAGGTCACTCTATTGGTATTGGAGACACTATTGCCGATCCTCAGACCTATCTCGAGATTCAGAAAGCGATCAAGAAAGCCAAAGAGGATGTAATAGAGGTGATTCAGAAAGCTCACAATATGGAACTGGAACCGTCTCCTGGTAACACTTTGAGGCAGACTTTTGAGAATCAAGTAAACAGAATTCTAAACGACGCTCGTGACAAAACTGGTGGTTCTGCGAAGAAATCTCTGACTGAATACAACAATCTAAAGGCTATGGTGGTATCAGGTTCGAAGGGATCCAATATTAATATCTCTCAGGTTATTGCTTGCGTGGGTCAGCAAAACGTTGAAGGTAAACGAATTCCATTCGGTTTCCGGAAGAGAACGTTGCCACATTTCATCAAGGACGATTATGGTCCCGAGTCCAGAGGATTCGTCGAGAACTCGTACCTAGCCGGTTTGACGCCATCCGAATTTTATTTCCACGCTATGGGAGGTCGCGAGGGTCTTATCGATACGGCTGTAAAGACCGCAGAAACTGGATACATTCAGCGTCGTCTAATAAAGGCTATGGAATCTGTAATGGTGCACTACGATGGAACAGTAAGGAATTCCGTAGGACAACTCATTCAGTTGCGATACGGTGAAGACGGTCTATGCGGTGAAACTGTGGAATTCCAAAACTTGCCCACTATTAAATTAAGCAATAAATCATTTGAAAAGAAGTTTAAGTTCGATCCAACCAACGAACGTTACCTACGTCGTATCTTTAATGAAGACATAGTCAGAGAGATGATGGGATCTGGAGAAGTAATTTCTGAATTGGAGAGAGAATGGGAGCAGTTAAACAAAGATCGCGGTGTGCTTAGAGAGATTTTCCGTAGCGGCGAATCCAAGGTGGTATTGCCTTGTAATTTACAGAGAATGATCTGGAATGTACAGAAGATTTTCCACATAAACAAACGAGCACCCACCGACTTAAGTCCTATGAGAGTTATACAAGGTAAGTAAGCGAATGATTCTGTGAGGAATATAAATAATTATGGTAAATAGAATAGACATTCAAAATTCCGTTTTACAGGTGTGAAGGATCTTCTAGAGAAGTGTATTATTGTAGCTGGTGACGATAGACTCAGCAAACAAGCGAACGAAAACGCTACATTGCTGTTCCAATGTTTAGTGAGATCTACTTTATGTACAAAATGTGTATCTGAAGAATTTAGGCTGTCTGGTGAAGCTTTTGAATGGTTGATCGGAGAAATTGAAACGAGATTCCAACAAGCACAGGTACACATTGAACGATGCACGCTCCTGTGTAGGATGTTTGTAATTTACGTATTTAAGAACAATGATATATTGAACAAAATTATCTTCAGGTATCACCTGGCGAGATGGTAGGTGCCTTGGCCGCTCAGTCGCTCGGCGAACCAGCCACTCAAATGACATTGAACACTTTCCACTTTGCTGGTGTGTCGTCGAAGAACGTAACCCTTGGTGTACCCAGGCTAAAGGAAATTATCAATATCAGTAAGAAGCCAAAGGCTCCTTCGTTGACTGTGTTTTTGATCGGTGCTGCCGCAAGAGACGCGGAAAAAGCGAAGAACGTTCTCTGTCGTCTGGAACACACCACCCTAAGAAAGGTCACCGCTAACACGGCGATCTATTACGATCCAGATCCGCAGAACACTGTGATTGCGGAGGATCAAGAATTTGTAAATGTCTACTACGAAATGCCTGACTTCGATCCGACTAAAATATCGCCATGGTTGCTTCGTATTGAATTGGATCGGAAGAGAATGACGGATAAGAAATTGACCATGGAACAAATAGCAGAGAAAATTAACGCTGGCTTTGGCGATGACTTGAACTGTATATTCAACGACGACAATGCTGAAAAATTGGTCTTGCGAATTAGGATAATGAATAGCGACGATAAATTCACAGGAGACACGGAGGAGGAAACTGTAGATAAAATGGAGGACGACATGTTCCTCCGATGTATCGAAGCGAACATGCTCAGTGATATGACTTTACAGGTACGTCTGATTAAATTTTATTTAAGAAAATAAAGAAGAATTCGTTAACGCGATTAATTAAAATCGAAAGAACGTAGTTGGTTATTTGATTGTCTCGTTTTCTCAGGGTATTGAGGCTATAGGAAAAGTGTACATGCATTTACCACAAACCGATTCAAAGAAACGTATCGTTATCACGGAAACTGGAGAATTCAAAGCGATCGCAGAATGGTTATTGGAAACGGACGGAACAAGTTTGATGAAAGTACTAAGCGAAAGGGATGTGGACCCAGTCAGGACATTCAGTAACGACATTTGTGAAATATTCCAAGTGTTGGGTATAGAGGCTGTACGAAAATCAGTGGAGAAAGAAATGAACGCTGTATTGCAATTCTATGGTCTTTACGTGAATTACCGTCATCTTGCTTTACTTTGTGACGTTATGACGGCTAAAGGACACTTGATGGCTATTACCCGTCACGGAATTAATAGGCAAGATACTGGCGCTCTTATGAGGTAAGTTACAGAAAGATGTGCTCTCTGTAATTAGTTAACGAAAGCATTACATATTGAATTTTTCTTTCAAGATGTTCTTTCGAGGAAACGGTAGACGTCTTACTAGACGCAGCATCTCACGCAGAAGTTGATCCCATGAGAGGAGTATCGGAAAACATTATAATGGGACAACTTCCACGTATAGGAACAGGTATTGTCCTTGTACAATTAACCTAATCAGCCAAATTTTGCACTGTTCCAAATTAACATGTTTAATTGCATTTTTCAGGATGTTTCGATTTGCTGTTGGACGCGGAGAAATGCAAGGCAGGTATTGAAATACCGATGGCTGTAGGAGCTGGCGTAATGGGAACTGCTGGAATGTTCTTTGGCAGTGTTGCTACACCGAGCATGAGCCCACAAATGACACCTTGGATGGGTGCTACTCCAGGCTATGGAGCATCCAGCATGTCACCTGGTAAGGACATCGCGAGTAAAATTTTATTTAGGATATGTAAGATTATTTGTCTACTACTTGAATTTATAATAAACGTTATTTTTAGCATTGGGAAGTGGTATGACACCCGGAGGTGCATGCTTCTCGCCATCGGGAGCATCAGACGCATCAGGACTTTCGCCAGCCTATTCTGCATACTCGCCACAACCTGGTAGTCCAGGAAGTCCAGGACCCAGCATGAGTCCGTATCCGATGTCACCTGCAGGAGGTGCATCGCCTAGTTACTCTCCTACATCTCCCGCCTATTTACCAACATCACCGAGCATGACACCGTCGAGTCCCAATTACTCGCCAACGAGTCCTACTTACTCGCCCACGAGTCCAAACTACTCGCCAACGAGTCCAAGTTACTCTCCGACATCGCCTAGTTATTCACCAACGTCGCCAAGCTATTCACCAACAAGTCCAAGCTATTCGCCTACGTCGCCGAGCTACTCGCCGACATCACCGAGTTATTCACCGACGAGTCCTAGTTACTCACCGACAAGTCCCAGTTATTCACCGACGAGTCCAAGTTACTCGCCAACAAGTCCTAGTTACTCGCCAACGAGTCCTAGTTATTCACCGACAAGTCCAAGTTATTCACCAACATCACCAAGTTACTCGCCAACGAGTCCAAGTTATTCACCGACGAGTCCAAGCTATTCGCCGACAAGCCCAAGCTATTCTCCTAGTTCACCGAATTACACGCCGGCGTCGCCATCTTATTCTCCCACAAGCCCAAGCTATTCACCAAGTTCTCCACAATATTCGCCTGCTAGTCCAAGCTATTCACCGAGCAGTCCCAAATATTCACCGACCAGCCCAAGTTACTCGCCCACGTCGCCGTCGTTCGCTGGAACCTCGCCTCAATATACACCTGCGAGTCCAACGTACTCGCCAACAAGTCCAACATATTCGCCAACGAGTCCATCGTACTCGCCGAGCTCCCCGCAACACACAGCATCAGGAAGTACACGATACTCGCCGAGCAGTCCGAACTATTCTCCAACCAGTCCAACCTACTCGCCGACGAGTCCTCAATACTCGCCATCGAGTACTAAGTATTCGCCTACCAGTCCGACGTACACACCGACCAGCCCAAGTTACTCGCCGACAAGCCCAACGTACTCGCCACCAGTGCCGGGCTACTCGCCAACGAGTCCAACTTATTCACCGGCGTCACCAGCTTACGAAACAGATGACTAGGAAGTATTACGAATATCTGTATGAACGTGTACAACCAAACACTCAGTACGGATTAGATATAAGTACGATAAATTGTAATTACCGTTGTTGCGTTTCTGAATTTTCTAAGTCCGTAAATATATATTTAGCGTATAAGCCTACGTGCACAATTTGTACGACTCTCATTGTTTGTTATCTATGCGATTGTAGATAATCGAGGGTTTCATTTCTTTTACGTTGAAAAGGAGATTCGAGTGCTCAGGATGAGCAAGAGTATATCAATCATGACGACGGAGGGTTATATTTAGGTTCTTACAGGATATTATGGATTTAATGTGACGTAGCAATGGATGCAAATTGAAACGAACGAAGTACATTTAAGAGATCTCAGAATTTCGGAGAAGTTAAAATATATTCCAGATGCCAGAGGAAGTTCCCATGTCTTAGAGTCCAAAGCATCTTGTGAGAATTAGCAGAATCCTCTTTCTTTTTTTTCTTTTTATTTTCGTGGGACACATTTGTCATTCATTGAGAATATGTTTTTGTTTGTTTAATTCTCTATCCGATGAATGGAAGGTCGATCCGTATATCAGGTTCGTGAGAACGATGGCTGCATGTGTTGAGGAGAAAATACTAGACACTTTGTGGGTCTTCCTTGCACTCACCTTGCTCCGTGCGAGCCGTTCGCGTTCGATAGAATATCGAGTTTCAGTTTGCGTGGACACTTTTTAACCGCAACGTGAAAACCGGTTCAAGTTCCGCGTTGATGTAAGACAGTGCGAATTACTCTCCGAAATGAATCGCGAGAGACTACCTCTGCTGCTCAGGGAGGCCAATTCGAACTTGTCGCTTCTGTTTGCTACGTTATGTGTCATCGACATATTCGGCGTCTTTCCAATTATTGCGTTGCCGCGTGCGATCGTGGAATGCGGTAAGTTTCATATCTGCTTACCAGAAGACTTGATTGTCAATACAAAAAGTCATTTTATAGTCGACAACAATGACAATTTTTAAGAAACCACCGCGAGACTTTTGTGAATACATTTAGTAAATTAGGAGTAGGAACTATGTTTGTAACATGCACTGGTAATATATCGCCCGACGGATTAGTTTTATAAGCTACAATATTAATATATATACGTACACATACATACACAGACACACACACACAGTCGATTGTAAGACTAACGTAAACATTGTTTCACAAAATATTTTATTTAAATTGAAACGATTTGTATAATTGACACGTATTGTGAGTGATTATTGCAAGGAAAATTTGTGCGATGAGTGCATGGGCAATCGTGTGTGTGTGTGTGTGTGTGTGTGAGAGAGAGAGAGAGAGAGAGAGTTAATTATTTGAAAAAAATAAAGTTGATTAACTTGTTAAAAAGCTTGGTATTGTGTAAACCTAATTCGCTGTCATTATCTTATATCTCTAAATCTAATTGTTGAAAACACCTTTAAATTTTAGGATTATACGGGATCCCTCTCGTTCTCGTTGTATTTGGCTTACAAATTTATACAGCGGTCCTCCTCGGAAAATCATGGATAATCGCAACTACCATAAATCCCCAAATTTCGCGGAAAAGTCGGTAAGATGTTACTGCAACTAATTGTTCATGTAAATTCGAGAAATTTGATATTTTTTCAAGATATAGACATTTCATAGATACTAATCTAATATTTTCTAGGTATCCCCTTGCTGCTGTGACTGAATTGACTTTAGGTGCTCGAGCAAAAACTTTGGTCACTATAATTCTAGACCTTACAGTGTTTGGTTGCAGTATACCTAATTTATTGGTTGGTACGTTCTTATTATATTTTCAGCTGATACCATAATTTGTTAAACGCATATTAATGACTGATCAATTTCAGCTTCCCAAAATTTACAATTATTTGGACTGAAACTATCAGGGCAACAATTCGATCTATCTTTCTGCTATTGGCTTCTGGTTGTGGGTGCACTTTTGTGTCCAATTATGTGGCTTGGAAGTCCACGTGATATGAAGTAACTTATGCTGTCAATTTCAGTGACATTATATTCCATATTTTTAAAAAATTAGAATTAGAATTTGATGCGAAATCTTGTATGCACACAAGACATGTAAATTATAAATTTTGACTGCGGATGTTAGATACTTTAGAAACTAAAACTACATTGCATAAATGATTTTCAGACTATTGGCAGTATTTTCGTGCACTGCGGTTGTGCTGACAGCAGGATTAATATGGTGGTGTATAGTTACCGATGACCGTGAACTTGACACTCTACCAGTACCCACTTCTCCTTCCTGGGATAAATTCATTTCTGGGTGATGTACCACAAACGTGTTGATTGCATTTAATAAATTAATACTACCAGTTAATAGCATTATTATAAAATTACTTTTTAGATACGGAATGCTGGCCTTCCAATTTGATGTACATCCTACATTAATGACTGTACAGGTGGATATGCGTCGACCACAAGATATCAACAAGGCTGTCCTAATTTCTTTTTTAGGTAAAAGTAAACAATCAGTTACATCAATTATTTGCTCCATTGTTTGCATCAATAACCAGTGTCATTTATTTTAGTAAGTGGTTCATTATTTGCTGTCACGACCGGTTTAGTTGCCTGGAAATATGGTGGTACTACAACAGCCAATGTATTACAAGTCATTCCAGGAAATTTCACTATGAGTGCAGCCGTTCTACTTGCTTCTCTGCAACTTTGTCTTTCGAGTGCTCTAGGCCATTCAGCTCTTTTCCAGAATTTAGAAGATCAGTGGAATATTCAGCCGAGTAAGAAATCGGAGATAATATTCCTTACCAGTCGCATTGATAACAAGATCTTCAAAAATATTTTATAACATGTCTGCTTTTGTTTAGCATTTGGATGGAAACGGTGTGCCATAAGATCAGCCATCATATTCCTTGGAGTAGCTGTAGGAGAATCTGTACCACGATTCGACATCGTAATGGCGCTTATTGGAGGATCCCTAACAGGTCCACTGGTTTTCGTGCTTCCTCCATTGGTGTATTCGAAGATGATGGCTTTAAAGAGAAGATCGATGCATGTATCGACTCCCGAAGTATATTCCGGTTCCCAAAGACGTAGAAGCGTGGGTGGGGGCATCTCAACAGATCCACGGGTTCATTCAAGATCGATATATTACGGCGTTCTAAGCGTGCCAAAAAATGATTACCATCGGTATTCGTACGTTTATTATGACGAAGAAGAAGACGAGTTCGATGAAATTGTGGATTATGAAACCGATGTTGTTAATATCGGCGAAACCAGTGAACAATACTTAATGACAACGAGAAACAATGATGAAGAACCAATATACATAGATGCAAGTCAGCCCTATAGAACACATAAAAGAATTGTTTCTGAAATACCAATACGGAAGAAAATTCTAAACTGCACTCTTCAAAAATGGCACGAGTGGTTCGGTTACTTGATTGTACTGTTCGGCATTGCGGTTACTATCTCCTCGACGTACATAAATGTAAAAAATACAATTCGTTACGTACAATTCACACCGCCGTGTATCGTGAATGCCACAGCCTTTCAAACCACTGAATCGATATAAATATATCGTATAATCAATGAAAAACGTACTATCGCAGATAGCTTTCTGCATTATATTTATAGAGTGTGCACAATAGAAGAATATTTTACAATTAAACACATTACTGACTGATGTCCAATGAATAATTTTTGATAAGACATGACATGAATATTTATCTTACCTAGTTGCCTGAGAACAATATTCTTTCTATTAACACTAAACGTATCCCACTTTTTCAATAAAATTAAATCACTTTTAATAGTAAAATATATTAAAATATCTTCGATTCACTGTCCTTTAAATATTGAATTTGAATTTCTTCAAACGGGTTTTGTGTTTCCGAAATGGACAACTAAGTGGCAGCACCATCGCAATAAAAATTTCGCGCTCTCCGATAAACACGTGGGTTTTTGAAATTTTCTCTATAATTAAAATCAACAATCTACTTATATGTCTGTATTATTCTACACTTGCATCTCACTATATTTAACAGATTGTGTCAACTATGTTGCAGTTTTTCAAAGTACATGTACATATCGCATACGTAAATGCAAAACCGTTTCGTAACGCAAATCCACGTGTTCAAATTGGTTCGAATGCATCAGTAGAATCAGCTGATTCGATTAACTATTCTTATCTGCGAAGGTTACCTTGAAAAAGTGATTCTAAAAATGTATTTAACACTGATTTTTGTGTTTATAAAGCTAAATCTATCATCGTTATGTAATGCGCTTGAAAAATGTGGACTACTGAATAAATTAACTATTTTAGAATGTTCAGTCTCCAATCTTATCCATATTCATTGCTAATTGCTACTCATAACGTCATATTGAAACGGATGTTACACGGGGATACAGTACAATTTAGAATTATCGAAGGTTGCGATATGAAAATTCTTTCAGTCTCTGATATATTTAATCTGTACTTCGAGAGCACGTGTTTGTATTTTAACATTTTTTTTGTCTTCAACTTCCACGCAATGAACGGCATTACGTCACATCATCCAACATTTTTTCTACATAATGTTTCTAGTGGAGGGGATACGAACCAACCTGTGACGTTTCCGAGCCAGATCTTACGATACTGTCCGCGCCAAACGAATGAGCCGTCCTCTTCGGATCCATTTTGTCAACTTTAATTTCTCATCTGTTCCTACGATCCCGATTACAATTGAATAAGAGAGCCATCAAAAATGCTTCCGACCTGCATCAGAAATATCGGCGTGCAAACGTCAAAACGCAATGTAAGTACCAGAATTTGACGATCGACGAATGACCTCTAGCTAGCTACTTGCCAACACGTTCCATGCCAGGGTCTTGTTATAATTTCTATACGATCATTTCTGAATATTTTCCGATTGATCGTTTGATCTTTCTTTTTTTATATCACCTGGTGTCTCGCCAGTTCGGGAGCTGGAACGAGGTAATTATCTGCTAAGATTTGTTTATTATCACCGACTTCCTCACTCCGTGCTCAATTCTTTTATCACTAAGTTCTTCGCTTAATTATTTTACTCGACGGGAGTTCTTGCTCGACCAAGATTATGAATCATGGTGGCTTGCACTATCAAGGTTTATTACCGAAGCGTTACATTGAGGCTGCGTACACCTGTTTTATGTATGACCCACTATATTATTTGATATTATTTTTTCGTGAATTGAGGTGCTTATAAAATTAGATAATGTTGAAATTAGTTTTAAGTTCATGGTAACACATAAAATTTAGGTTTTGCCGTAGAAGATTAAGGTATTTGTATAAAATTGTTTTTGTTACAAATTCCTTAATTGTGAGTTATTATATGTGATACTGTAGTTTTGAAAATCAGATAGATGTAATAAAGATTTTTCATATGTTTTTAGGTGGTATCCTTTTTCTTCAGTAAGAAAAACAATTATGCCACAGAGGCTTCATTCGAAACGAAACCTTTCCGATTACACAAACTGGACAGCGGACCCTCCAATCAGGTGAAAATTACGAGAGAAGAGGCTTTAGAAATGTACAAGAAATTACACACGATCCGTCGTATGGAAACATCGGCAGGAAACCTTTACAAAGAGAAGATTGTCAGAGGTTTCTGTCATCTGTACTCTGGTCAAGTAAGAATAATTGTTATTGCAACTCAAATTATTCGGTAAAATTCTGGTAACATGAAATCTGCATTTCTTTTGTAGGAAGCTGTCGCAGTTGGTATAAAATCTGCTCTTAGAGAACAAGATGCTGTGATCACAGCTTACCGTGCTCATGGATGGACTCACTTAATGGGAATAGAACCATTCGGTGTCCTAGCCGAATTAACTGGTAGAAAAGGAGGCAATGCAAAAGGTAAAGGTGGTTCCATGCACATGTACACCAAAAACTTTTATGGTGGAAATGGCATTGTTGGTGCTCAAGTGAGTTTTACAAACCATCCAATCTTATGAAGCTAATAATTATTGAATCAACCATTTGCATATCATAGACATGTAAAATACATAGGTGCCGTTAGGAGTTGGAATTGCCTTGGCTCAAAAGTACATGAACACAGGTGGTGTATGTGTTGCATTGTATGGCGATGGTGCGGCCAATCAAGGACAGGTATTTGAGGTATACAACATGGCTAAATTATGGGATGTTCCCTGCATCTTTGTCTGTGAAAATAACGGATACGGTATGGGTACTAGCGTCGACCGTGCTTCTGCTAGCACAGACTACTACACAAGAGGAGATTACGTTCCTGGAATTTGGGTTGGTTTCTTGGATGAATTATCATTATTTTCATGCTAATTCTATTGGGGAAACTCAAGTGTTTGAATATATTAGGTGGATGGTATGGATGTGTTAGCTGTCAGGGAAGCTACAAGGTTCGCCGTAAACCATTGCACGTCCGGTAAAGGACCTATTATCATGGAAACTGTAACCTACAGATACAGTGGTCACAGTATGTCTGATCCTGGTACCAGCTACCGTACGAGAGAGGAAATACAGGAAGTCAGACAAACTCGAGATCCCATTACTGGATTCAAAGAACGCATCTTGAATGCTAATCTTGTCACTCAAGATGAAATTAAAGTATATCATTTTTAGTATTCCTTAATATAGCTTTTCTTTGCATCAACTACAACATTATTAATCAAAATTGTTCCACAGAAAATGGAGAACGAAATAAGGAAAAGAGTAGATGATGCTGTAAAAGCTGCCAAGGCTGACACTGAGATTCCTTTAAGCGAGCTCACCACCGACATTTACACTGCTTGTCTAGAGAAAGAAATACGTAACATAACTCCGTTCAACCCATTGCCGCACGCAAGGCTAGGCCCCGCAGTCAACGCTTAAACGAATTCCCGTGAAGAAGATCTTGAGCGAATTAAATCGTATTAAATCTCGTTATTGAAAGCAATACCTGCCACCATAAAAACGAATAGTTTGTACAAAAATGAAAAAAAGATCTCCGGGGGGATAACACCAAAACTTAGACGAAACAAACTAGCAGATCCTCGGTGAATTTCGTTTTCCACCTACGGTTCAGTTGTATATACACACACACACACACAATATATATATTTATTTTATTTATAGATATATAAAATAGTAGACCGTAAGAGGAAGCGATTCATCGTTTTTAAGTAGATTGGTACATAATCATATATTCACTGCCACATTGTATCCGGCAAGATTAAGTGTATATACATAATACGCTTACAACTGTGAATCGAGGAACAGTAAACTTACCGAACGACAATTTGAAAGGACAATACCTCTTTGGTTTGTTTTCTTTATCCTGATGGTGTCATTCGTGCTCATTATTTCGCCTTGCTAGAACAGTCCAAATAAATAATTATTTCTGTAATTATAAATATATGTAAGAAAGATAGATTCCATTTGAAATAATAAAGGTCATTTCTTTGTAAATCTCAATGAATTCATTCGCGGTTTCTCGATTCGTAATTTTCGAACGCTCTTCGCGCGGTAGTAATGTATTTAGGAACACATTGCAAGAATTCAATTTTCCGTCCTTGTCTCTATTGAACTTTCGACACCGTCAGATCATCAGTGGGATTCTCGATTCGCGTAAACATCTCTGTACATACATACAGGCATTTGTAGTTGATTCATCGAGCTTCTAGCACGAATATAATTTTCGAAGCTACGTTTATTGACGAGAACGCGTTCTGAGAAGACAGACGATCGAATAATGGCTACGGGAGGAAGCACGAACGCCGGCACAATTTTGCAGAAGCTTGGCTTGAAGCCGATTACGAAATGTAGTCTCGTAAAATTTTATGTTCCGGCTTTCGGTGTTGGTTCGTACACCGCATTGTCGATCAATGTGATGAATCCAAGCCTTGTTGTCAGGTAAGACAATCAGGAATTCATTGTACCCAGATACATTAACCTCTATCGTTACGCTCTCATGTATTATTTGCCGTGGAATGTTACGTAATGTCACGGTGAACATGTTCTTGGCAATAAATTTCCTGAATAATCGAAAATTTTGAATCTGCTTCGCTATTTGATTCATTGAATAAGAACGATTACGTTAAATGGAGTAACTGGTCATCTTGATTAGGATTCATGACAATCAATAATTCGTCATGTTGAGCCTGATAAAATACACGTGCAACAGTAGTTGTAGCTTCTGAGGAAGAATAGAATAAAAGCTGCAATGTTATTTGTGTAATTATTTATCTAACGTCAGCTACCTCTTCTGTCAACCATGTTCCCTCAGTTCATATTTTTCAAAGTAAACAAAAGTAGTGTTAACAAAATTGTGGGATTTAAATGTATTTAAATGTATTTCATATTTGTATTTTTAATGTCTATCCTTGTGTTGTTACTTCTGTGTATTTATAGAGTATTCCCAAAGAAAGACATCACAAATTTTTTATTGGGTAGTGCTCTTGTTGGCATTGGCTCGTATATATATACTCGTGAACACATGAAAAATGCTCCCCAAAGTGTAAGAATCGCATATAGGTAAGCTTTTTATCATGCATTGGAGTTTAATCGTTCCAATGAAGGAACTAACAATTTTGAAATAAATCTTTTACCGACCTGTGTTTTGTTAATAGTTCTGCTGGTGCTGTATTGCTGAGCTTTGGATCAGTTCTAGTATGGGCAGTATTGAGATCTGTTGTACCACCTAATCCTGCCTTGTGCACAATAGCTGGTATTGGTTCTGGTCTTGCATTCATTAAGGTCGGTTCCAGTTACCTGACCTTCGTTGATGAGCAAATACAGAAGAAGTAGATCAATAGAAATTTCATAATCGTAACATCAATATGTATTTAATGCCTTTAATCTAAAATTTGCAATAATATATGCAGTAGTAGATTGGTACCAAGAGTAATTGAAACAAAAAGAAAACCATTGTCATTGCAGAATTTTTAAATGTCTACAAATTTGTACATTTTGTATGGTCTTTGCTATATAAATGGCCAACTTCTATAGGCCCCCAGTTATGTTAAATGTAATTATAAAGTATTTCGTTTTTGTCCTCGTCAATCATTTGCAAGACTTGAAAGATCCGTAGAGGGCAAGTAAAATAAATGTTGAAACAGTGTTATTGTATTTCACGTGAAACATATAAATAATGAAAAAGGTGATTTCTTGTTACACAAGAGATATGTCTCACTTTATATGTTAATGTTACCATGAATGTATATGGAGTTATAACTTATATCAAAAGTATGAAAAATGTGTGAACCAAGTTCTTAATTTGATGTGGCTTCATAATCTGAATACATTTTTTGGAACGTAGAACATGTTCCTACAAATAATTAGTTAGCAATAATGGTAGTACTAGAAATGTGCAAGCTTCTTCTGAAGTCTTAGTAAATATTTCACTAAAAGGAAAAAAATTGGAAGACTTTATGTTACAAAAAGAAACTAAGGTTTATAAACCTCTTTTGTATGGATATAAATAACTAAAATTAATTTACTGTTCAAGCATTAACATACTTTGTTTGTAAGAATTAATTTTAATGGAATCAGTGTTGCGATTTTACAAATGCACGCGAGTCTACTGCAACTGGATAAGATTGTATCACATGTATAATAAACTCTATTGTTAAACTGGAAGTGATACATCTGTTTGCCTGTAAGCGAAAAACAAAAAAAGGATTTTTGATTTTTTTGTTACTAAAATTTTTCGTTTTATTTAGTAGCTATTGTAATAGACAAAATAGAACTGTTCAATAGCATGTGCTGACATTATTTGCTTATGGATAAAATGTACATACAAACCAGTCATACTATAGATAATAGCACTCAAACAACAAAGAGTGAATGGATGATAATAAATAATAAAGATGCAACAATAAGCATTCCTGACATATAAAGATCTCGATCCAGTAACTTACATTTATGCAATTTTCAAAGTTAGACTCTTAATGATATTGTGTGAAGTGACGATGAACTATGTCTTACATCAATTAAACAATAAAGAATTTCTCGATTATAAATAACATAAAGAATGTATTGGTACAGAATAGAGGTACAGAATAACAGTATCTTGGCCGAATTTTAAACTGATTAAATTAATTTAGCGATATTCAATATTGTTTTTTATTTAACATTTTGTATATATGTACAAGTTATTGCTGTATCATGATTCGCTTATGTTGAAAAATACAATTTATATTTTGTAAATCGATTCTTTGGGTTGAAAAAATATGTTGTATGTTTGTTTCTTAAAATATGTTTGTATGTACTAGACGCGTTAGCACACGATTTGTATACGAATTCGAGGTGGCGAATATGATACAAATGGAATTGAAAACATTTGTAGAATGTTGTTTTGCATGTTTTCGCCTGGCTTCCATTGTCTTCGCATCAATAACAACGTACGTATTATCATTCCGGATTACACGTGAGCCATTATTTCACAAAGAAAACGGCAGCACGCGTATGTACACTATCTGTAAACATCTAAATTTGTTAAAATCCGATCGTGTACGCGATCTTCCTCAGATGGAAAGACTTCAACACTCGATGATTATAAACCATACATTTTTCATTCCGTTATACTATCATGCAATATGCATATATTATACGTGCTTGTATTTAAATATCCGTAGAAACAATTGAGATATGTGTTTCTAATTACAGTATAAAAGATAGTAATCGAAACGGTTATACCATACAGTCTATATTACATAAAAAAAAAGAAGAATAAGTAACGCGATTTCATGTTGTCGCCGTGGATCGTATCACATTATATATATCGTCCTTAAAAATAATGACAGTTCGTTCTCCTCACACCACGTTTTCACATACAGTTTTTTTGTATCTTCAGTATCTTAAGATTAATGTGACACATAATAACGACACGCTCAGCGAGAGTATTATTTTCAAACGGTGCGAGACATTCAAACGTTTCTAATATTCGAAACTTAGTTGGAGCCGATCTAGGACGAATTTTAAACGGCGTAGAACCTATAAATAGGTTTGCAAAATAGATAACAAAACTATTTCATTTTGTTGTCCTTTTTAGACTAGTGGTAAAACATTTACAATTTACGAATAAATTGATGTTTCCCCTGATCGAATAACAATTGAATCCAACCACCAATCACGTGACCAATTTACCGGAATTCCAACTAAGTCTCGCCGAACATCCGGAACGAAAGTTTCTCGAATGCACGTTTGCGTTCGAAATATGTCTCTCACCTTAAAATGGAAGTTCTTCATAATACTGTCTTTCTTCTGTCGATCGAGACTTTCCTTTCACCCTGTCATCAAGCTCCATGTTTTCCCAATAAGCTGTCGGTGTACACTAAGTAGCGCAATTGGTATCCCCGAAAAGTAAGTACCGATCGAGTGACATCTATCTCACGGAGGAACTATTTGGCGCCACTATTTTGGCAGGCGAATCTTTTTAGCTACGATCCGTGTGAGGAGACGTTACATTTCTCTCGTGGACACCAGATATCGGGATCTTCATCGACGAGGACAAGTAGCTGCTGACAGCTTCCGTCACAGTCTCTGCCATTTGGTCGAACGTAACATTAAGTATTCTCTCGCTGTTCTTCAAATGTTCGTGGGAGTCCGACTCGTGATAGTGATCGTCTTCATGGCGATTCTCGTCCTCGTGGTTATGGCTGTCCGAGTAATTGTGATGATTATGCGAATGGGAATGTGCCGCTGCAAAGACAGAATGAGTTTTTAACTATTTGCTAATAATCAACTCTTTGGCATCGACTGCCTTAAATATTGAGACGTCGCCATGGCACTGGATGTATCAGTGAGCTAGAGCATTTTATCCTTTTCATTTCGAACCTCTGTTTTTAATTTTAATTAATTTTAACATTTTGTTAATAAGGTTGTTCTCGCGATGTCCCCGATATTTATAGTTGCTTTGCAACGAAGAAGATACGATCGGCATTAATTACAAGATAAGCGAATCTTTGTGGAATATCTTCTCGCTGAAATCATATCGGTTTGCACTGTCGATAAAACAGGGACTATTTTCGAGACCGGTGATACGTGAAACGTAAATATTTTAGAAAATATATATTTAGGATTCAAACGATAGCGTTATCGTTTGTTCGATTGTACAATCTTTATCTTGTTTTTTATGAAATCGATGCTAGAGGATAAAACATTCGATAAGGAAATAGGCGTTAGCTGATCGAAACAGAACGTGCAAGGTAAGTAACGTCTAAATTACTTGCTGCAAACTTTCGTCCATGGACTTCGCAAAGAATTACCACAAAATACGAAAATGATTTTACAGGATCAATTGAAGCTGAGTCGGCCGACAGAATGTAAACAATACAGATAAATGGCGGAGACGGGCCGGCGTGTTTATTATGTTTCGTTTCTTCTCTCGAATCGAATAGCATGCCGTTTAGATTCACGTGTACTTACGTACACCTCCGAGCGACGACACACCGTGAAATCAAATTGTATAACGGACGACGGGTACCACAAAGGCGGCTGTCATTACGAAGCCTTCCTTTTCTAGGTCCCCCGAGCCTAGACCTTTCTCGAGCAATCCGCTCGCTGTTATTAAAGTCGGGCAAGAAACGCATTCCGGGCGACCAATGACTATGCACTTAATCGGCCATGATAAAGACCCCGTGCACCGTGACAATTTCAGAATGACAGCCGCGGAAGACGCCGATGAAATCCGCGGGAAACCTTCTCGAATTTACGGCGCGGAACGGTACGACGATTCAACGCGAGTGCTCTTCAGATCAATCGTAATGGTACTTGGACATGTGATATGTTACGGTCGTCACGAATACCTGCTAAACGAACGGAATTGATCTTTTGTTCAGAATCCTATGTTAACCGAGGTAATACATCAACATGACGGGGATATTTCAAGGTCGCCGGTCGTCTTTTCAGACAACGCTTCGCGCTTTCGTAGCGCGCGACCTTTCCCAATGAGTTTTAGGTGATCGATTGGACGATCGATATTTTAATCAAGGTGTGTATAATTTCCAATCTTGTTTTATCTACAATATTTTAGTTATTGATGTTTCATTACTTTGCCAATTGTTTTAGATAATGATGTTTCATTGTTTCACGAATCGAAAGGCGATTTCAAATTCAAAATCGGTCGGGGACGTTCAGCATCCGGTCGAGTCCGGCGTGCAGCTGTCACAATATCACGTACTTTTCGCGAATTAATAGGCTAATAGGTACATCCGAGTTTTATTGTAGCAATCCGAGCCGCGACGATTCCTCTGCAAACGAAATCGTTGCCCGAATGATTCTTGCCGGTCCGTATACGTAAGCTGTAACGCACAGACGCGGCACGAATCATTTTCACCGCGATATTCAATCGTACGCGCCCGATCTATCGGTGTCGTTAGCCTAATTGCAATTGAGCTATCCTTGTGAACGCATGTTCCGTGAGTTGTTCGTCGAGTAACACGGAAAGGGAGGAAAAAAAAGAAGGAAACGTTAAATCGGCCGGTGCGTGTGCGTACACGTCGAGAGAGGATGGGGATAGAAGTCAATCTGTAAATTCTCGTAATCAGATGCGTAGACGGGGTTAAAGTCTCTTTAAAGGGAACTGGCACGCAAACTGCCTCCGTTGTTCCGCGCGAACGTTGGCGTATTGCGCGAAGAACGGTCACTGACCAAACCCGAGAGTCCGTTTCGTACTTCCGGCGTTGCTCCACGATTCAGCGAGGATTAGCGCGCGTTTATCTCGATAGATCGGAATCTCTGTTTGTTAACGATGGAAACGTTGCGACGACGTTTAGATATATAACTCTCTGATTTGATCCCCTTTGATAGATTGGAGAGTATCGGAGGAGGAACGACGCATGGGAGCCGACTGGTTGAAAAATAACGCTGCAGCAAGTTGCGCAACGACCAATACAATTTCTGTCCCGTTATAACGAACGGTGCCGCATCTTTAGCGCGGAGGTTCGATTACAAAACGCTTTCCATTATCGTTGTGATTAACCGAGTCTATACTTTCCAGCGATAAACGATGATACGAAGACCCGGCGATTCCATCGCTACGAAAACGACGATCGAAAATTGTTTGGATAAACGACTCCCGGTTGCTGCGACGAGTTTATGGCTCGAGAGAAGATAAGGGATTTGTTTTGCCGGAGGATCAGCTGCGCGGAGTCATGGCATTCGTGGCCGTGACTTTTTGGACGTCGTTACTGGGTTGTTCGTCAAATCGATAGACGTTTCCACGAGCTCGAGTAACACGTGGGAGGTGATTGCATCAAGGACGTACCTGCGATAGGTTTGCACCGAGGATGGATCGCGGGAAGGTGGGACGAAAACCTGCCAAAACGCTCGTTAAACGCTGCCGATACGGCACGGCGGTGGGAGACCGGTTGACTGACAGCTTGAAAGAGTTATTATGAACCGAGAGCTAGATATTCTTCTTGTCGACGATGACAAGTTCGAGGCATCAAATTCCCTACACAGTTGGCTATGCTACGTGTCCAAGCAGTTATAATTCTGCGGACAGGACTACGGTATGTCCTGAGAAAGTTACACTGGTAAAATTCAGATAATAATTTCAATAGCTGCGAAAGTGTGGACGCTTCGCGGCCGGATCACGAGATCCCACTTTCACCAGCAGTCGTCCGACGACCTCTACACCAAGAGCAATGGAACGATTCATGAAAGTCAGCTGCCGGTCCGATTCTACTCCATATGCAATAATTAAACTGCCTTACAGCCAGCATTTCGGTGATCATTAGATCTCGCAATCGGCAAAGACGTAACGAGAAAGATTAGCAAAGCCTTGGCGAGGGCAAAGTTTATCGGTAAATTCGTTACGGCCGGAAGACACTCACTGGCGATTTGTAGGCCCAACATCAGCATGAACCCGACGATTATGGCCATCAACTGTAAGAGTCCACTTTTCTCGTTAGCCCTCTCGCGTGCCAGAACCTCGAAGAAAACCACGTACAGCAGCGTCCCGGCGGCCATTCCTTGGAGTATCGTGGGCGTGGGGCCTAGATTCTCGCTGTCGTTTTTGAAGTGGCCCAGCGCGAGTCCCACAGCGATCCCGATGGGAGTCACCATGGAGAATATCGTGAGGTACCCCAATGTGGTTCTAGTGGAGGCTCCGGCGACGTACAACTCCATACCGACGCAGAAGGAGATGACCAATTTATGGGTAGCAATAGCCGCAGCTAGATAAACAACCGACGCTATCGAGGGCTCTAGACCTACCGCCAATCCCTCGAAGATGGCGTGAAACGATAGCGCCAGAACAGTCAAGAGACCCTGGATCGACGTGTTCTTCGTCATCACGTGCTTATGCTCGTGTTGCTTGGTCCTGGGGTAATTGTTCAAGTCGGCGACGGAGGAGGAGTGTCTGTGATCAGCATGATGCCGCTCCGAGGAGGAGGAGAGTCCCGTTGGCGAGGACAAAACGAAGATAGCGGGCAGCGTCTTGTCCTGCTTGCTATCCTGCAGGTCGTCTAGATGGTGGGTGGACCTTATACTGGAGTCAATGTCCTCCGAGTCCTCGACGTCCTCTTTCCAGGTCGACCTGGTCGTCGTCGACACCGTGGTGCTCGATCCCGTGTACGTGACAGCCGATGCACCCGACTGGTTGTTGTTGCATCTGCGCACCGACACAGTTCGGTACAACAGGGCCTCGGAGGACTCGGGCTTTCCCGTGAGAGCCGCGTGCACAGCCTCTTCGACAAAGTAGACCAGGAAGAAGCCGCCGCAGAACAGCAACTCCGACAGGCTCAACGTGCCCAACGTTGGCAGCTGATTGTTCGACTGGTGGCGCTCCACGCTGCTACGCACTTCCGGCGCCAGGTGCAAGAAGGTCGTGAACAGCAGGACACCGCCGCCGAAGCAGAGCAGAAGGGACGTGTGCAGACCCTGGGGGAGCAGGACATGTGCCGATGTTTCGCGAGCAAGCTGTCCGGGAAGCTATCAAGGATGACCTTGACCGCAAGGACGTTAAGGAGTTGTCACGATGGGACAATGTTCTGGAGAAAGCATTTGACCAAAGGAACCGAGCTATCGCGAAACTCGTTCGAAAGTTTGCGAATGTCAAATGTAACAGCTCTACGTTTAACGATCTTGCAAAGTCTTCCAGCTGTCTGCAGATGTTGAAGGAACTTCTGATAACTTCTGCTAGCTCATACCTTTAGAACTTCTACAGAATTTATTACATGGGATTCTCGAGGTACAACGGAGACCTTCTGAGGCTATTTTAGGTACATTTTTACATTGCTTGGCAATATAGTAAATAGAGACTTTAAGCGACGCGTAAAGTGTTTCAGATTCTATTCTCAATGGTACCGCAGAATTGCTATTTGGATGCAAAGGAATTAATGCAGCGATGACCTGATATAACAAGGAAGACGTTTGTCGAGCCATCAACAATTTTGCTTAGATTCTTCGTCGATGACAAACGTCCTCTAATCTCGATGTACCTATCTAGCGCAGGAAGTCTTTCTGGAGACACTGTAACTTCGATCAAACACTTTCTCGAAGAACGATACTCGTTTCGTAAAATCAAACGGAACCTCGACTGGTCAGCATTCGAAAAATCTGATAAAGCCAGCTAGAGGAAAGTGTACTCGAAATCAAGTTAGTCCGGCGTTTAACGTAATGACTCACTTTTTATCGTCCGCGCGTCGCTTGTTATACCAGTCAAGGATCTATTTACGAAACGTTCGACTCGTTAAGGGAAACAAATGGAGATGTGTCGCGAACGTACTTGCGAGTTCGCGGATGTGGTTGCGGTGTTGGAACCAAACGCGTTCGAGACCGACGTAGACGTGCAGGTGCTGGAGTTGCTTGAAATACCGCGGTGTCGTTTTTGACGATGATTCATCCTGTACCGTCCGATGATCAACGGTAGCATGCCGAGGATCAGGGACCCGAATCCGAGGCCTATCATAGCTCCTATCTTCGCTACCAGCAGGATCGTGGACGTGTTCGCTTCCTCCATCTTGTCCCTACTTTCTCTACCTTTGAACTAGATTCCGCGCCTATAAGCTACTCCTTCTAGGAACTACTTTCTTCAGAGTTTGTTTCTTTCACGAATTCAAGTGGTCACCACTTCACTACGTCCTTCTTCCCCTTGTCTTCGTCATTTGTCATCGCGACCTTCTAGCTCGGCGTTTGCATCGATGTTTTGGTCCCGCCGTTCCCCGTTTGATCAGGCGATCGGTGCAGTTACTTTTTCACTTGACACGCACCGTGGACTCGTCGACGACGTACGGTTCTCGAGGAGAAGAAGATGCGCAAGCCGACCTTTCCGGGGTGTTAATGTCCTTTCGAGGTGCGCAGAGGAGTTCGAATGTAGGTCAAAATCCTCACCACGCGGCTTTAACAGACAAGATCGCGTCTTTTGAAACGGAAACAATCAAGATCCCGGCGATCCGCTAAGGGGAAAACTAATCGGGAGCGTTTCGGAGCGCGCTCCGTTCGCGCTTTCCAAAAAGGAAAAGTGGAATATTGCGACACGTGCTTGGCTCCGCTCGCCTGGATCCAGGACAAGCAGTCTCGCTCTCAACGCGAATGCATCGCCGCAATGCTTTTGTGCTCCCGGCTCTAACCGCGAATAAAATTGCTCGGGACTCCCGCGTGATCGCCAGGATTCGAATGCCGCAGATTTTAACCCGTCTAATAGGAAGATCGACACTCTGATTCTCGATTAAGATAATTGGTCGACGGAACGGAGCTTTAATCCTGCGATATTGGCGACACCGGTAATTGTATTACCGGATCCGACGCAGATCCTGCTTAGATATTCCACATGGATTTAGTCTCGTCAAGGACACGCTCAATTTTTCACCGATTCCCGGCGGCTACCGGATCACTGTCTTTTAGAGTTATGCCAACGATTGCCTTCGTTTCGGCGAGCTATCGGCTATTTAAACGGCGCAACTAACTGGAAAGCGATGCAAAAAATCGTCCTCGAACGACGATCGAAAGTGAAACGACGAAGCGGAGGTCAACAGAGATCTATCTTCTGAAAGAAAATCCTGACGGAACTTCGTCGAGAAGGACAACTTTTCAAAATTTCTCTTTCTATAATTTACGACGCAGTATTGTTGTGGCGCGAGTTAACCGTAATTCATTCTTTTTCCAGATAATATTCCTTGGAAGATAAGGTAATCGTTCCACAAGAAGGGTAACCGGATTACGCTGTTGAAAACGTCCAACGAATCTACCAGAAGTCCGCGAGTAGAATGAAACAACTATTGCGAAACGGACCAATGAAAAATCAAGTTTATCCTGCTGTCATTCCTACGACTCTCTCAGAAGACTGTTAAACAAAGGCCCAAGGCGAGCCTGCGCCAGAGCGCAATTATACTAATTACAAAAGCGTCTCGAGCACGCAAATGATAGTCCTCGCGGGGCACTGCACTCACCGCTCTCCCGAACAGTTCGAAACAATATTCGCCGATAAAACTATAATCGGAGCAACTATAATACTTGGGAGACACGTGTCACCTCTTCAAGATTGATCCTCGTGGTATCACAGCAAGATCGTTCGTCGAATGAACCGGAGGGCTTTCCGCGAGAGTGAAATGAACACTGCGGACTGTTTCGGAGCAACTATAGTCTGGAACGCATGCTCGGCAACTACGATGCACGCAAACCGATAGAGCACTTCCCGCACCCGGCACTCGGTCAGTTTCTCTTTTTCGAGGGAACTGGAACTTGGGACCCGACAGAAGCACCGCGAACTATGCGATCGGAGGAACGATAGTTCCACGCGGTGCGACGGTAAATCCGACACTCCGGGGCTGGTTGGGGACTCGGCTCGATCCCCTCGCGTCTTACATAGTTCGAGCCGAATCGTTTCCTGCTGTCTTCCCCTTCCATGGCATAGCTTCCCTACCAACCTACTCGTTCTCTCCTTCCCCTGGGCCGTCGACTCTCATTGTATGCGCTCACGTAAACCGACGTGAATGCTGTTATAATGGTTCTTGCCCGCACGCCCCATAAACTTCCTATTAGCTCCGTAAAAGTTCAAATAGTTTCGAAACTGATTCAACTGTTCCCACTTACATTTATCTCACCGAATTGCAGGAGATATTTCCACAGGATTCGAATAACAACTCCTAATAGGCTTTTCTATCTTCTGAACTATTCAGCAACGCCGGGAGCATTAGTTTAACGCTAAACCCACCGTCAAAGTGGTACTGGTTTCTCTTTTTACAATTATCAAAATTATACAGAGACTTTTATAGGAAGTGATTGGATAAATTATATTGTCTGAGCAAGTACTGTAATGAAAATTGTATATTCGATGAATTCTATCTTTTCACTTTTGAGACATTGTGTTCATTTTTCTGCTCGGTGTTAGATACAGAAAAGAAATTCGTATCGCATCAGAAATGATAGAAATTAATGTTCAGTTATTTTACAAGCTTTGAATTGTATCGAGTACTTTCAACCATTCATGTGTAACTTGCCATTTTCACCGTAATGTTAGCGACAGTTGAAACAGCTTCGAAACTCCTTCAAAAGAATGAACTTATTTAGAAATAAACCGTGGTCGGTTCGGACCTCCTTGGCCCATATGAATGTTCAATAGAATATCAAATAGCTGCAACTCCATTAGCGAGACCTACTTTCCGTGTGCTCGCTAAACCGGTGACGAGCGATCCGCAAACAACCAATCACCGATTACGCATAATAACGCAAAAAGAGAAAATTTCATTCTATAATAGCGGACGTTGCATGCACTCCGATGTAACTAGATAATGACAGCGGTAGAAAAAAAAGAACCAGCAACTCCCGAGTATTACGTTGCAGTATCACTGAACTCTCGGCGAGTGTTGATTGATTTTCATCGATTTCGCTGATCGATCAGCACGTGTTTCTGGGAACCGATGGAACGTCAGTGTTCCATTGTAAATTCCAGGGAATGACGATGCGCGCAATCTCGCGTTATATTGGGGCGAGAAGCACAGCCGAATATTAAATAGAAATCAACAATGTGATTTCGACGGTTTTACGTTCATTGGCTCGTTTGGGAAAAACAATAGCTTGGATGATACAATGCCGTTTCAGTGTACTCTGTAATTATAGAGATTTGTTTATCCAAGAAGTATTTCTTGGCCTTTAAACAATTTGACTAAACAACGTTACTTGGAACTCGACCGAATTTGAAATTCCTATTTAAATGTCTCAAGTCGACCATGAATTACCCGCGCTCATGTATAAATACATAAAGCTGATTTCACGGTGAAAGGCACTTCGGTAATGGTCACGCAGACTCGGCTCATTCGTGCAGAAAAAGTTTTGCTACCAAGAATAGTGAGCGCCTACGTATATGGTACCATCACATGATCCTGTCGGTTTTTAGGTGGCCGATCTACAAATACTCGAACAGAATAATTTATTTGTGTGTTTCGAGAAGATTCTGATGAAGCTTTCCAATAACGCACATGCCGCCAGTAAACAGCGTAGATAATTTATGATTTATGCGCATCGATGTCTTCTATTTTATTGCTTGAATTAATTCCATGACGGCTTTAATTGGAACATTGTACCATTGGCAACCGTGTAAAGAAAGTAAATTGCAAATTCACGTTGCCGACAACTTTGTTTGGAATAATCATATAATCGCAAGCATTAAGAATAAACGAGCGAAATAAAGATATTATTAAATGTTGTGTGTGAGCCGTGATATTGGTTGCCGATCGCGTTTCTTCTATGGATGAACTATAGTTTACTGTTTACAGTTGATCTGCTAATATTCCGTCATCAGAATGGGAAAAGACAAAGGAAAAACGTTTGTTCGCTCATTTTCCTTGTACATATGTACTCATTTCCTTGGATTATACTATCGCGGCCGTTGCCCTGAATGTCAGCTGTTTCCTCGACTTTACTTTAAATCGCGTGCTTTGTCTACTGATAACTGACTATTGACACGCTTGCGATTAATACACGCAGAGCGCACCAATAATTTCATCGCTTTCGTCTCTTGAAATTTTAAATTATCGCATTCTTCGCGCCCTGCCGTGTTATCGGCGTATAATTCATTGCAATTTATTGTCACGAAGTTGCTTGATCTTGTCCCAGACCTAACGTCTCTTACTTGCTACATTGTTCAGCAATCTTGTTTATTGCTCATCAGCACGAAGAATGAATCAATAAAAATATTTTAGACTCTGGCAACGGAAACTTGTTAAATAATTTAATAATTTTGGATGCCCTCGTTTGCTTGAACAAATAATCATAACTTAACAACTGTCATTAAAAACAGGATATTAACTAGGTCAACTAAAGTAAGACCGAGGACGTTTTTCTTTTATTGTATGAAAAAATCAACGAAGATAATTTTTATTGACTCATCCATAGTCATCGCATGCGTTCAGCGTACTTACTCAATATCTGCAGTCCGAACATCACGAGAAATCCTATCAGAATAGATAGATACTGTTTCAAGCCGGTCCTATGTTCCTGGAGGATCTCGAAGAACACTACGTACAGTAGTGTACCGGAAGCTACTCCCTGCAATAGAAAATTATGTTGATTTTACTGGTAACTGCATTTACAATACTATTTATGACCACTATCTCGGATAATTAAGTAATTGCAGTGAAATCTACATTGATAATCTTTAGACACCGTTGTAATACAAGAACACTGTCCGGAATATTCAATGAACCGCGGTTGGCTCATTAACTACTTAGTTTGTATGTATCGACGAGTGAAACAAGAGTTGCAGCAATGGAAGAACTATACCTGCAGCAAGACCGGAAGTATGCCACTAGCGGCAGCGCTTCCGCCACCAACCAAACACATTCCTATGCCGATCCCCAAAGGAGAAACGATCGCGAATGTGCAGACATAAATGATCGAAAGGTATTGCCTGGTTTTGGACGCCATTAGCTCCACGCCGATGCAGAACGCAATCACGAATTTGTGGGCTGCCACCGCGGCGAACATGTACCTACAAACAATATACAATTACAGAAATGCTACATGCTTACGAAATTTCACTAATCTTATTTGACCCAGTTTACAGGTCGCGTAGGTCACTGGTGACCCGCACGAGCAATTAAATATAGTACCAATTATGTGACCGGAACGAGAGTTAATAAAACTTTATGTGTTTTAATATGATAATAATAAAAAAAATGATAATAATAAGATCTTATCTCAGTGTTACAACTAGTTTTAATTAAAATTATTTATGATCCTGTTCTAGATACATGTATCTTCTTGTACAGTAGAGCTAAAGTACAAATGCATTAGCGGCTCAATTCCTATTTTACGTAAGCCCGAGGAATGCGAATATGCATAAACATCTAATTGTGACTCAACCGTAAACAGTGTTTTACCGTTGTTAAACGCGATCTCGACGTCGATCGACAACCTACCAGACATAAGTGGCTGAACTCTCCAGTCCAATAGCGAGTCCTTCGAATAATTCATGCACGGACAACCCGAGAACTATTAACAATCCCCGCAGGGAGCTGATGACGAAGTCATCTTTCTCGTCCATTATGGCCGGCAAGTGGTGCGAATGGCCGTGGCCGTTGCTACAATAACGAACATACTTTTATCCCGTCGTAATTTGCATACGATTTACAACCGGCCGACAGTACGGCCGAGACAACCATAACGATTCTTACACGTGAGAGTGACCGGTGACGCAGTTCGTCTGCGTTTGCCCGTTCTCCACCAGCTCGTTCGTACTTCTGCTGACATTCGAATTCTTCTCTCTTTTCGCTTGTTTGGACCTCAGATGTGTATGCACCAACTCTTCCACCAGGTACATAATAAAGAATCTGAAAATTCGAATAGAGAAGAATTTTAGAATTCGTTTGCTATCGAAACGATTTAACATTATTCCTTATCCACTCGTAAATAGATCCCATGGGATGAACAAGGGCTCGATCCTGTCCGCGCTTCTTTGAAACGAACGTTTCAGTTCCGCCAAAACAACAAAACCAAAATGGCGGGCGAATCCGAATCGAGCGCTTCAGTCGCGACCCCTCGCGTTACCGTTCGAATGGAAATTCGAAGTATCGAATGCGCTTACCCGGCACAGGTAAGGACCTCCGCCAACGAGAAACTGAGCGAGGGAAGTTTTCCGTCGTTCGTAAGATCCTCCACCCCTTCCTTCACTTCCGGCAGCATGTGAAGAAACGTGGTGCAGAGGAGCACGCCGCCGCCGAATCCGAGCAACAGGCTCACCAGCCTGGTCGACCTATCGCAACGAATCCAATTGGTCAGTACAATTCTAGCTTATCGACCCGGTTTCCGTTCGTAATACGAGATTGCGTCACGGGGGTCGTCTTTGTAACGGTTACATCGCGATCGTCACGCTGATAACGGATGCGCAAACTTCACGCTCAACGTGTTTACTTTCAACGACCCACATGCAACTGGGTTATCGGTTTGGTCAGAGGGGGGTCCACACCTGTTTCGACGTCGAGGTGAATTGGGGGATTTAGCGAGAAACACCAGGATGTGGGTTGACCGCTCGATGGTGCAGCTAGGTCATCGAGTTACTTATCTCCGAACTTATCTCCCGTTTGAAAGACGGACAATTTCAAATCACCTCTCGCAGTTATCCGGTCGATATTATTTCCTAGGCGATTAGGATCAGCGTTAGGATCTATTCTGGCGTGAAGTTTGCTATCTGAAGCTCGGAGGTTGGCTATTGTGTCAGGAAAAGATAAGAAGTGGGAGTGGAACAGAAATGGAACGTACCTTGGATTCGTGGCGCTGGCGGTGTTCCATTTCAAACACTTCGCTAGTTGCATCGGTAGAATGCCCATGCACGTGCTAACTATGCACAGGATAGCCATAGTGACGCCTTTTGCGATCAGTACCCTAGACATATCCTCGCTCTCGTAACCGTGATCGTGACCGTGATCGTGTTTATCTCCGTGGTAGGTATCCGTCTGAGACATCAGTCGTCGCATAAACCAATTATCCTCCACCGGTGACATGGTTCCTTTTTCGCCGGTCAAAGTCTCCTGAAAACGGCGAATTTTTAAAAAATGTTTCACCCTCAGACTCACGGAGGTAATTCGTTGCGAAGCAGACCGTGGCCAACATATTCGTCCAAGTTCAGAAGAAATACGACACTTTCATTCATTTATGCTTTTTTTCAGGTCGAAAATGAATTTCTAGAAGTAGGTAGAAAGCTTGTTGTCCTCCTAGATGTCGCATGCTGTGCGCGCAAGGTTGAAAATTCTCTATTAAATCTGGTAGAGGTTGAAACGAGGTAACGGAAAGAAATACGAGTGAGTGCGAAGTATTTCAAAGAACAAAACGTGATCAATCGTTTCACACGTCGGTAACATCGTGACGCACAAGAAACATCTAACAAGGGATCGTGTCGTAATCTGTGTACGTGTAACATAGCGTACAATATGTTTCCATCGGTTTTCCCGCCTCATCGTATTTTGAACACGAGGATCTGTATTATATATACGTTAACGTACAATTTCAAGATTACGATTACGATCCTTGGTAAGCCTGCGACGCTCGGAAACAAAGAATTCCTTTTTATCTGGTCAACATCTGATTCACATTTTATCGGCCTTCTCGCGGCTTTATTTTATCGTCCGTTATAGGAACGATTGTTTGCACTATCGCGACATTGTACGGTTAAATTGTGAAAATAACCGGTGAGAACGTAGCAGTAGTTATACATATACGACGTATTCCACGATCGTAAACCTGGAAGATCATAAAATATTTGTTTAACTTGCAGCAAAGCGGTAATTCGAGAATTTCGAGGGCACCGAAATGCATTTACCGGCAGTAGTAAATGCCATTTTTAAACCGTTGATACCGAACGTTCGAATTTCAGTAATTTCACGAACGAAAGTTCCAAGTACTTCTTGCTTTAGAAACGGCGCTTGAAATGTTTTCGTGGAACGTCAATGAACATCGTGTACGAAGATATTGAATCAGGTATCGATTACACGCCACTTGAACCTAGTTTTAAAGGTTTGATAGAGACGTGAACGTTTCGCAATCGGAAATAGATATATCGAACGCGAGATATCTGGAAACGAACAGATAAAATGGTCGACTACCGGCGAAACGTCTACGTGTACAGTTTCAAGAAGCACAAGAAAGACTTCCATTGGAAGAAGAAAGATTGTAATTAATATGATTTCGTTTGATATTGTCAGATTCATATCGCTGTCGGAATGTGCGGATGCAACAAGACGCCTGATTCGCATAGGCAGTTATTGAATTACCACCGCGACAATGTAAAATCAACAATAGCGAGATAAAGTGTAATCCACGCTGCGAACGATTGCAGTGTAGACTGCAGTCTACTTCGATGAAACTGTAGACGACCGGTTCCATGTTTAAAATTCAAAATTTCAAATACCCGTAGACTCGATAATCGATCGGGCATACGGCTCCCTTCAGATCGTTGCCAACCGATCTTAATTCAAAATTCGCAAGTGCTTGAACATAGCACCGTACGGAGCGTATCGATATTAATTGAAACTTCACCGTATTTAAATTTCCTCCGTGCTTCCTACTTTATCGGTTACGTGGCATTTACAATTCTTTCTGTTGCTATGATTAAGTTCACAAAAATGTTTCCATCCGTGAACTTGCTGTGTTCAAGTACATGTGATAAAAATGTATAAATTCGGTAAACATTTATGTGGTACGTGTTCATGTAATATCTAATTGTATTAGATGCTGCACTCTAATGTTCTATTATATTATTGATAATACCTCTAGAAGCGTGAATGCGCCGCGACACCTGTTCGCTTGGTTCGATATTATCCAGCCGGGGAGAGACTTCAGGTGTCAGATACAAACGCTTTAGTCGGCGCACTACTGATTGTCTCATTTTTTTACCGGGAAGCCAATTCGTATATATATAGACTGAGAGCAGCCACGGTATCGCTGTTTCATGATCGTTGAAGTCACCAACATGCGATAAGGTTTACCACGTCGGGGAGGAATAGCCAGTAAGTGAACACCTTCAGTTATCACCTAATAATAAGGTAGATAGAGGGGTGGGGTGATGCATGTGACCGATTTCAGAATGGAAGGAATTTCGATTCTATGGACTGTACAGTAATCAAATTTAAATGCAAGAGGACGGCCTTCGTCAAGACATTTTTCAATTTGTATCGCAAAACACATCCAAATAAATAGATACACTCAGCGCGATTGCCCACAAAAATATTCTACAATCTCAAAAATGATAAAGTAACGAATCCGAAATCTGCCATTTTGATGGATCTCTTTCGAATCTCTGCCTACTACCGAGTAACATGCAAAAAGCCAGCTGTTTTAAGTGTTCATAGGAAATGCAAATAATCAATTTTGAGATAGTTAGCAGGTGAATATTGGAGTTCTGGATTAGCACAGCCATCTTCTAGATTTCAAACATCTTTGTAGTCAATTGAAAAAATTTGAAGAAGTTTTATATCGTTTACTTCCTTTCCTTGCCAAATTGATACGGATATCAGCTACTGTTATTACATATCTAATGATTTTTTAAATCCTGATAATTCTGAATCTGCATTGCTGATTAAACTTGCGATTTCTGTATCACATCCGTAACGATTATTATCGGTTCCATCAGCCGCCAGATTTCTGCCCCTCGGTCTTCGCCATGGACCTGATTATTATCAGATCGATTATTCTTCTAACGAATGATTTTTAGTTTTGATTTTAAGCAGATTAAGTACGCGTAATTAAACCGATAAAAAATAAGCTTAACCGAAGCTGAAGCCGATAAAACTCATTATATCCTATGTGGTCGTTTCAAGTGTTTCAGTTCATAAACAGCGCGATAAGAAAACGGAAGCCCAAAGATCACGAGGTTGCTAAAAATAACGAAAACGTAATGTAAACGGGATCACTGAAGGGCCAACATTTCGTTCGACCGATGATAAATTAAGAAATTCCAATGTTTGTTCTAGAGAAGATTGCTGTGCAGACGGCTGAGCTAACTGGCAGGCCCAGGAACGTCTGTCGCTAATTACAGGAGAGCCAGAATGTATTGTTGCCACGATTCCCTATTGAAATGTAAATTTGTCAAGACCCGACGGTACCAGTCATCGTTCCAGCGTTTTCACTGTTCTTCGACTGAAACCGATCGACTCGAACACTCGTTAAAACCGGGAACGGACCGAAGGGGCGTCGAGAACGAATGGTACTGCACAGTACCGAGTACAGAATACAGTGAAAGTATGCCCGCTATGCTCCTTCGGCGAGGAAAGAAGAAAAGGGGGGGAGGATCGACTTTTGCGCGTTCACCCCAAGGTAAACGGCAACATAGTTGACCGAAGCGAGTGTTCGATTATTATCGCTTCAACGCTGCTGCCGAACAAAGCTGAGAGATTCGACGATCCGTTGTTTCCGACAACTATGACGAAACCGATCTGCAGAAATTTGCAAAAGATCTGCGCGTATTGCGATAGCTGGCAGCTTCGTGCGTTCAGAAACGTTGATGCAAGCTTCAATCACTTTATGCCCCTAATAGGTGAAAATATGATTATGATGATTTAACTGATACCGGCCGAGTTCCCACGCCATATTGCACAAGATTCGGTGTAACAATCCGCGCGCCAGCACCGTACGAAATCGGCCGATTTTTATGCGTTTCACACATCGAGAACACGATATTTTCCAACGAGATCAATATTTAAAATTCCTTATTCGATAATCGGGTTGCAGGATCGAACAAACGTTTCGCGAACGCAGCCGCTGCGTGTATCTTCACCGATATTTGCGTTTCATCGCGGAGTTTTCACTTGCGCACACATTTAACGCAACTAGAGTAAACAGTTTTGTAACTTATAATCGATTCCTTCTCTCCTTATGTCGACGGTGGGAACGTAAGCGCCGAAGATTTCCAATATTTGCAGGAAACAAACGATTTTTCTTATCAGAATATTACGTGACCGTTAATCTTCTAGCCGAAGTGCAGACACGGCTTGTACTTATTCCACTGGAATGAAAATTGATTTTTAAGAATCGAAAACGATAATTCCTTCATCATTGTCCTTCGATCTATTGGCTGCTGGTAATGAGGAAAATATCTTGCATACCAGTTGTTTTTTTCTTCTAACTAACAAGGAAGCGCTGGAAGTGACAGAATTTCCGTCTTGATCAAGAATTCATTTTCCTAGACATTGAAAATATTTTGTGTTGGTTTTTGTTGAATTATAAAATTCACTGTTCCAAAATATTCCGGTTGTTAACAGCAGACCATCGACCAGTAAAATGATTCTTGAGAACAACGGTTGACCGTATTCTCTCGGGCCTGCTTTTTCGACAAATTCAAAGCGTTCTTTCTTTTGCAGTGGCCATTGTGACAGTCATTCTGGCAGAAGTCGCATTGACGAGCCCTGTCGGAGTATCAGTGATCAGTTGTTGAAGTGGGTGTCGTGACTACCGGTCGCAAACATGTTCGCGAAACCAGTTTCGGTCGGCATAATCGTCCAAAAAATCGATTCGAACAGTAACGAGTTCCAGCGTTTTTCCCGTAATTTGCACTCTTGGGATTCCCATCACAACGGACCCCTTTCATCGCGACGATGGTCCGTGGGCCAGGCATGTGGCAACAGTTTTACCTCACGAAGTCCGAATCGGCATAAAAATTTGTTAACGGTTCAATAGTTTCAAAAAGATTCGATACTACCAGTGCAGGAGAAATCGAAGAATATTCGATTCCAGTGATTTAGAAAGTAATCAATTTTAATCAGTTAGAAATAAAGTGTAATTTCTGTATTTTATAGGTCTATCTATGTAACAAGAACAGGATTTAATTGTATTATCATAGAGTGTTGATCGCAGATACTAGTGTACAATATTAATTCTTATCACTCTGTGCTGTCAAGCTTAAACCAGCGATCTATTCCAGAAAATTCGATAAGGGTTGAATTTTCATAAACAAGAGACTAATTCCAGATGTACGAAGTACATAATCCGCAGTCTATAGTTCAGGGAAAATACATTTAAGCTTCTTACTGATCCGCTTGATGAACGAACTGTTCGTTGCAAAAACACTTAACAGCAATCAAGATAACTGATTAATCGAAACACTTCTAACAGCTGTAAGTAATCGATGACCGATGCAGCAGCGATGGTCGAAGATGCGCGCTGATAAAATGAAATAGATGTGCCGGTTATGGGAACGTATGGAACGATCGGTGAATACAAACGATTTTTCAGTTGACGCCACGATCGATGACTAACAATATTCTGTTCTTTTGTAGCGTTTTCATCGAAACCGATCGAAAGTTACTGTAACACAAACTGTTCGAAATCAGGAATGACGAAAATGATGCAACCGTTTAGGGGATGAGACGATCGACGCTCGCACGGGGATAGCCATTGCGTCTTTTACTCAAAGCGAAACTACGTAAGTACTCTCATTCAACAATTTCCATTAAAAGCAAAACCGCAGAAGCAACGATCTCCGCCCTTCCAACAATTAAAAAATCCAGCATCATTGAAAGAAATCTTTCGAGCAAAAAATGCTGCCAATATCTCCGTGAGTCCCCCCAAAAGCTGCCGCGTACCGGACACAGGAAAAATCAATATCGCCGATAAAATTTGCTTAGGGTATCCGTCGCGCACACATCACTGCTCGAACAACCCCAAACAACAAATTATCTGCTGGACTATAATCGTACGAAGGAGGAGAGAGATGAGATAGGAAAAAAATGAAAATAAAACTCTTCTCACTTGTGCAAAAGGAACCGAACTAGTCGATCACAGAACGCGCACCGTCGACGATGTCCGAAGGCGGCTAGAGTACCGGTCGCGACGAACCTTAGCGCGCTGAGTCGGATGCGTGAATGAAGAGCACGACGCCGCTGCAAGAGAGAGTAACCGGTGTGCCGATGTGCCGGTGGATGGTACTTTCGTACCTGTTTCTTGGGATTCCCTAACGTATGGCAGGTACGCAGCTCTCCTCGTACTGGGGGATTCCTCGGTGACCGTCTGCTCGACCATACGATTCACCCTGGTCACGTGTGCGGACGTGATGTACCCGTAAATAGCGTCGTCGACACGCGGTATCCGTTTCATCCTGTTGTAATATGACTGATCGAACATGGATGTCTTGGGAATGATCTATCGGATCATAAACACCGGAAAAAACAAGTGGTGTATTGCTCTTGCTTCCTCAAGGTGAAGGATGCCTGCTGAGGGGTGCTTGGGACTATTTGTTTCAATGAGCTGGTGGCAATCAACTGGTGGTTCATAGAGGTCGGCTGAGTCTCTGAATTTAAATTACAAACTCTTCCCAGCTCCGAGACTCGATTCAGAAGTTTTCCAAGTTCCTAGATTCAACGTAGATCCTGATCTTAGACATTTGGATTTATGTTAAAAATCTTGTGGAACTCTATCTAGAATTTCTGCACCATAATCGACTTTCCTGGACATCGAGTTTTGAAATGTATTATAAAAAGATGCATTTTTACGTATTTTACACCGTATTCATATGGACCGCGCTAATCGTATTGTTTTCTGCATGCTTTAACTTAACGCTGAAGTCACGTTTTTACGTCCTCAGTATTTTTATCGTTTCTATTACGCGTCTGTTCACCTAATTATGCAATCCGCCAAGGTGACTGCTGGATCAGCTGTAACAGCCTTTTATCGGTTTTCGATTTGCTCTTCCCTTGAAGATCGCTATTACATCACTCGTCTCCATAAAAGTGGAGACTGCAGGCTAGCGATGGAACCAAGTGTGTTAATTAAATGCCCATCGAGTGTTCGAATCAATATACAAGATTTATCTCGCTTTATTTGATTGTACAACATCACGTACATAAGATTGCTAAATAGCAATGCACTAACGATCTTAACGAAAACATAATAATGGCTTCTGGGTATCTGCAACAGACAATCGTTAAATCACGGAGGTTTTTGCGCCGAGATAAATCCGAGAAAGGAAAGTGGAAATTTCACAAAGAGTTCGAACATGCTCTGCTACGATTCAATGCTTCTGTAAGCGCAATTAGCAGTGCTCCTAAATGCTCGTGATTGCGTTGCTCGCAAAGTGCTCGGATCCATTACTAGCGTGCTTGATTCTAATATAGTGTCCGGCTTGTATTCTCGAATCTCGCATCGAGAAACCACTGAACCGTAGACATCGAGTAGTGTTGAGCCACTATGTTATATGAATGATCGATTGCAAGTGTTTTTTTTCCTCTATTGTAATTCAAGCTTCTTTTAATGTTCCAGCGGAGGACGCCATTGTCGTGACTAATTTACCTAACGATCGGGAAACACTGAATATTTATTATCAGAGATTGTGAGATAATTCGTGACACAATCATGTACGAAAACTCCTTTAGAGCCCCTAGCTGTTTCCGATATTAGCATGACGATACGGGTGTCCGTTTTCAAGCAGACACTCTGCATAAATCAGAAACTTTTCATCGATTGACAGGTGATTGATGCTGCAAGAGTTAGACATCAGCAGAAAACGAACAGGAAAAAACTGTACCTACGGATTCTGTGGGAACAGAGCCTTTCAATGCCCGCTGTTCCGAGAAGAATCTCTGACGGTAATAGGAAACGAGCGTTAAAAAAAGATATTACAAGATCCTTCTAAATTGCGTTATTTCCATGTACATTCAAGGAGTGAATTTGTACAAAAGTTTTCCCGTTTGAAATATTTCTGGAAAGTCCCAGAATGTAGACGCATCTTCTTTGAACTATTTGAGAAACCTTTGGCTTAGGGGATAGCTTCCCCAGCTTATTTATTACTCGAACGTGCTTTTCAGCTATCTCAAGAAAAGGAATTATTACGTAGACAAACTGCTTAGCCATTTCAGGGTTAATCGAACTTGATTTCGTGCACGTATAAGGCAGAGGCAAGCATATGCACGGCGATCAAAAGGTTAAAACTGGAATTCCATTGAAACCAGTTAGAGCGGTGGAACGCATGAATCGGATTATCATTGCGCTGAATGAATCATCTGCGCGGCGAGATCTGTCGCTTGCGATCCGGAGATACGCCGCATCGCTGCCGCCCCATTATCTTTTTCCGTCAGCTGGCGCTGACGCGAACGAAATACAATATTACAGCGCGAACGTGGCAGACGGCGACGCAGAAGAAACCGCGAACAAGAAGAGGAGGAAATCGAGCGAACTGTCTACCAGCCAGCGGCGATTATGTTTAGAAAGCTCGAATTGTGCCCGCAAGAGCTACTTGCGTTAACGCAATCTTATCGCTGATCCATTGTGGACTGGTTCCGTGTATCATTAATCGTATGCCGTCAGTAACTTGTTATCGGCTCCCGGTTTTGCATAAGATGCCTGTATAATTTTTCAGAAAATTATATGATCCAACTGTATACAATTCTTCTATCTATATTGTAGATCTTCTGTCTCTGAAAATGTCCAAGATTACTGTTGGAACGAATTGCTGAAAGAAGCGCAAAACGGTTTGGTTATCCTTTACTCTGATTCCTAAATCGTCAAAGATGACCATCTGACGCCATCGTATGAGGAATCCAACGTTCGGTAGGATCGTAACCACCGGTCATCAATTATCCGGCAACGTTTAACGTCAATCCGCCGGTTGGATTTCGCAGTTCTGTCATCCGTCCACGAGAATTACTCGTAATTATTCTATTACGATGACCGTATTCTTAGAGGACATTGCATCTGCAAAGCGCAACAATACATTCACGTCAAAATAACGGCGGATAATGTCTGTGGAAGTCGTAGCTCGCAGCACATTGTGCATACGATCAGTAATTACACCATTATCTGTACAAGGTGTTCCATAATAAGTACACGAATTTAGTAGAGAGAATTATAGACCCTATCAACAATATTCTGTATCGAAGAACCCGTCCATTACTCATAATTACCTAAAATCATATTAATGATTTTGAAATTTTTAACTTTGGAAATGACTCTTTCCTCCAAAAGAAATGCCTTTTCCGCAAGTAACGAGCATTCTTTGCCCTTAGTGATCCTGCTTCCTGCCTGCAACATTCGCCCATTTCACATGGATCACTCTGTACATGAGAAAAATTTTCCATTGTTGCGGATTAAACTTATCTCGCCGTCAAACGCCGGAATTGCGAACGGACAATCAGAAAATCGTCCGCGAGTCATCCGCGCGGGAGGAATCAACTTATTCAAATACTGGGCACCCACGCGATGCGCAATGAATCACGAAACCCGTCAGGTACGCGACGATTACGCGTAGCAAGGAATTTCACCATCCCGAGGCACCTTGTCCGAGAGTTTTCCTCGTACAGGTAGGTCATCGTTCACGGAAGCGAGTTGTAAAACTCGATCTTCCTCCTACGGGGCCGGTTAGAAATTGCAATCTGGAAACAGGACGGAGAAAGCGTATCACGTTCGACCTTTAACACGTCTGACCAACACACATACCTTACCAGGCTAAATTAGATCTGAAAACATTTAAATCTTATCTTTGTTATTGTTTACTTTAGGAGAGACAAACGACCCCCAACAGAAGTGTTTATATTCCAACTATTCCATTGCGCATCAAGTAGTGCGCAGGTGTTCGAAAAAGAATAAAAAAAAGTGAGCAGAAGTGATTCGCAAAATAAGCCTTCGTATGCAGGTTATATTATTATATATACATCCTATAGAGTTTATATATACACATATTAGCTACGTATTTGATGATGTTTATCATCCAGTAGTAATTACTGTTATTGTTTGTATATTCAACAGTAACTCTCCTTGATTCCGGGGATAAGCCAATAAGAGCAAAGAGGAAGTAGTTTCCTCCGCTTCCGAGCTCTCACGGTGTCTCTCAAGTCGATGCGCGTTGATGCACGTATAGAAGAAATTACCTTCTTATGACACTTTTGCCTATCTTTCGTTTAATTATGCAGAAATATCGAGAATCGATGAAGCTCTTTAAGAGGTCGAGGATAGTTGGTAAGTGGTATAAGAAAATGATTCAAATAAATTGTCGGGTCAGGCTAGAACGGACTGTGCCATGAGAAAATATTTTGCAAGTGAGTAGTGCGCAGTTAAATGGCATTAGAAACTGAGCGAGGAATGGGAAGCTCTGTTTAAATGCCAAGGATGAAGGGGATTCGAAATTTTTTCTTCCCATTCTTTGAGCACAGTGTTGTGAGAAAGTTACGTTAACGTTCATCGAACTAGAATGGAGCTCGCGAAGGATCGACGTCGAACAATTTTATTACTGAAACAGCACTTTACCAGATCTCTTCCGGGAGGCACAATTGGCGGGAAAAGTTATTTCTTGGAGAACGTGGACCGGAAGAAATTTCTTCGATTGTAAAGCAAGCATTTATACCACGCAGTGATCCATGGTCACGTTTCCATTCGAGGAAATGGTAGTGAAACTTTTATGTAGTCATAAAATTTGGAATTAGGTTTTTGTACGTCGTGACGCACACCGTTCACCATTTGCATGCAGTCCGTTTGAGGTTAACTAACTTTGTGCGACTTTGGGAAACGTTGAGTCTAGATCATGTTTCTTGATTTTCACGATATTTTTACTAAAATTATACTTGCAAACACGATGTCCAATTGTCCTGTTACTTTCGAATCAATTTCAGTGAAACAGATTTTCTGTAGGTAACGAAGTTTCCATGCCCTACTATGCCAACAGTTATCTGTGCCACGACTTCGCGAACGTTGCTTTAGATGTCGCCAAATTACGGTCACCATTTTGTCAATTGCAGCAACCTACGTTGCAGAAGGAGATCGAGAAATATTCAACATAAATATTTATTGCTCCTAATTAGTATAACCAAGGCTGTTATTATCTTCTCTTTTAAAGATATACTTTATACAACTAGTCGAAAATTGAGAAACGAATCGAGGTTACAAAACAGAACGATCGGAATCTGATAAGGTAAAATGAATCGATGCTAATACATTGTAAACGTTCACGACTTTGTAAAACTGCAAAATTCAACGCGGTTTATTAGATCAGAATTAGAAGGAAAGATTTAATGTTTCATTAGCAATGTCTCGTAATAATTTGTCACGATGTATACGGTACAGTCGATGTACAATTTCTGTAGTAAATCTAACTAATGTGCCGCAATTACCGGCGGTCTTGACAGGCGAGAAACATGAATTATTGTGATTCATGAAAGTCTGTGCAAACAGATTTCACTTTTTGAATTCATTACCACCTGTTGTACAGATAATAATCGCGGTTGAATTTTCTCGGCGCGCCAGGTGATTGCTGCTTGCCGCGTGGCACGTCCGAAAAGCAACGAAAATTGCCGATCCGATGGGACTGACGCAGCGAAGCGCCAGTTGTATGTCGGACGTCGTGCCAATCGTGTTGTCGCAGCTCTTCGGTTCGGTGAGTGAGTTATCCACGAATCGTATATCTCTTTGTACACCTTGCACACATTCTACACGCATCTACAACATCGTTCGCAAAGCACAAGGGACATCGATATATTTGCACGAATATAGTCAATTGTTTCCGACCGTGAACGCGTTATCACGTTGCTCGGTGTCAACTGTCGTTCCATAGAGTTCGAATTCGCACGAGTGTACGTTAGTGCAAAACAGCGGGTAAAGATGTGACCGTTTAACGTTAACCATCGTCACGAATCATTTTCAATGTTATACACTGGTGACTTTCATTTTCTGTGATTATTGCTTCGGTTATATACACGGTATAGCTATCTAAAGAGACACGCGTGATCGGCGAAGGCTGTTGTGCAATTCAGGAAGGTGACATTCTGTTTTGTATTTTACCTACACGGATTTTCACGTAATTGTAACGCGCAATTATTTCATTCGAATATACGCGTCGGAATAGTCTTGCTGCACCCAGTGTTCTTGCTAGATTTATATGGTGAAAGGTTCGATAGAAAGCGTTGATTTTTTTTTATTCGTACCGATCATTTCGAGATCGTTGATTCGAATAAGATGACATCGGTCGTGATGCATTTAAAGATTTGTTTATGTTTACCCATGCGTGACATGCGGAAGTACCGGACAACTGGTAAACTAGAGTCATAAGTACAGCAACATATGTTTCGTACGTTGGGCCGGTATTCTCGTTAGCTTCGTTACAAGTTCTGCATCTTTATGATCGTATGAAGCAAATTATTACCACACACAACTATACGTATCGTTCTTTCTTATATAGTTTTAGAATTATTTGGTAACCTTCACGGTCTTATTCGTGCATCGATCTACTAAATATTATCAGTATTTGCATGCAATAAACATACATGAAATATGCAATATACTTTTGCATACATCCTTCGAATAATATAATACGAAATATGCGAGGTATGTAAATTAAACGACAACCCTGGGACACATTTTTGATTCTGTTTCCTGTATAAATTCATATTCTCTTGAATTTTTTTACATTTTCTGTTTTGTTCTAGGTTCTTTTTGTTTTATGTTTCCCACGAGAATCGAATTCTTTCGAAACGCCATTTTTATATTTCGAGGATCGAATTATTTCGGGACGCCATCTACGCACGTATTTCGAGAATCGAAATTTTCGCTATTGATCGCCATTTTCGAATAATCGATCCGCCTTCGCGGATCGTTCTACGCGCATATCGATGCCGAGAAGTCGTGCCGTGCGACATTTCGTATCGATTTCTCTAACCTTAGATCATGTTACAAATGTCTGCCGCGCGGACACGGACAAACAGTGCGAGGAGATATTATAAAAATAATCGATGGTGGATAACGGTGGTTTGGACATCGAACCGGCGCGAACGATACATCATGGTGTCCTCAAACGCACGCATACGCACGAGAGATAAATCTTTCACGGGATATTTGCGAAAGTTTCTCGGATAGCAAGACGATATCGACGGTACATACATTCAATATGTAAGATTTATCTTATCCGTTGATTTAATATTTGCGTCACGAATTATTGATGCAGGCAGATATATGGAATTAATATTTCTTAATTCTTTCTTTCTTTTTGTTCGATAACAGAGATAAAGGAAACATATGCGATATGCATACCGATGAATCTTGCATTACCGGTCGCAAACGAACTTGCACACCGAAACAGGTACTTCGAAGTACCGTTTTAATTGGGACTGGTGCCGAAAACGCTTTCGATTGCGTGCGCAATTTAATGTGCCACGGTGTGCATTTAATTGTCTGAACGATCGTGAAATATATCTTCGATGGAAACGGATTGGTAACAAACGGTTGGAGGAAACATCATGACTGTGTTTTCTAGCCAGTCACTGGACGAACGTCTCTAAGGCTTTCCACGTCTTAATCGTTAGCTTCCGAACTAATTGGGTTAGGCGAGCACGATATACGCACAGGTTTCGACCGTGAAAATTTCCTCGACTCCGCCGTGTACGCTTCGGGGAACGTTTCGTTTTCTCGTGTGCCGCCACGGCGCACCATAAATATAACCGTAACCGACCCAGGCAACTTTGTTTTTTCCGGCCGTTCGTTCCGCGATGTATGACTTCTAATTGAATTACATTCTTCTGCACGGTTCGTTCGCTTCGCGAAAAGTAAACGGGGAACCGTGACCCACTGTTTATAAGAAATCGTGGCGTGGTCAGTTCGCCGTTCTGCTCCATCGACAATCCCCGTCGAATTAACGCGATTTCTGCGTCGGCGACCCGCAGCCCGCTCCGCGGATCGGTATTGTTAAAAGCCACCGGCCATTATGCGCACCGGGGGCTTGGTACAATAACGCGGCGACAATTCTTCTTCCGTCTGTTCCCACGAAACGCGCGCGGCTATACAAGGTGTCCGAAAATGCAGTTGCAACGATCCACGATCGTAGTCGAGTTTCAATACAAATTTGCAATTTCAACGATCAATGCGGAATCGTGATTTTGTAATATGAAATTAGAAAATCGCGTTCGTTCGTCGGATTGGAACCGCGTTCGCATTGGAATCAGTCGCGCAAGCTCGCTGTTTCGAGCATGCTGTAATTAACGAACTGCTCTTACAATAATCCTTTGTATTCAATTATAATTGGTTGAAATGGGTGACGTCTGGTGACGCTGTAAAGCGCATGATACATATATTTCTTTGCAGTTGCAACAGGATTAGGAGAGTGGAACGAAGATGCACAGGTGCGGGAACAAGGGCGATCCGGTCGCGGTGAATTAGCGTGTGAATCGCGCGCGCCTTCGTTCCCCTGTAAGTGTATCTGATAGCCACCGTAGAAAAAGGAGAAGAAAATCCCGGCCTCTCTCTCTCTCTCTTTCACTGGGTGCGTGATGAAAGCTCGTTTGGTCTGCTCTGCCTATGTCGTGCGAGGATCCGTGCACCGATTACCGACCACTTATTTATAAACAATGAGTTTTTCCGTCGGTCGGTCGCATCTGCTCTTGATATCGCGTTACGAGATTCCGGTTCGTTTGAGCCGAGCATTCGCGTTCGAACATTGCATTTCCTGGATAAATTCAAAGGTAGATCCCTGCGACGAGGCCGCTTCGTTTTTCCGGCCATTCGTTCCGCGAGGCATGACTCATAATCGAATTACATTTTTCGTCGAGTTAATGCTAAACCTACCAACGTGGTCGAAAAGACCGGTTTCACGCACAGTTCTTGTCTCGAAGTTGCTGCAATTATAAAGACTCTGTCGAAGGAAAATGTTCGGATACACTTTTCATATAACACTTTCCAATAAATATCTGATGCTGATAAATCCGTTTAAGATTCGCGAGATCGCTCCGGTTAGTCGTCGACCATCTTGGCTCCCTTTAATTAAGCTAAGTAAGAGAGGTTCCCGTGGCGAGAGACGGGCTCTCGATTCACGCAGCCGCGGGAGCCGCGTTAACGAAGAGCCGGTTTCCCGATCAGCTGACGATTTAATTAAACGGAACAAAACAGAGCGCGTCCTTAGTAGTGGCTCGTGACATCGAGCCGAGGCTAACGATTCACCGAGGTTCCCGATCGGACGGTCTTGCTCGCATGAGTCATCCGAGCTACGTGGTTCGTTCTCTCTCTCTCTCTCTCTCTCTCTCTCTTTATTTCTCTTTCTCTTGCAATATGCAAATTGAGCAGAATTCTGATTTAGATTAACAAGTGCAAACATGTGTACAAAAATGTGTGTAAACATGCGTGCAGAAATCTCTCTCTCTCTCTCTCTCTCTCTCTCTCAGTTTGCCTCTCCCACTGAATTGTGCATCTTGTATCGAATACACACGCCTAGACGAGCGTCCGATCCTTTTTTCCTCGATTACGCAACGCGTAACCAGACCGGCGGTAATTATCGCGGCTGATTGCCGGCGAATCGAAGGCGAGATCGTGTACGGGCCCGGCCAAGGGCCTTCCGGAGATGCAAATGAACAATAAACAGTCGGCTTTATCGACTGGATCTCCCTGGCTCGGTTTCGTGTGACCATAAACTTCGAACGGATGCGTAACACCTACTCCCCCGGTTGTCTCATTATTAATTCGTATTCTGTAGCTGCGCGAATCCGAGAGGCTCGCGCGATCAGATAACAACGTGTTCAACGGAACGGGATCTTCGGCGTCGCGTTTAATAACGAGCTCTCCCCGTGCCCGTGCTGCTCGATTACAGTATGCTGATTTTCGAACGAAATAATCCAAAGATCGCGTGTCCAAAGCCCGACGCTCCGACATTGAAATTCTATTCGCCGAGCACGGTTTCCAAGCGTGCCGGTCTCCGGGGTAAACGAACGATCTCAAATGCAGATCTCGATCCCGACAGTTATGCACGCGGGAATTCCACGGTCCGACTTCCAACGGTCGGATCCAAATCTCTGATGTTAACGGTTGTCGGGCTCGGATCCCGACTCCAAACGGGCTGATCTAACGAACTTCAAATTCGAACGGTCGGATTCGGATTCGAATTTCGACGGTCAGGCTCGAATTTCGATGATCGAACGGAAATGCCCGAAACGGCGAAATTCGCTGCGCCGTTCTCGTCGCCGTGTTACGAGGAGCTTTTTGGCGCGCGGTGACTTGGAAACTGCTCTGTTATAGTTAAGCGAAGCCATCGGGGTTAGTGTGAAGGCCGTTTTGATTCTGCAGTCCCCTATTTTTCAACGCCCACCTTCGCTGTTGTACGTACAGCGGTGCGGACCTTATATGTATGTATTACATGTACATATACGTGCTTGAGAAAAATGAGTGCACGATCGATAGAACAATTGAGGTACATAGTTATCTGCGAATCTACGATCAAGTTTTATATAGACGCAAATTTTACCATTCAACAGATCGAACGAGAACGCCGAAGAAAAACGCTTCTCTGGATGCCAAGTTTCTCTGTCGAATCTGAAAGAGTTGGAATGACCTCGGGGGCCCCTCGTTTCCCGCTTGTACAATAATTTTGGGACAGCCTGTATTCTCGACGTGCACACGACGCCCTGTTTCCATACGTGTCCGCATAACGGTGGAAAGAAGAACGGTGCGCCGAGAGCGGCCGATTAAATAGCCCAGTGTGCCACCGAGCGCTCGAAATCACATCCCACGATTCAATCTAATCGTCGAAAGCGGTCGATGACGAGGATCGCGCGAAGGTTGTTCCAATTAATATTAAACTGGCTGCGAGATGATGATACCGCCGCAAGTACCTACGTGATCGCAGTAACGAACGTGACGTGCACTTGTTGCGCCCGTAATCCCTGCTGCTGGACCCCGGTGCACCGCTATAGCATCCGACGGAACGATAGATAGCGTCGCTGCACGCTTTCTCGGATTTATCAGAACTCACGATCCGAAAGTAAATTCGCTCTATCGAGAGTTCGAATAAATCGTGAACGCGTCTTTTCAGATAGCAGCTACTTTTTCTTATTAACGAAACACACGTGTGTGTCTATGTACGTGTATCGTCGATGTTTACGCGTACATTTATCGAACGAGTATTATCCACGATCCCATCGACGCGCTGCACGTTATTTCGAAGCTTTCCGAAGCACTCGCCATTATCGAATTTCGTGGAAATTTTTTGATATTTTTGTAAACAACCAACAACAAGGATACGGTTTTAATCGATCGAAAATAGATAGACGGCACTTCAACGGCTTTCGAATGATTTATCACGAAGATAGCCGCTTTAAACATTTCTGCGAACGAATTGTGTTACGTTGTTTCTTAGATTGTGCACAATCTAAGAACGGTGTTGATCCGGGGTGATCAGTACACCCGGGGTGTACAGGGGTGATCCGTTCGAGTGGACTCGGTGGAATATTATGCGAGGGAATTCAAGTTATCGAAAATATATGTTCCTACAAAAGTATAGTTTGATGTAGAGATTGGATGATATAAACAATATTTCTACGTAGAAAGTCGGCTCGAAAGGCGTGTCACTGTGCAATCGGAAGAGCGACGGAAATTCGCGTCGGTTCCACGGACTTTGCGGGAAACCCTGTTTCGAAGTCTCGCGGGATTTCCCTTTCCGTCGATCCCGTTTTTTTTGTCCAGGGAGGAGGACGGGTCGTTGGCCTTGCTTTATGGCTCGAGGTGGCAACGCTCTCCATTCTAATGTAATCTCCATTGTAAATCCGATGACGGGACTCTTTCCTCCTCCTCGTCCGCTTTCGTCTTGCTTCAGTTTTTCTCTCGCTTCTCCTAACAACCGCGCCGCGTCCTCTTCGCACCGGCCAGATCTTCTTGCGAACGCTCGCTGATTTCTAAAAAAAAAACCCTCGATTAAACCGCGATACGCGATACGCAATCAGTCGAATTCGTTGTCACGCGTTCTCTCTGTACTCGCGCGATGCATCGAATCGTTCAAGGATGCGAATCAAGGATACGAACTATCTTCGCGTTGTTTTATCTTTCGTCGAGATAAGAGCCGCTGATCTAACGCGACAGCTAGAAACCACTTGAAACACTTCTTTTCTCTCATTTTTCTTTTCTTCTTTTTTAGAGAACACGATTTCGAAATCGCAACGTAAGCCGCAGACTGGTCGGATACGCGACGCGTATAGGCGCGCGCTCTGAAAAGGAGGCGCCGCAGCTAACTGGTTGATCCGTACTTCTAAACGGCGCATTTATCCTGGCAAAACACTACGGAAAGAACGGCTTACGCTCGCGAAACCGGGCAACATCTCCCGAAACACCTTCTTCGCCCAGTTGCACAAGATTTGCGCTCGGACCGTTACACCTCCCGCAGCTTCTCCCCACCGAAAAGATACGTCCAGTTGCTCGAACGGTGCAGTATGCTATTCCTAAATATTTGAAGAAGGTAGCCTCGGCTAATCGATCCCGAAAAATTCCGAAAGATGCGCACGTTCTGCTTTCCATCGGACCGCAATAGAAACCGAGTTGCAACGGAGTTCGCAGGCTTGCGCAGGCAACAACTGGTCATTGTTGTTGCTGCTGTTGCTGCATTCGACTTTCCTCGAGGGCTCGCCACGTGCACTTGCACGGACAACGGCGGCCGGGTCGGCTGGCCAGGTTCCGCGGACGAATCGCGGCCGAAGAGGATTACGAAACCGGCGCGGCGGGAGCGTAACGTCTAATTACACAGTAGCTACGCAACGCGTGGACGTAATGCGTAATGAGCGGATTCGCGGAAGGTGAAGTAGCTGTCCCGGGTTCGTTGACCATGACGGCGGATAGACGGTGCATACTTTCTCCGCGGACGGCGATGCGATCCGCGGGAAACGTTGAACCGGTCGCGGTTAACAACTCGCAAGGGACGCGCTAAACGTGTACGAATCTCGGTCGCAGACTGCGCGGATGATTATTTAGAGATTATTGGAATCGTGGTCCTGGATCCTCGAGGAGATCCTCGGACCTCGGTTTCTCGGAATTTTTCTCTGTCGCAATCTGTGGCTGAGCAGAAACTGGCTGAGCTTTTCTTCGAGACGGTTTTTCGTCAGACTGGCTGGTAGCACAACAAATGAAACGAATAAAATTAACTTTCATTGATGATTCTGACCGTTTCGCACGGTTCTCGTAGGATCTCGTGGACGTTGAGCCGAGAGGAAAACGTCTAGACACAGTCTCGTCGAATAGCAACAAAGTCAAGTGCAGTCGCATCTGCTTTCGTATTCCGGCGCTAGTCACGGCAGATACGTGTCCCCCTCGATAATGTTTTCATTGTCGTACGACGAACGAACGAACGAACGTCGCGCGCGTCCTTTTCTTCTGTTGATTCGTGTCCGACGAATCCAGGGGGCTCGAATTTAGCCGAGCACGTTACCACTGACGCGTGTCACCCCCGTTCCCGAACGTCGGGACCGCTACACCTGCCATTTCCGGTTTCCTCTTCTGATTCATTCATTCATTCATTCCGTTTCATACGAGCTGCTATTCCACGGCGGACAAAAAGGCCGCCGGAATTTGTCGCCGGTGGTTTCCAATCGTTCTCGATGATAGAGGGTGAATGCGTTGCTTCACTTTGTCAGTGAAATTCTATCATTGAGGTTCCGATTGTAATTATTAGTCGAGCTCAACTTTGAACGGGCCGACTTGAAATGCGAGTACAATTCTCAACGATCGAGCTTAAATTCAAGTTCAGCCGAACAGGTTCGAATTCATCTTTCTTAAACATGAGATTCATGTTTAACCCATCCGACAATGAGACACAACGGCGAAATGAGTCACTCGAGTTTTCGGATCATCCTGTCTCACAGAGATAAGAGGATGTGGCTTGTTTTATTGCAACTATAATTCCCCGTATCTTCTATTACAACGTTCGTCCGAATTCCTCGTTTCGTAATCGGCGAGATATCCTATCGTAGATAGGAATCTCGCTGGTAACATGCAATATTAATAATTTTATTGTCCTCACGGGATACACGTACATATGTATCCCGATCCGGTATCGCCGCAATGTAAAGCGGAAAGGCGTAGTGCCGCGACAGCTGCGTGTTACCGTTTTTCTTATAGGGAGCAAGGTGAACGAACCATCGCGGATTCCCACTTCTTTGCCCAATCGCTATTCACGATATGCATATTATACTGGGTGTTCGACGTTCTTAGTCCGACCAGAGTTTATTAGACAACGAGCGAACTATATACTACTATAATCTATATATACTAGATACTACTATAATTTATAATCTATATGCTATTATAATCTATATAATAATCTATAGTATATAGATTATAGTAATATATACTATATGTATATACTATAATGTATACTACTACAAACTACAACCATAAAAACGAGCCGCAAGGCTCGAATAATCGTATCACCTCTTCTCAAAACGTCCATCTTTGTGCGCGATCTGAGCGCGAATTAGGAAGAAATTACTGTATTCTCGGAAGCTCTCGCCGACCATAGTTCGGTAAATACCTGCGCGCTTAAGATGGTACACCCAGTGTAACCACCTGAATCAGGTTAACGGGATCCTGGTATCAGTTGTGCGGCTGACCCGCGACAACTTTGTTGCGAATAACGGTAATCGGTCTTCATTAATAACGTCCTCGTCAGTTCCCCGACGTGATGACCGCCTCCGGATGTTTTTTTTTTCTTTCTCACAGGTTCGCAAAACAGGCTGGTCGATCCGTCGCGCGGATAAGCCGCGGGGATAGCCGCGGAGAGAAGCCGCGTTGCACTTCGCGGTTCCTGTTTCAAGGATCGATGCAAGGATCTACGGCCGATTGTANTCATTCATTCATTCATTCCGTTTCATACGAGCTGCTATTCCACGGCGGACAAAAAGGCCGCCGGAATTTGTCGCCGGTGGTTTCCAATCGTTCTCGATGATAGAGGGTGAATGCGTTGCTTCACTTTGTCAGTGAAATTCTATCATTGAGGTTCCGATTGTAATTATTAGTCGAGCTCAACTTTGAACGGGCCGACTTGAAATGCGAGTACAATTCTCAACGATCGAGCTTAAATTCAAGTTCAGCCGAACAGGTTCGAATTCATCTTTCTTAAACATGAGATTCATGTTTAACCCATCCGACAATGAGACACAACGGCGAAATGAGTCACTCGAGTTTTCGGATCATCCTGTCTCACAGAGATAAGAGGATGTGGCTTGTTTTATTGCAACTATAATTCCCCGTATCTTCTATTACAACGTTCGTCCGAATTCCTCGTTTCGTAATCGGCGAGATATCCTATCGTAGATAGGAATCTCGCTGGTAACATGCAATATTAATAATTTTATTGTCCTCACGGGATACACGTACATATGTATCCCGATCCGGTATCGCCGCAATGTAAAGCGGAAAGGCGTAGTGCCGCGACAGCTGCGTGTTACCGTTTTTCTTATAGGGAGCAAGGTGAACGAACCATCGCGGATTCCCACTTCTTTGCCCAATCGCTATTCACGATATGCATATTATACTGGGTGTTCGACGTTCTTAGTCCGACCAGAGTTTATTAGACAACGAGCGAACTATATACTACTATAATCTATATATACTAGATACTACTATAATTTATAATCTATATGCTATTATAATCTATATAATAATCTATAGTATATAGATTATAGTAATATATACTATATGTATATACTATAATGTATACTACTACAAACTACAACCATAAAAACGAGCCGCAAGGCTCGAATAATCGTATCACCTCTTCTCAAAACGTCCATCTTTGTGCGCGATCTGAGCGCGAATTAGGAAGAAATTACTGTATTCTCGGAAGCTCTCGCCGACCATAGTTCGGTAAATACCTGCGCGCTTAAGATGGTACACCCAGTGTAACCACCTGAATCAGGTTAACGGGATCCTGGTATCAGTTGTGCGGCTGACCCGCGACAACTTTGTTGCGAATAACGGTAATCGGTCTTCATTAATAACGTCCTCGTCAGTTCCCCGACGTGATGACCGCCTCCGGATGTTTTTTTTTTCTTTCTCACAGGTTCGCAAAACAGGCTGGTCGATCCGTCGCGCGGATAAGCCGCGGGGATAGCCGCGGAGAGAAGCCGCGTTGCACTTCGCGGTTCCTGTTTCAAGGATCGATGCAAGGATCTACGGCCGATTGTACCGTTACGATACTCCTAACGGGATGCTGGGAATGCGGCGACAGAGGGGACTCTAGCCGAAACGGGCTCCTTTCTCGCGCTTTCTAGATCAGTCGTGCGAACGATCGAACGATATACCAGCGACAATAACTCGCGCCGACGATTATATCCCGCGATCCCCGTTTCCCGTTTCCTCGTCTCTGTGCCCTGGATCATCGATTTTTCGCGCCGCGCCGGAGAAGAAAACCGCCCGCGAACTTCGGCAATCCGGAAATTCGGATTTCTAGAGAGGCTTCAGTTGGGGGGCGAGAACGCCCTTGAACCGGATTAGACCGATTATGCTCTCGCTCAGAGCAAATGTTCCGTCGAGCTTCGATACCCTGTCGTAGTTCGACGCGTTTAGAGGCGCAGATACGTACGCGGGGGTAGTTTTCGAACGATTTCGGTCCGTCGCAGGTACTATGTATTTTGTACGCATGTTTGCAAACATGATTGCACGCGTTTCTGGCACACATTTTTGCATACGTGTATGCACACGTTCTTTTTTACACATGTTTGCACTTGTATAATCCGAATCGGAGTTCAGCTCAATTTGCGTATTGCGAGAGATAGAGAGAGAAAGGGAGAGAGAGAGATCAGAATCGCAAAGAATCGTTACGCACAGCTAGTCAATTCCGTCACCGCCGGTCTTATCTCGATCGCGATATCTCGCAGATAAAGTCCAGAAATTTTGCGCAAGTATGTGTGTGTTCGCAAAGGTCTAAACGGCTCGGTAGCCGACCAATTAACAGTTCTATGTACCGTCCGTAAAGTCGGTACACGAGAAACTTTCGTTCGCAGTTGCGTTCGCCTCGCGGCGAGAGGTGTTATCGAACCGTATCGTAATTATTGTGCGAAGTCGGATAATTCTGTACAACGTTTCCTCGTTTCTGCCTTGTCCTTCGGCCGGCCAGTCTTCGAATCGTTCCACGGTCGCTGTTAAATCCCCGGCGAACGGCTTTCACGGCGCGGCACTTTTGTTGCTTCTTCTATCAATAACGCGGCACAACCTGATCGGCCGACGCGACGTCTAATCTCCAGCTAGACAGACAGCCAGTAGCGGCGACTGAACCGTTTTCTTTGCACTCTGTTAGATAGACTCTATTCGTTGACCACTTTGTTTTACTTTGTTCGCGTTGCACTTGAACTCCGGTGGAGCCTCGTTCATCCGAGCCGAGTAGAGGTGACGTCACTGTTCGCAGAATGGAACAGTTGTTCAAACTGTTTTTTTTACTCGAAAATAGAGACACTTCTTTCGTCTAGCAGCTTTTCCATTTTACCGAGGCATTATTTTCCATTTTATGCATAAGAAGTTGCGCCCTATTTTTTGGCAAATGAATCGATAGATATCTTTGACAATTTTAATTTCACAGTATGTTACGAAAGCGGCTGAAATATTAGTTTAAAATTATCTTTCAAGTTTCACAAGAATAATTGGTAAAACCAGTGTTAATAATGTTGAAGTTCCCTTGAATAATTGTGCGACGACTCGGGGATGACATTCGAGCGCAAAAGTTTCATCTTCGTCGTATGTACCTTAAAACGCGGTCTCAGAAACTAATCCGTGGTGTGTCGTCAGCGATCCCAGTCACGAAGATCCGGATTAACATTAACGCGTCACGTGTGTGCAATTACGTTGATCCCGCGCGTGGCGTAATTATGCAATTCATTATATGCCGAAAACGAGGGCCGTTTGAAGCAGTAACCGAGATCTAAACTTTCTCTGAAACTAGGAGAAGACATCCGGTGAAAGGAACAACGATTTTTTCGTTTCCGGTGGCTGGATTACAAATCTAAAGGGAAATTCCTTGCAAACCAGAGCCCGCGACCCGTGGGAGGATCTGTTTGTTCGCATTTTAGCCGAACGGAAGCGGACTTTCCAAAGCTATTCTACGGCTGATTAATCTTTTGACTGTCCGAGCCTCCCTTTCAATAAACAATCCATTAGACCCCATGGAAACCGTTCACGAACGATTTAAAAACTCACCTTGCCTGTACCATTGTCTTATGCAGCTTAATTAAATATTTTCTTGTATGGTTGCAGAACATTGACCGACATGGAGAACCAGCAGGTGTGGGTTCGAGACCCACAAGAGGGTTTCATAATCGGCAAGTTCGTGGACATGGTCGATGGGGATGCGCTCATTATGCCACTCGATCTGAAGTATCCTCAGCGCACCTGTCCCCTGGATGAGGTTTATCCTGCTGGGGAGTACACCAAAGACGTGGAAGACAATTGTAATTTTCCAGTTGATTTTTATGCCAGAGAGTCTCCATCGTTTAGCTCGAAGAATTCAGAGGATCGATAAGTTAATAAATGCTCGTACAGTTATAAATCCTACTGATCCCAATCGGTGACGAAGTGAATTGCAGATATATTTTTTGTTCGCGTAAATGGCACACCAACCCGTGTGGGACTATTTTTATCGATTGTAGACGCCAGATACCATCAGCGAGACAACCGCAGTTAATTACCAGGGATCTAGATATAATCGCGAAAGACATTTCGCGCGAACAGTAGCCAAGATTTATCGTCGTTTCCTTTGCGAACGCGAATCCCCGTGTGATTCTCCAGGCGGATCTGTTTCGAGACTTCACTTTCACCTGTTTGCTCTGATTTTCCTGTTCCCAGGTGCTCTGATGTACCTGAACGAGGCCACGCTACTGAACAATGTACGCACTCGTTACTTCAAGGACAGGATATATGTAAGTGATATAATAATATTGCTTCGGGTTATATGAACGTTACGCTTGACGAGCACGCGGATTGACTTCGTGAAATCTCTTCGCAGACTTACGTCGCCAATATCTTGATCGCGGTGAACCCGTATTATGAAGTAAAAGATCTCTATTCACCGAGAACTATCAAGTCCTATCAGGGAAAGTCACTCGGAGAAACGCCGCCGCATGTGTTTGCTATTGGTATGTAATTAGCTGATCGTGGCTACTTTCTTTTACGTTGAAAACGGTCTTGTGACTGACAATGAGTTTTGTTTCAGCTGACAAAGCGTTCAGAGACATGAAAGTGTTGAAACAGTCGCAGAGCATCATCGTTTCTGGCGAGTCTGGAGCTGGCAAAACTGAATCCACGAAATATCTGCTTCGGTATCTGTGCGATTTGTGGGGATCCACAGCTGGGCCGATCGAGCAGAAGATTTTAGATGGTAAATTTTAATTAGTCGTCGCACCTATTTATCCAGAATTTATCCAACTTCCATATTTTCTTAGCGAACCCTGTGCTGGAAGCGTTTGGCAATGCCAAGACCAAGAGGAACAACAACAGCTCTCGCTTCGGCAAGTTTATGGAGGTGCACTTCGACTCGAAATGTCAGGTTGTCGGCGGCTACATATCCCACTATCTTCTGGAGAAGTCCAGAGTCTGTCTCCAAAGTTCTGATGAGAGAAATTATCATGTTTTCTACATGATGTGTGCTGGTGCGCCGCCCGAGCTTCGGGCGAAACTCGGGATCACGCAACCGGATGATTTTTACTACCTGAAGAATGGATGCACACAGTACTTCTGCAATGAGGAGTCGGAGAAAAAGTTGAACGATGTCCAGAAAAGTCGCGACCAAGGGAATAAAGGTAGCTTGCATGATCCGATTCTGGATGATGTCGAGGGATTCAACGCTATTGATCAGGTGAGTAGTTTGCTCAATTGATCCTTCTGTTGTTCGATTTTTGAGTATTAACATTTTTTACTATACCGCAACTATGTTAAGGCTATATTTCTTCCAATCTGTGACCACAACACTGATTTTTCATTTTGTTTCCTCTCTCTCTTTGCCTGTTGGATATCTTTGTACAACGCAGGAAAGAGCAACGGTAACGCCTCTGTTTTTTAAAAGCATGGCACATTTATCAACCTGAACTGATTTCTTTTTTATATTTTGTCACGGAACCGAAACATGTCATTCATGATAACATGAGAAGAATATCCATTAACTTTGTGTATCTTCTGAATCCTATTTTCTTTGAAGGCGTTAACACGATTGGGGTTAACCGAGACAGAGAGAATGGAAATTTATACAATGGTGGCCGCAGTACTTCATCTGGGGAATATCATGTTCGAGGACAACCCTGAGGACACGAAGGGTGGATCGAGGATATGCGCCAGTTCCGAGAAGGCAGTGATAATGACCGCCAAGTTGTTGGGCGTTGATCCTGAAGAGCTTAGGCAAGCTTTGGTCTCCAAGGTTATGCAAACCAGCCGCGGTGGCATCAAAGGAACCGTCATCATGTAAGTTTGCATACTCCACGAAGTACAGTGGGACTAATACTAGCTGATTCTTTAATCATGCAACATTTTCAGGGTACCATTGAAGGTTTACGAAGCCAACAATGCCAGGGATGCTCTGGCCAAGGCTATTTACAGCAAACTGTTCGACCATATCGTTGGCCGTATCAATAAAAGCATTCCATTCAAGGCCTCCAGCTATTACATTGGTGTTTTGGATATTGCAGGATTTGGTAAATACTGAATTTAATTCATACGAAAAAGCCAGCGCGTTCAATTTCTTGAAGTAGTAATTTTTAATGTTTTATTTGACAGAATATTTCAAGGTGAACACCTTCGAGCAATTTTGTATAAATTATTGCAACGAGAAGTTGCAGCAATTCTTCAACGAGAGGATCTTAAAGTATGAGCAAGATCTTTATGCGAGAGAGTCCCTCAATGTGCCCAAGATATCTTATGTGGATAATCAAGACTGCATAGATTTAATCGAGTCGAAGAACATGGGAATATTCAGTCTGCTGGACGAAGAATCAAAATTGCCTACGCATAGCTTCGCACATTTCACCAGCGAGGTTCATCGCGTATGGAACGGCCACTTCAGAATAACCTTACCACGAACGTCACGTTTAAAAGCCCACAGAGAAATACGCGACGACGAAGGATTTGTGATCCGTCATTATGCCGGCGGAGTTTGCTACCAAACGAATCAATTCATTGAGAAAAATAACGATGCCTTGCACGCTTCTTTGGAAGCCTTGATTCAGGAGAGCAACAACAAGTTCCTTCGAACACAGTTCTCAAACAACTCCAGTCAAAAGGGAAAGCTCACCTTCATTAGCGTTGGCAGTAAATTCAAGACACAATTGGGAGAGCTTATGGACAAGCTGAAGAGCAATGGTACAAATTTCATTCGTTGCATCAAGCCGAACAATGACATGGTGTCCCACCACTTTGACGGAAACAGCATTTTAGGGCAGCTTCGTTGTTCCGGCATGACTTCCGTTTTGGAGCTGATGGAACATGGTTATCCGAGCAGAGTTCCGTTCCAGGAGCTCTACAACATGTACAAATCTTACCTGCCACCAGAGTTGGCTAAACTGGAGCCTAGGTTCTTCTGCGAGGCTCTGCTTCACAGTTTGAAATTGAACAAGAAGGACTTCAAGTTCGGCATCACCAGAGTGTTCTTCAAGCCGGGAAAATTCGCTGAGTTTGACAAGATCATGAAGTCGGATCCAGAGAATTTGCAGAAGCTGGTAGCCAACGTGAAGAAGTGGTTGCTGAGATCTCGTTGGAACAAGATGCAATTCTGCGCTCTGTCTGTGATCAAACTGAAGAACAAGATCATTTACCGAAGATACCATCTGATTATTCTGCAGAAAACGGTAAGGATGTACATAGCCAAGAAGCAGCATCGACCTCGCATAAAAGGGACCCTTAAAATCAAGAATTTAAGGACGCAATTGGTCGGCATGGAGGAGACGTCGAAGCAACTGAAGAATCGTGAGAAGTCTATGAACGATTTGAAGAGACTTCACGATGATTTGGATGCTGCGATCAAAAGGATCAAGGACAACGAGAGGATGAGACCGGCTGAAATAGATTCGCTTTACACGAATCTGGTCAACCAGGTGAACAAGCAAATGGCGTCCCTACAGAACATGGTGAAACAACAGAAGATCGCTGAAGAACAGGCTAAGTTGAAGAAGATCCAGCAGGAATTGGAGTATGAGAAACAGAAGAAGGAGGAGGAGGAACGGCAAAAGAGAGAGGAGGAGGATAATAGAAGGAAGAAGCACGATATCGAAACGAGGAGAAAAGCTGAGGAGGAACAGAAGAAGAAACAAGAGAAAGAAGACCAGAAAGCTGCTGCTGTTCTTCAGGTACTTGATTTATTCCTCTTGAAAATTCAGCATTGCTAACTGAACGTTAAAGAGGTGAATATACTTCAGGCGCAAATGGAGAAAGAGGAGTTCGAAGAAAACAAATACCGTGAACTACTTGAACAAGAAAGAAGAGATCACGAGTTGGCGGTTAGGCTGGCTCAGGAATCGAATGGACAAGTCGATGACTCGCCACTGCCCGTACGAAGGTATTGTATCAGTTTTGCATTTGAAAGTTGATCTTCTCGTCAAGACCGGTAGAAAAAGGTGCAACGAAAAGTATAGCGAATTTTTCTGTAAAAAGAAACTCGGTCAGTGTTTAACAAGAGTAACGATTTTTCGAACAACCAATAAGATCTTATTTTCTTAAATATGTATAGCGGTTCCGATGTACGAGTACCGTCGATCAACAACAAACTAGCAAGGTATCGTAAATACTCGTTTAGGTTACTGCACGTACGACTAACACCCGTATGAACAATCTTGTGCAACGTTACTAACTCACTAACACGGATCTTCCTCGTACTAAACGCTCTAGGCATTTATTCGCATGATCTGTGTACTCTACACATATAAGCGACATACTCTACGTCGATGTGTAATACACGATGAATCCTGGGGAAGAGACCAAGATGTAGGCTGAACTTTAAAATATAAAAAGAATGTGCATCTCTGACAATTTTCATTAATGCGTTCTTCATAATTCACCGTGTATGTCTCAAACGTTTATGACAGCGTTTTGAAGAAATATGTAAAAATCCTATTCAATTCTACATATTGTCGGAATGAGATGTCAGATTGTTTAATGGTTTCATAATTATACTGGTTCGCGCAAACTGTTTACTAGTATTCATTTATTTTTATAATAGATCCGAGCAGGTGCGCAACAACCAAGCAGCCATGGCCAACAAGAAATACGACTTATCTAAATGGAAGTACTCGGAGCTGCGGGATGCTATAAACACCTCTTGCGATATCGAGTTATTAGAGGTAAGTACCGCTCGTTTTTATCAAGCAATGATTTGGATAAGTGTGCTAATTAGCACACTAATGATTGCGCATATCTTTTCAGGCTTGTCGTCACGAATTCCATCGAAGACTGAAGGTGTATCACGCGTGGAAAGCAAGAAATCGTAGGCGAACCACTATGGATGAGAATGAAAGAGCTCCGAAGTCCATTATGGAGGCTGGTAAGCATGCGACTTCAGTGACACAACACTGGTTAATCATTCTAACTGGATAATAGTATTTGGCAGCAGGATTAAACAGTGTCCAGATATTAAATAATGTTTACTAATTCCACCCACTATAGCTATAGCCAGTGCAAATAATTCATGTCTGTTCCAGCTGCCAAGACACCCAGGACTCCAATCAAACAGTCGATACCTCAGTCCTCCCAGCGGTATTTCAGAATTCCTTTTGTGAGACCATCAGTCATCCAGCAAGAAAATCCCCCTACTATTATTAAAAGAGGGTGGTGGTATGCGCACTTCGATGGTCAGTACGTGGCCAGACAGATGGAACTACACCCTGACAAGGCACCGATTCTATTAGTAGCAGGTAATTCATAGTAGTAGAAGGTGGCTAAAATTCTAGTTGAGTCACCCTCTGTATCATCATTTGCGCTTTGCTACTGTTCTAAACTTCTGCCACAGGTATCGACGACATGCAGATGTGCGAGTTAAGTCTGGAGGAGACAGGACTAACTAGAAAACGTGGGGCAGAGGTGTTGGAGCATGAGTTCAACCGCGAGTGGGAGAAGAACGGCGGGAAGCCGTATGTTCCACCCTGTGACCGTAGGAAATGAGGATATTAATATACAGTTGCTAAGATCCTAAAAACTTTTGTATTCATCAACGTGGATCCGCTACGAAGGTAAACCCACAGCACAGTGCCTTAACGATCGGTGCCTTTCGCGGTAAAGATCACGTTCATAAAACAGACAACGGTATCCCGATGATTGTTGTTGCTCGCGGTATAGTGCAGAAGCAGCTGGATCTTCGACGGATCTATAGATCGTTGTGAAGTAACACAGTATTTCGATTCATCGTCGAGACCACAGCCAGGCTCCGGCGCGATAAATTTTCTTATTATTCGAGTGAACAGTATTGCCAAATTGGTGCGTAGAATTTTGTAATTGTTCAATGCAGCGTAGATAAAGATCTCATTTCATTGGATTTCGTATGAATTTGTAATATTGAGAACGATAGAGCGCTGATAGTGTAACTCTTTACACTTTACAATGATAAGTGATGGTTTCTCGATTATGTAGAGAACTTTGTCGAGAATACTTACTTAGGGGAGATCGTTTTATTATGCTAAAACACACTGCGGATTTCACGCATTCGGTGGGACTATCATAGCACAGAATGTTCGAAATTGTGTTGTACAAAATTAAAGGAGATCTTGGAACCTTTATAGAGTTGCTACTGTTTAATTATAGTGTTTTTTGCGAGGCGTCAGATATTTACGTGGAAATTCGCAGTTTATGCATCATTGCACATTTAATATGAATCGTAGGTACGCTGTGGCGGGCATCGATGATGTCGCGACGAATAAAGTGTGTGTGTGTGTGTGTGTATCACTTGTTCGAGTATGAATAAATAATAATTATCACATCGCTTTCTCATTAGCGGGATGCTCTTTATAGACCCTGGTGAAGTATTCTTCTGTTAGAGTGTTAGAGTGTTGTTAATGCCTTTACAATTACCATTATCGTTAAGCCACTTTAATACTATGATTTTCAAACTGGAGTCGCCAATAAAATGAATACAAACTTATAATCTATATATATTAAATGCTCGAACTATTAAGTTTGATATATTCGAACTGTACCAAATGCTTCTAACTATCGAAATTTGTGCAATGAAATTGTAATGATAGAATCAAGTCTCATTAATTAGTAGACCCGTAGATAACGTTCGACAAATCAGAAGTATGTATTTGGTACCACTCGAAAATTGTTTATGATATATGTATATATTCTGTCTGTATCATTACTGTATCAGCTGTATCGTCTTCTGCTTACTTTTATTTCTAGCTTGTCTGGAGTGCATGCAACTGTGTGTGTATGTGATTGAGTGGTTAAGAAAGAAATGTGTGATAAAGTTACACGCATCTGGAAAGGCGTCCAACGAGACCGCGTGCAATCTTTAGAAGAGGAGGATACACATCGTGGATACAAATATTGTCGGGGTAAGCTTTAGAATTACCAATTTTCATTGCATGATTTAATTATTATGCAGTAAAGTGTGTTCAATGTCAACGTCCGATGATGCCTTCAATTTTCTCGATATCAATTTATTCTTTCAATCTTTTCGACATCAATTAATCCAAGTAGTCTTTATTCAATTACCAAATAATTACATAATCTTCACTATCCTAGTATGAACATTACAATTGTAATTTGAAGCTTCCGGTGCGTTTTTATGATGTTCATGTTTTTTTATGATTCCCGTGTACTTGTCAATGAAAATGATTTCTATACACTATGTTTCGTCTGAAACAAACCCCTGTTTCATTTATATTATAAACAAATTGAATTCAGTCCGATTAAAAATCATAAAACGTGTTGAAACGTTGATTCAACTAGGGGGTGGCACCCAGCCACCGAAAGCTCTCTCTAATTCTTCAGCAATTGTTAGACAAATACGATCTTGGTTGCAGGCAGCCACCACCTGAAATTTAGAAATTATTATAAAATTTATTCCACCGTAAAATTGATTGTTCGGTCAGCTTTGAAATTATTTTTCAGTTCTAAACAATCTTAGAATTAGAATTGATTGATCACTCGAATAAGAACTGTTCTCAATTAACTTTTTAACAATCTTTGGATCGATACGGTTCTAAATTGGTATTTCATTGAAATTCGAATCGGTTTTCAATCCGATTCAATTCTTAATCAGTCACCTGGAATCCAACAGGTAGATCGTCTTCGTTCAATCCCATTGGTACGTGGGTCGCTGGACAGTACATAAAATTGCAGAACGCGCAGTACACTGCACAATCAGTTTGCAGGACAATTTCTGCAGGGTAGGTCGTGGGTTGCGCGTACGTCGGCATTATAATTGCGGTACGTTCATCCAGCAGAGTCTGTGAACACAACGATTAAAATAAATAAAACGAACAAGCTGTCATATCGTCGTTCAATTTTATGAGATATAATTAGATTAAGACTGCCATTGACCTACGTCCAGCTTTTTACGAAGGATCTCTCTTTCTGCAAGCACTTCCTGTACATCTTGCGACGACATGAATCCATTTGCTTCCACTACCATCCTGGTTAACGACAATTGTGCCGAATACTTTGATAATCCAAACCACCCCTTGTGATACTCGACCACCGACGGGGCTGCCTGTGAAGATAAAATCAGCAATCGTACAGCTCGACGACCTCTGGTTCTCACCAATGATCATGTTTCTTCGAACATAATTTCAAGCAATAGAATATTCACCACATTATCCGGTGATTATTTCAGAGAGCTCTATTTTCAAGACCAAGTTTTATAAGTTTGCGAGGAAAGTAGCCGATCAAATAGTTAATGAAACGATAGTATTACCATGTCACCTTTCGGGGTCTCCACCACAGTAGGAAATTTGATATCGCCGAAGGTAGCCATGAACTGCAAGTACATATTCTTCACGTAATCTTGCGGCAGCTGGAATACCAATGACTAAATGATTAAACGCCTCCCACGAATAAACAGATTTGGAATAGGATTCTATCTCGTGAAAAGATTATCTCTTTTCATCGATTTTGTATACCCTAGAATATCATGGCATTACTTCTTCCACGTGCACCCCGATCCCTTTCAGGTGTCGCACAGCGTCCTTGATCTTGTCCTTTATGTCCTGCGTGGTGTCGTTTATGCCGCAGATACTGTCGAACTGCTCCAGGTAAAATACTCGGATAGTTTTCAGGTTGATGGGCTCGTCCAAACGTAACGTCTGGCTCAAGTTCGGCGTGAGGATTTTCATAGCAAACCGGAGGTCCGTAGCGTGCTTCGCCATCGGCCCAACAACCAGCATCTTCATGAACGTAGGGTCAGTGGAATAGGGAAAATGTCCCTCGTTCGAAATTATTCCTGCGGACCAGTTGCTGGAAATTATTACATTATTTCCACCGATCTACTAAATATCTTCAACTATTCGTTGCAGTTGGAAACAATTCTTATTTGTCACAAAGTACTTCTATTATCTCAGTGGAGACATCGAAAGATACCCATCTCTGTTACAAAACAATGATTGTACACTATGTTTCTCCTAAAATCGAACATCTTCTTGATTCTATTTGTCTGATATTAACTTAATAACCTTGACTTTTAGGCCAGTGTACTTTTGGATACGATTCCAGAAACGCTTGCGACGATTAGAGACGATTAGAGATAATTAGACTTGTTTGGATGGTGGATTCGCAGAGATCTCCTAAAACCTTACCCGGACTAGGTTTGTGACCAAAGACGCCATTGAAAAGGCTAGGTACTCTTATGGAACCGAGTAAATCCGAGCCGAAGCCGAGCACAGACCCTCCACTAGCAAGCAATGCTCCCTGCAATCATTGAAGAGAGATTCTAAACTTGGAATTGAAGCTTCTTCCAATATTTTAGGCAATGCTGGATTTTCAATTGGAGAATGGTGGAGCAGTAAATCGTGTATAGTTGCTCCCTTTTCAAAGAACTGCTCCGACATAGGGAATTTGAGTTGTTGCAAACGTAATTTCGTTTTTCTAAAGCTGTCTGTTTGGAAAATCGAAATTCCTTTTGCATCAACCTAATAGTAATTAGTCGTCTCACCTCTCCGCCCGAGGATCCTCCAGGGGACAGCCTGGTGTCATATGGATTCTTCGTCACTCCAGTTAGAACGTTCGAGCTGTGAATGGAACAGCATAACTCCGATGTGTTGGTAACGCACAATGGAATCGCTCCAGCGTTCAACACCATGTCTACTATTGAACTGTTCTTAGGAGCTTTTCGACCTTCGTTAGCCAAGTTGCCACCTGCGCAGCTCATACCTGATTAAATAGAATGTTATTTAGAACCTGTCTTCCTATCTCTCACACTCTTTCTCTGTCTCAGATCCAGGTGGTACCCTTCGCGGTTCGTACCGTTCAGGCTCAAGCTCTCTTTGATGGTGACGGGCACGCCGAAAAGCGGCTTCTCCTTCTCGAGCGTGACAGCGTTCACTTCTCCGCTCTTCAGCATCGCGTCGCACTTCTTCGCTTCTGCCAGCGCCTCTTCGAATCGGTCCTCGACTATTGCGTTCAGGAAAGGATTCACCTCTTCGATTCGGTCGATGCATGCTTGCACTAGGGTTTGGCTGGACAGCTTGTTTCATTAAGTGGAAAAATCAGAAATTACCGAGTTGCAAGAGTTCACTATTGTTGTTCGATAGTTCTCTTTTTCTTTTTACAAAATCACTGATTTATATTTGTTGTAGCGGATAGGACGAAAGGCGGGATGGAATTTGATCATGTTTCTAGAGGAAGAGAACCCAATCCGGAGAACCAAAAGCGTAGACACTGGATGCTCATGCATTTATGGTAGAAACGAGCAAGGAAACTTTAGAATAATGCTGCAATTAGAGAATGCAGTGCCGGCGATTGTAGCGATAGGATAAAGAACGATGGGATCTCAGGCTTCTGTGTCTAAAGCGAGCAATGAAAATTGATATCGATGCCGCAGCAATTAATTAGAAGCGTGAGAAACGGAATTATACGATTCGCAGTAGGTGCACGGGATAGTCTTACCTCTTGGTTTCTGACTTTCTTAGCCAATGTGCTGGCACTCTGTTTCAATAACGAATTGGTGATCGGTGGTAATGGAGGCGGTTTGAACATGTGAATTATCGGAAACATATATCTGCACACAATGCTCTGGAAGTGCGACCATAGCAATATCAAAATCGCAAATATCTTCATGTCTGTAACAATATGAAGATCTTCATCTATTGCGAGAAAAAATATTCGTCGTGCTGCAGAGAATAATTAGCGTCGAATAACATTTGCTTGCTGATTAACTCGCCTCTACTGAATTAGCTTTATGAGAACAGGTCGATCTGCGCGCGCAAAGAACGCCTCTTGATTCGACAGAGTTTGGGAGACGGACGTCTAAAGATTGGTAGCACGTTCGCATAATAAATAAACTTTGCAAAAAAAATCATGCAACAGACGTTACGAAACGTGCCGTAAACGTGCCAATGATACTTAAATGGTTGAGTAACGAAGTTGGCAGCTTGGAAGATAGAAACTGTAACGTTCCAGTGGAGTTTGATCGCCTGGCTACGTTTAATTCGCATGAAAGCGTGTCTTTAATGGAACGCTCGGCTCGAGGTGCTGTTAAGACATTATGGAACGATTATCGGGGGTTTGTCGCGTGTGCGGTCCCGCGACATTCCCGTTCGCGGGCATCCATTGACGGTCTCATCACGACTCGTGAAATCGGCACGCGGCGTCGTTATTCGCCGCTGTTGGGGGTCTATCACCTGTCCGTGCGCATATAATCGCGCGATTCGTATGGATCGGGACATTGACAAAAATCACCGACTCGATTTAAAAGGAGCACGTATCCGGGCAACCAGGCCGGTTCGAGAAACCGGCAAGCGGTCTCGCTCGGGCCCGGGGTGGCCTCCCATTGCACAATGGAAACTCGCGTATACAACGAAATCTTCAAGGACCAACGGATCTCTATGATAATTGCGATAAATTCTGATTGCAGATAAATTTTTTACCGGAGCTGCGGAGTAGTAATTTTCAGCGATTATTTTGCTACGCTTGATCAAACTGGTCGTCCTCTTCATCGACGTTCCTTGTGGCGAGAATAACGCGGATTTATTACTGGAAACACGAGACAAACCGTCTCGGTTTGTTCTCCTCGACTGCACCGAACAAAGTATCGGATGTATTACCATTGTGGCCGGTGCAAATAAACGAACATGGACTTGATGCGAGCGATAACGTGGTTGTACGTTGTTACAAGTGTTGCTTTCCTCGTGACAACCGGTTCGACACGGATTTACCCTGTACGAAGGCGATAAACGATGCGCCCAACCTGGATTCCTGCAGATTTGCGAAATCTTTGCCCGTATAGGACTCCGCATCTCGATGCCAGGCGTAAAATAAACATCATCAGGTCACGCTGCAAGTGTAAACGAAACAGCGCGTTCTTTCTTTCGCGTTTTAATAGAGCGCTAATCGCGTGTCGAAATTCGTCACCTTTTCTCATTTACGCGGCACTTTGATCATTTGCACTAGAACGTCTCTTGTGAAGAGACGTTGCAGTTATCACGGTACTTTCGAGATCGGACATTCTTCTTCCATAAAATCTGTATCGACACAATTTTGCGCTAAATTCTCTACAAAATTATACGGAGCAACGCTGTTTGCAACGCTACAGCTCCTTTGCAGAAAACGTTGATAGCCGTGATGTCAACCGAAATTTCCAATGGAAATGATCCCATCATCTCTCGGTCTGGGATTTCCAGCGCTTTTATCCGGCTATTTGCGACTCAAACCAGTTTCACGTATCTAATTCAAATGGTTTTCCACTAATAATTCATGATCGCGCGGGATAAAAAAGTCGTCGAATACGTCATGAAGTCGTTGGAGTACCTCAATTATAGTAGAATTATTATGATGCAACTAAATGGATTTGTGGCAGATTTGGCAAATTTGTGGCCGCTGTTGGTTGGAGCATTATACAACCTCGGCAAAATAAAATGTCACGTACAACCTTCGACAGCATTGGAACACGCGTTATCAAAAAGAAAAGATAATTAACGATTGTTTTTATGTAAAATTCAAACACGGACCCGGCAGGGCACTAAAACACTGCTTGGAATACCAAATCGTGTAACGTTTACCGCCGAACATCGAACGATCGATTCGAAGCCCACAGTTAGACTGGAAGAACAGCGTTTTTGTAAAATACACCGAAGAGAGATCTTCTGTGATCAATTAAACATCATTTGCAATGTCTTATACGTAATCTCGAACGGGGAGCGATCAGCTTCGCGATAGATCTGCGAATCTGAGAACCAAATAAATATCAACTTCGGGAAAGTCGGTTTTATTTTACATACAGATAGTCGATATAGAAAAGCTTCTTGTTATTCTCCCGAATAAAAGGCTGGCGCTTTTTTACTTGTAACCTGCGATTGCAATTTTCGTTTCATCAACGTCATAGTTTCGGTAGCGCGATAATGAAAGGCGAAAGAAAAAAGAGGAAAAATGAAGACTTTGTAACCACTGTCGTTTAAATCAACGCTGTCGTTTAAATCCTAATAAAATTCTTCGGCATGATAATTAAGGACATTCGGAGGCAAAGGCCAGTACTTACGCGTGGCGGAAGTTTACCCATTTGATATTTGTATAACGAATTCAAACCGATGGCTTTCCGGTGATCACGTAACATTTTAATTAACATTTCGAATACCGCCGACACTGATTACGCTCGTTGGCAACAGAATCATGTGCGCTGGGAGCGATGTTTTTCTTAGAGTTGTTCTTGTAAAATCCGCCGAACGTGTTCCTCGCGGTTGCGGTAGAATCTAATTTTTAAGAGACTGCTTAGGCAATTCTTTCTTTGAGGGGAGAACCGTACAAGGATGCTGCTAATTGATCGACGCGTATTTGCGCCTTTATTTTTGACGTTCGACTTTTCAGTTCAGAGCTGAAATCTCCATTCGGTGATCACATAAATGTCTTCCCGGTGCATTTTTCGATCCTCGGGATAGATAACGCTGACTAATGTTAGGCTAAAGCTTCGAAGAAAAACTCTGCATCTTGACCATCGACCTGGTACCGAAGTTGCAATGTCATAATATCGACAACGTTAATGGATTACGTAATTAAGGAGCCATTATCATAATGTGGATTCTGCTGCTCGCCTGGTCGAACTGTGATTTACTTATTGCTCTATCACCTTCCGATTGGTGTCTATGCACACGATATTTTTTTATGGTATAGTATATAATACATAGTATATATGTAGATTGTAGTCACATTATAGATTGTCAACAACTATGAAAACCAGCGTTTTTGGGCAGGATCTGAGCGTCAATTGGAAAGAACTTATTGTAACCGACACAGAGATGCAGCGCACAGAAAATTGCGAAGTAACAGAAAATCTGCGGCAAAAGGAATGTCAATATCTCCGTTTCGTCCTCGCCGATAGAAATATAATCGCGGTTCGCGAAAGAAGCATCCCCTAATTTCGCGAGAACAAGTCTGCGACAACCGTCGGGTTCCGTTGGAGTTTAACCCTTTCATAGGCACTGAAAACGACGCTTCCCAGCCAGTTGAAAATTCTTATCGAATCGTAATGTTCTTGAAAATTCATACTGTGCCCTGGAAAGGGTTAAGAAACAAATTAGTCGAGAACTCTCACCTCGCGATTATCGTCTCCCTTGTTCCAGCGACAAAATTCGATCGGTCCCGATTAGGATGATGAAGCGAAGGACGTCGAGGAGCAACGTTTTTCAAGCATGCGAGCGATTGTCACCACCGAATTGGTCGGTTCTTCTTCGACGACTGTGCACTGATAACTGATTAGGATCGCGACGGTCAGCCTCGCGCCCGACTTCCTCCGATCACCGACTCGCAGAACTCACTGACAACAGATCCCTAGGCTGTGCTACCATTCGTTGGTCCCGGCCTTAGCCTTGTGTCGCCTAGAACGAGGCGGAAGAAGGATGGGTCGAGATCGATTTCGTAACGGACATCAATCAATCCTGGCTGATCGAACTCTTACGATGCCACTGTTTGCACAATAACAATTCGTTTACTGGAACCCGATTATTAGACGACTTTTCGCCTAATAATCGCCTGTGTTTAGACACAGCTCGATCGTTCTCGTAATAAGCCGTTTTCGATAAACGCGTCGACGGGGTACAGTAAGTTCTCCCTAATTTTCCTTCGGCTTGTAAACAAAAATGGACAATTTGGGAATAGGTGATACGATTGTTCGAGCCTCGTGGCTCATTTTAATAGTTGCCGATCGTCAACAATCATAAAAACGAGGCGCAAGGAGTTTACAAGCCGATGGAAAATTGGGGGGAATTTCCTGTAATTTGTTGGTCTGCTTTTGGACCATTTCTCAAGGATTAATCATTCAATGAATTGCGTAATTAAGAAGATTATGCTAATTTTGCAGATTCATGCACATTCCCAGACTATGAGCATTGAATTCAATTCATTTTTTATTGACGATACATATTTATTCTGTATTGTAATCATTCGCGCGATCTAGTAGTGATCGATGTGAAAACTGATTTACAAAAGCGTGAGAATTGTCATCGAGGAAATGTTGAGTCAATGGTGAATTTTCAAGCAGTTTTCGTTGTTTCGAGTGGTTGTTCTTTTAATTATTCGTTGCACTTCATTGTGCTAGTTTGGGCATGACTTTCTGCTGCAACTGAACGTGCTGCGAGCCAAATTTAATAATTTAATGATTTATTAAATTCCACGTATTTATCGAGCTTGGCCTTCCATCAGAACGTATCTTTATTTTTTAACTGATCACGTACAGCGCAACGGCGCCGTTTATACGTGACATTTCGGTCGTTGAAAACTCTTTTCCTTGTAACTTATCGATCTACTTTTCCACCTTAGTCAGTTCGCTTGCTTCCACGAAGGATGTTGCTTTCTATTTATCGTTACAATTACTGATTTTCGCGCAATGCGTAGCACCAAATAGAGCAAACTTTCTTATTGTGGTGACAAACGCGCGAATAACTGCTTTTCACCGTCTGCTTTCGCGAAGTAACTAGAAGAATTGTTCAGGAAGATTTATTATTGTGCCGCAGTTAAGTTAACAGTGGTATCTAGTTGCAGATATGCAAAATAATTTTGATCGCAGCGTGAGAACTGTTAATTATTTTTGTACCATTCTCGTCGCAGTTTACAGTAATTTCTCCCTAATTCGCGCTCAGATTGCGTCTCGTTTTCATAGTCGTTTACAATCGGTAACTGTAAAAACGAGCCGCAAGGCTAATAATAATCTCATCTTCCCAAAATTGTCCATTTTTGTGCGCAATCTGAACGCGAATTAGGGAGAAATTACTGTGCCGCGATTAGAAATTGTTCGATTGCCACAATTTCTTCGAAGGGAAAGAAAATTGACGCTTACCGTGTCCCTAAATTTACTCGAATGCTTAAATATTGATGACAAGATGAACTTTCATCACAAGTCTGACTCGTCGAAGTACTGCAAGGGTTTCAACGACAGGGGTGGCGATTACGCGAACAAATAGCAACAGTNTGCGAGCGATTGTCACCACCGAATTGGTCGGTTCTTCTTCGACGACTGTGCACTGATAACTGATTAGGATCGCGACGGTCAGCCTCGCGCCCGACTTCCTCCGATCACCGACTCGCAGAACTCACTGACAACAGATCCCTAGGCTGTGCTACCATTCGTTGGTCCCGGCCTTAGCCTTGTGTCGCCTAGAACGAGGCGGAAGAAGGATGGGTCGAGATCGATTTCGTAACGGACATCAATCAATCCTGGCTGATCGAACTCTTACGATGCCACTGTTTGCACAATAACAATTCGTTTACTGGAACCCGATTATTAGACGACTTTTCGCCTAATAATCGCCTGTGTTTAGACACAGCTCGATCGTTCTCGTAATAAGCCGTTTTCGATAAACGCGTCGACGGGGTACAGTAAGTTCTCCCTAATTTTCCTTCGGCTTGTAAACAAAAATGGACAATTTGGGAATAGGTGATACGATTGTTCGAGCCTCGTGGCTCATTTTAATAGTTGCCGATCGTCAACAATCATAAAAACGAGGCGCAAGGAGTTTACAAGCCGATGGAAAATTGGGGGGAATTTCCTGTAATTTGTTGGTCTGCTTTTGGACCATTTCTCAAGGATTAATCATTCAATGAATTGCGTAATTAAGAAGATTATGCTAATTTTGCAGATTCATGCACATTCCCAGACTATGAGCATTGAATTCAATTCATTTTTTATTGACGATACATATTTATTCTGTATTGTAATCATTCGCGCGATCTAGTAGTGATCGATGTGAAAACTGATTTACAAAAGCGTGAGAATTGTCATCGAGGAAATGTTGAGTCAATGGTGAATTTTCAAGCAGTTTTCGTTGTTTCGAGTGGTTGTTCTTTTAATTATTCGTTGCACTTCATTGTGCTAGTTTGGGCATGACTTTCTGCTGCAACTGAACGTGCTGCGAGCCAAATTTAATAATTTAATGATTTATTAAATTCCACGTATTTATCGAGCTTGGCCTTCCATCAGAACGTATCTTTATTTTTTAACTGATCACGTACAGCGCAACGGCGCCGTTTATACGTGACATTTCGGTCGTTGAAAACTCTTTTCCTTGTAACTTATCGATCTACTTTTCCACCTTAGTCAGTTCGCTTGCTTCCACGAAGGATGTTGCTTTCTATTTATCGTTACAATTACTGATTTTCGCGCAATGCGTAGCACCAAATAGAGCAAACTTTCTTATTGTGGTGACAAACGCGCGAATAACTGCTTTTCACCGTCTGCTTTCGCGAAGTAACTAGAAGAATTGTTCAGGAAGATTTATTATTGTGCCGCAGTTAAGTTAACAGTGGTATCTAGTTGCAGATATGCAAAATAATTTTGATCGCAGCGTGAGAACTGTTAATTATTTTTGTACCATTCTCGTCGCAGTTTACAGTAATTTCTCCCTAATTCGCGCTCAGATTGCGTCTCGTTTTCATAGTCGTTTACAATCGGTAACTGTAAAAACGAGCCGCAAGGCTAATAATAATCTCATCTTCCCAAAATTGTCCATTTTTGTGCGCAATCTGAACGCGAATTAGGGAGAAATTACTGTGCCGCGATTAGAAATTGTTCGATTGCCACAATTTCTTCGAAGGGAAAGAAAATTGACGCTTACCGTGTCCCTAAATTTACTCGAATGCTTAAATATTGATGACAAGATGAACTTTCATCACAAGTCTGACTCGTCGAAGTACTGCAAGGGTTTCAACGACAGGGGTGGCGATTACGCGAACAAATAGCAACAGTATCCTTCAACAGACAACTCGTGTTTATTTTCAGTATATACATATAAAAAATAATACTCTTACAAGTAGATGAAAATGCATGGATAAGATCGCCACGATCTGGACAGGATGGATATACACGACGTTCGACAACGAGACGAGAGGATCGTCGAGATGGCGGCCATTCTCCGATTGAAACCAAACAAGAGCCTCGTGACACACTTTGCGAAGTTCCAATCCCGAATGTCGCCGAATCGATGTTTCTCTCGTCGTAACGCGTTGGAATCCATTATGGTGCTCATGAATAATTGAAAATGGCTGAATCTCGTGAACGGAGACGATAAATCGTGAATGGGTGTCTGCGAATGCGCCTAAATGTATTCGAATCAAACAAGGGGCAACGCTGTGTTAGAAAAATCCATTGTACTTAAATAAGTTATAAAAAAAAACGTCTAAAAATAATCAGGAATCCTTGTCAACCTAATTCACCGGAACGATCGATCCGGAATACGAGAATCGTGCTATCCAGGCTCGCAGCAGTTCTCGAGAGTTCACCGTTCGAAGCGACGAAGTTGGTCCCTTTGTTACGGACACTCCTCGTGTCCCCGTCCCTTCATCTTCTTTCGCCCGACTCGATGACAATACAGTTGCAACTTCCAACCTTAAAACTCGCTAAACATCCGACACGAACGGACGTAAATTCGTTGTTATCTGTTAAAAACTAACGGACGCTTGCCAGCGATCGGACGCAGAAGCTACGGGATTGACCTCGATTCGGTCGCCGACGACACTCGCGTGCAGATAACATAATTTACTCGGCTGCGAGAGATTGTGAACCCGAGCCTTGACCTTCTGTAACGCAACATTACACACGCTCGTCGCGTTTCTCGATCCAGTTTCGCCTGTTTCTCGCGGCCGGGTATGCTTACCGACTGTATTCGCACATCCGAGCGGGCACGATTTTCTTGCGAAACTGTTAAATGTAAAGCGATTCGCGTTCGCCGCTTTCGAGTTCCATCAATTACAGTTCGCTGATTACATCGGCCATTTGATGGAAATCCGGATCAAAGAGAGAGAGAGAGAATTGTAAAAAATCGACTACGTTGATACGGCGGCGGGCCTCTCGGCCGCGCGATCCGGCGTTAGCGACGAGATGAAAAACGGGCAGATGTTCGCGCGATCGAAACACATTGTTTCGATCGCACGTAGAACGAGAACAGTCCGATAGATCAGACGGATATTTCGGTCGCGGGCGGTTGTTGCCAGCCTCCGAATACTCTCTCGATTTCTTTCGCCATGGCGATGGTCAGCTGATCGTTGCCGGTGTTCGCGATGATCTGCGGACAGAACGGCGTTTTTATTATCTGGCGAGGGACACGAGCGAGAACAGATACCGCGTTATCGTTGCGAAAATAGTTTTTAATCGCCGCTCTTCAAAATTTTGTTTGCACGGCGTAAACGGGCTATCGGTAATTGGATAACGATAACAACGATTCCGTACGAATGTCGCGATAAGGGAACTCCGATACGTATACAGCAGCGTGCATAATTATAGGACACGAAGTAACGTCCATAAAACATCTGTATTTGTGCATTTCCATTTTCTATTATTTTTAACATAGAAATACGCAAATACGGTGTTCGGTTATGTTGTTGTTTAAATATTGCGGAAAATGTAGAAGTTACTTTGGGTCTATAATTGTTCACACCACTGTACATGCTCGGCATGATCGATTCGTTGCCGATGTTGGAAATAATTACTTGAACGCCGACTGGCAGTCCTTTGCTGTTCAATCCCATCGGGCACTGGGTCACCGGAAGTCCTAGCACGTTGTAGAGCATCATGTAAGTGTAGTTCGCGACTCTGGGGTACATCTGGTACCGGTAGTGAGCCGGGCCGATGAACGACGGATAGATTAGGACGCCGTTGTCGCCTAAAACGTCCTGAGAGGTCGCGAGACTCGTCAGTATTTTCGAAATATCTAAATTAACTTCGATCGTCGTCAATCGGGTTTTTAATGCCGCGTTACCTCGAATTGCTTCTTCAGCGACACTGCCTTGTCCGCCATTTTGTTGCGATAGCCCTTAGGTAATTTCCCGAAGACCCATTTCACAATTCCGTACGACAGGATCGACAGAGAGTAACGCGAGACGCAGAAGAGGTACTTGATCGCCTCCAGCAGGATTTTGCTGGACCTCTATAAAAATGACGATGTCATTTTATACACTTTAATATTATCGTTAATATTTGCTATTAAGATATCTTTAGTATTAGAATATTTAATATGTAAATATCAAAGATATTTTTGACTATCTAATTATTTGAAATGTTCAACTTTAATATTACCGAGGCTTCGAATTCGTCCTCGACGTCGTCCACCGTCATGTTCAGCAGGGAACGAACAGCTATATCGAATGCATACTTCATGTCGTTGAACTTCGCCTGCAGAATATATTTGTAACAATTAATTGGTTCATTTATATTTCATTGTATATCTGCAAATTGTATTAACAAACCTGTTGCACCTTGACCCCATAGGTCGCTTCCAGATAGTTCCTCAGCTTGTCTATGGCTTGCTTCATGTCGCTGTTGATGCCGCTGGTTATGCCGCAGCATTCTTCCAAGTAGAAGAACTTCATATTCTTCAAAGATACCTAGAAGACGAAGACGACAGCGAGGCTAAGACACCGCAAGACCCTTTCGCTTCCAAAACATGTTGTTACCGTTTGACTGAATCGCAGACGGACATCCTCGTCGGACACGATGCTCATCATCAACGGGAGATCCTCCGCGTATCTGGTCATCGTGCCGATCGTGAAATAATTGTTCCAGTTCTGGTCCGACGAGATCGGCTTGTGACCGGTGCAGCATATCATGTCTGTGATGATGCAACAATTGTTATAGTTTTGGAATTTAAATAGCAACGTTTCTTGACACGTTAAGTGCCGAATATCAGCTCGGAAAATTCATACAATTAATGAAACCGAAACTATGGAGAGTAAAAATTTTCCATAGGAAATGTCAGTTCAGCTATTTTGTATTCTACAAAACAACATTCAATACATTAATTACTACATTAAATATGATTTCTAGATGGCGATACTCACGAGCCGAGGGTTTGTGACCGAAAATCCCGCAGCACATAGCCGGATATCTAGAGGATCCAGCGATGTCCGATGAGATACTGATGATGGACGCCGCAGAACTCAGAAGAGCAGCCTACGACAAGATCGAAAGGGACAGTTAACGACAATAGACATTTCTCTATCCTCGGGTGCGCGATATTCTTGTCGATACGGTTTAAAAAACCGGAATATCATTGCTGGAAAACCGTGACTGTTATAGCCGCTTTATGGCCGCGCGACCGCCATGTTGAATGCTTCGCGACTAGCATCGCTTCACCGGGCGTTCAGGTCACCGTCGTAATGAACATAATTGCTGGTTACGAACCTCGCCACCCGAGGAACCACCGGCTGTCCTGTTGGTGTCGTAAGGGTTCCAGGTTGTTCCAGTTACTTTGTTATTACTCTCCCAAGCCAGACACATCTCCGGCGTGTTGCTGACGAGCAGAATTATGGCGCCCGCTTCGCGAACCCTGTTCACGACCACCGCGTCCTCGTCGGCTCTGTCCAAAACCTTTTTCTTCACGCCCACCGTGTGAGACATACCTGCGAAATTTGAATATTATTAATATCGACGAGATAAGCACTATTTGCGATCTTTGAATTCGAAAAATCGAACGTTTTTAATCGAAAAGTACTTTTTGAACATTTTAACTCTCGTCTAGCCTACGTCTCCTCGCCTCGGATCACCCTTTACGCTCAAGGAACGAAAATCAGTGCGATGGAGAGACGTATGCAAAATTATGAGAAATTATTTTATAGTCATAGTATAGCGAACTTAATCGTTCTAACGTCTAAAAACAAAACCAAGTCGTTCAGTCTTTAGTTTGAAGAAAGTTATACCGTTTTGAAAGTAACGAATTGTCTCTTTCGACAGGCATGGGAAGCATGGAGAATACGACAAAATTCATGAAGAAAACACGCAATGTAGGCCTACGAACGAAGACCGAAGAGAACTGCGATTATCTGACAAGGACCGCAAGATAATCGGGAAAATTCGCATTACGTTCTACGGAATGCTGGAGTCCGGCGAGTGTCACTGGAAACTATGATTACGGCATGTCAGATCGGAATGCATACAAAGTTTAATTGAAATCGGAGAAATAATTTTCCGGTTCAAAGATTATCGCTGGGCGGTCTAGCGAAACCGCGAAGAAAGTGATATCGGCGCCGCATTGTAAGCATATGCATGTAATTCTCTACAAAGTCCATAACCCGTTGATAACCCGTGCGTGTATCACGAACGACGCAGTAAGGAGCGTGCGACCAAAGATCAACCGCGCCGAAAGTTTCGTGAGCCGATTAACGGAGGATGAATAATGGCTTCCCGGCTATGGCCGGCAAACAAAGGGAACAAAGGCGCCGGGGAATGCGTTGCGAGAATATTTACGGGCGTCGAACGTGCTAAAATGGTAGCTCGTTAGGACGGAGAAAGTTCAAACACTTCCCCGAGGATCGGGTCGAATTCGAGAATCGGGAAGCGAGAATCATCGATCCGAAAGTTGAGTCAACCTTTGTCGAATAATTTCAATCGAATCATTCGTTCGATCAATGCTTTTCTCGGACGAATTTTCGCGTAACACCGTAGACGTCTTTGCCTGATTGAACTCGAATCCCATCGTCTACGGTGTGCCAAACCGGTTTCAAGACACTGTGTGGTCATTCATTTCTGTTTGCGATTGTAACGCGTGGGAAACGCCGAGGCTTCGAAACGACGCACACTGTCCTACATACTACGATCATTTTTTTCCATTATTCTTCAGTCCAACGACACGTGGACTGGCAGCATTTCCATATGTTACCTCACCTCGCGTAAATCACAGTTCCTCGAAGATAATTCGCTGGCTTTTGCGTTACAGTTCCTTCCATACAGGCCGACTCAATGTACAATATCAGTAACTTTGTTTACAGTAGCTTGAATTAATGAGAAAATTAATCGAATGTTTAACGTATAAATTGGTTGAACCTTCTTAGATGGCATTATTATTTTCTTTATGCAGTGAATAATTTTTTTAGTTGACGAAGGAAACTGATAGTAGTTTCTGTAAAATGAGTTTAGCCTAGTTGTTGCACAGATAGTGAAAGCGTTGGGGTCATGTCCGATTCTCGGACGTTTTACTTCTTTGAGCCAGCCTGTAGAATGGAACGCGAACGCGGTCACATAATTGTCGATGCGGTACTCATGGAATTACGACGCTGTTGCATCGATCGCACGAACCTTGCACGGCGATGCTCTCCTTGACCGTCATGGGAACACCGAGAAGTGGCATGTCCTGTCCAATCTCTGCCTCGGTTTTCGTAGTGCACAACAAAAACTCGTCAACCTTTCGCGCCTCTTGAACCGCCGCCTCGTATCTCGTGTCCACGATCGCGTTTAGCATCGGATTCACGTCCTGGCATCTTTTTATGTACGCTTTGACCACTTCTTCGCTGCTGACCTGGAGGAATTAGACGACGAAAGTAAGAGAATTCATTTGGAAATGGTGCTTGAACTCGGTCCACCGGTTTTGGACCCCTCTGTTAAACAGAATGATTTAGAAATATTTTTCAACTTTGGCCATCACTTTTGAATCACCTTGCACTGTCATAATTTTGTCTAAACATCCAGAGAATTTCATCAATTACTATGCTGTACGTAGCCTTCGGTCTGCCTATAGAAGAAGATTCTTTTTAAATGATCGCCCCAAAGCGAGAAACGAATTTGAGAAAGCGAGGCCACGGTCTCTTAGCACAATTTATACCATGCTGACCAGCAGCCCGATTTGTAAATAACGGGACGTGATATTTCGCCTAATCGAACCTGTATACTTCTAGATCCCACGAGCAGAGTAGCGGCAAACCGAAGGCCCATTCTTGCGATTGCGTCACCGAGTCACAAGATCAAATTGAGACAATATTGTTGTACTTTGGAGCCTGCAAGTACCTGTTTTCTTCGAATTCGCCTGGCCAGCTCGGCGGCCGGTAACAGCAGCAAATGATTCCTGATCGGCGGCAGCTGTCTCTGTTTCCGGAAGCTCTGCAGCAGGATCAGCGGCATCACCAGACATTCCAATAAGAAAAGTAGAAACTTCAGGATCTTCTGAAGCACCAGTGCGAACGTGTCCTGCGAAAAAGCCCAGTAGGGACCGTTTCTCAATGCATATATTAACCGGCGTTATTTTAACGACACGATAATAAAAGATTGATCGACGTCCGGCAGAAAAGCTGGTCGTGACAAATGTAATGTGATAATCGAAGGTCGAGGGTCAACTCAAACTCAATTGAACACGATGGCAGCTAATTATATTAATTGAAAGAGATTACTTTAAGATTCGATCTTTTATCACCGAGCCGGTGAAAGTAGTTCACGAGACAGTCGAATATTTATTGACAGATTATTAAATCTTCGTAGACCGATCGATAAAACGATATGCCTGAGTTCTCCAATATGGCGGGAATAGTTCAATCGGTAGTATTAGACGAATTGACATTGCTAAAGCAATCTATGCGCCGGGGTCTTTGACATGCTAATGAGAACGGGTAGAGAAAGCTTTGGCGCTTATTCTTTTTTCCTCAAAGTCCCGCTTATCAAATTAATCGCATGTAAACCATGCAACAGTTGGTATAGGTAAGTGATTTATCAGTCACAATTTGTTAGACAGTGCTGTAAATTTAGAGCAACAGGTATTCCTTGGCCTTTGTAACCGTGCTGACTAATTGGTGAAACGGCGATAATATATGCAGCAATTTTGTTATTTTAGAGGCTTGAACGTGTTTGAAGCTGAAGCGTTTAAAAGATGGATGCTCAAGTGCTCAACAGATTGAAAATCGAAAATGCAAGCTCGGGGGATTAAAACTTCATGCTCAAATTGGATATTGCGGCGCTCAGAAGATTGTTAACTAAAGCTCAAAAGCTTAAAATATTGAAGATTGTAATTCTAAAAATTGAAGACCAAAGCTTGGAAGATTTGAGACTGAAGCTTGGAGCTCAGAAGATTAAACATTGCATCTCTGGAGATTGAAGATCCATTAGAAGATTATTCCACATTTGCTCGACTTCGTTAGAAGCGTAATACTGCGTTTCGCTTCTCGATCAATGATCGATTGATGGGATACTTTTTGTAAAACAGTGATCTATTTTGTCCTTGACAATCAGAATGACCGGAAGGTGTACGAATAATTAAGGATAAACGTTTGTAAATGTAGGTATCGTGAACAAAGGGCAAATGTTTCTTTCGGACCACTCTGAACATCGATCGTAACTCGATAACTCACCGAGTTATTACCGAGAAACTTCATGTAAAGTATCGGCAATATGCAGAGTATATACTCCATGCTTCTTTTTCTTAGCCAATTGTTCCGTCAGAAAATATCTTCGTTAATTTTTCTGTGCCTCTCAAATGTTCACTTGCAAGTGCTATGTCTTTGAAACGATTCCCACAACCACCGCGATGGTTTCTTCGAACTGACGTAGTTAGACAAGCGTTAGAAGTCCAATTTCCTATAGTATCTGGTCTCACGAGATTCAGAACGATTGTTATTTACAAAACGGTTCTATCGATTACGTAACAGAATCCATAAATTTTACCATATTTATTATAGCTCGACTTTTCCTTCGCGACCGATTTCAAANAAGCTTTGGCGCTTATTCTTTTTTCCTCAAAGTCCCGCTTATCAAATTAATCGCATGTAAACCATGCAACAGTTGGTATAGGTAAGTGATTTATCAGTCACAATTTGTTAGACAGTGCTGTAAATTTAGAGCAACAGGTATTCCTTGGCCTTTGTAACCGTGCTGACTAATTGGTGAAACGGCGATAATATATGCAGCAATTTTGTTATTTTAGAGGCTTGAACGTGTTTGAAGCTGAAGCGTTTAAAAGATGGATGCTCAAGTGCTCAACAGATTGAAAATCGAAAATGCAAGCTCGGGGGATTAAAACTTCATGCTCAAATTGGATATTGCGGCGCTCAGAAGATTGTTAACTAAAGCTCAAAAGCTTAAAATATTGAAGATTGTAATTCTAAAAATTGAAGACCAAAGCTTGGAAGATTTGAGACTGAAGCTTGGAGCTCAGAAGATTAAACATTGCATCTCTGGAGATTGAAGATCCATTAGAAGATTATTCCACATTTGCTCGACTTCGTTAGAAGCGTAATACTGCGTTTCGCTTCTCGATCAATGATCGATTGATGGGATACTTTTTGTAAAACAGTGATCTATTTTGTCCTTGACAATCAGAATGACCGGAAGGTGTACGAATAATTAAGGATAAACGTTTGTAAATGTAGGTATCGTGAACAAAGGGCAAATGTTTCTTTCGGACCACTCTGAACATCGATCGTAACTCGATAACTCACCGAGTTATTACCGAGAAACTTCATGTAAAGTATCGGCAATATGCAGAGTATATACTCCATGCTTCTTTTTCTTAGCCAATTGTTCCGTCAGAAAATATCTTCGTTAATTTTTCTGTGCCTCTCAAATGTTCACTTGCAAGTGCTATGTCTTTGAAACGATTCCCACAACCACCGCGATGGTTTCTTCGAACTGACGTAGTTAGACAAGCGTTAGAAGTCCAATTTCCTATAGTATCTGGTCTCACGAGATTCAGAACGATTGTTATTTACAAAACGGTTCTATCGATTACGTAACAGAATCCATAAATTTTACCATATTTATTATAGCTCGACTTTTCCTTCGCGACCGATTTCAAATTATTATTATTATTATTATTATTATTATTATTATTATTATTATTATTATTATTATTATTGCTGGGATATCGATCTTTAATTAGCACCGCAGAGTCGACGTTCAAGCAGGTCCCATCAAATATTCATTTGATCTCTATGCTCTCTTCTTTCGCCATGGTTCCGTTGCCGGTTCTCGAATTTATGCGAAACACCACGGCGCGCAATAGTTCACACGGTTGATGCTCGATCCGGGACAGTATAGTGTTTACGTTCATGCGAAACTAAGCGGTCAGCACTAACGAGAGCGTCGACGATGAATGACTAGATAGAAAATATTCGTCTGTCCACCAAATATTGTACGTGATTCAGTAGTCGCGGCGCGGACTAAACGGACCCAACACGCGTCCAGCATACTTAAATGAAAAACTATCATGGTGGGGCGATTCGTGAAACAGACATGACAGTCCGACCTTCTCGAACCGGCCATCGAACGGATTAATGGTCACGAGCCTACCGAGTTATTGACATTCGTTGTCCCGCCACTGAATTGTTTCATTGCTCTCCCTTAGTCCTTGCCGCCGCCGACCGTCCGACAACGATTCAAATTTTCCACGACGTTTCTCCGCTATTTTCCGAGACATTTAACGGGCATCTGGGTCCTTGTCCCCGCCCACATGCCTTTAATTATATTTAACATTGCGCACTCGTGTCGTTGCTCGAATCTATTTTGTTTGGAGTCTGAAGTTAATCTTCCAAAACAGATCCACAGTTTTATAGTCATTCCTTCATTACATTCGGAGACATTGAGTGGCCATTCTTGGCTCGATTCTCGTCCAGTTTCCTGTAATTTCATCGTTAGCCGAGACTTCATGACAATCTTCTCGTCTGGGATAAAAGGATGAGATGACGTCACGACGAATCATGCTGTCCAAACGAATCAGGCAAATATTCTCGTTAAGTTCTACTCGATTGATCATTGTTTGTCGGTCGTAATCCCGGTATTTTACTGCAAAACGGAAATGACCCGACCCCTTCTTAAATTTAATTCGAATCGTCCACATTATGTCCGTCATGTTTCAACAACACGGGGAATAATTCAGCTCTCGTTTTCCGTATACCGCGAGTCTGCTTCTTAGAACTCGGCCGTGTATTCGCGTGCAATCGATAAAATTAAGACTTCATTGATCTTTAAACATTGTACCACCGATTTCCATGAACGCAACGTTTGCTCTGTTCGGTTCGCCTTATTCGCAAACAATCCCGCGGGGACGGACGGAGCCGCATTTGCATCCACTATGCACCGAGATCCATTCGAAACGTTTCCACCGGAGTTTCCGTGTCACGGTCGTCGTTTTGAAAGCTCGAAACACTTCGCCTAGCCGAGACCTTTTACGAGGCAGAGACTAGAAACGGTCTTGTTCTACCGAGAGATGGCTTCGAACTCCATTTTCGCGAATCATGCGACTCGGGGCGATCGAAGGTTGCGGTATTAAGTGGATAATAAACCCACCGTGACGTAAAGCAATTATTTTTTATGCGACAATCCACGCGTTCTCCATTATTTGCGTGTTATTACGCGGGAGGAATTTGATCTCGGAAGCACCTGATAAGTTCATAGAAGCAGATTGTACATGGATCATTGATCATCCACAGCGTCTAGGTCGGCCGTTTTTGTTAGAAACTATTGGCCAGTGCAAGAATCAGTATACATTGTTGTTAATTCCACACGTCATTCATAGAAGCTCTAGTGTTCGGTATTTTGCACTGGATCGCCAAAAAACGAAATTCTCATACACTTCAGGATTTTCTTGACAGTTTCGTAAAAATTCTTGAAGTTTAAAAAATCCTCTTGACGATTCATCTAGTAGCGCTTTCGCTGGGAGAAAGTAGAGGCTTCGGCCTTCAGAATGAGTCCACGAACGCTATCCTGCGATTATTTTTCACGAAGTTACGGTAGTTCAGAGTGCCGGACGAAAATAAATCGCTGTGAAGTTAAATTTGTTTAGCCGCGTGCCGAATATTTGCTTTTAGATTACCATACGATTGTTTATTTGTATATATTATCGTTTTTATCTTTTAAGTTGCAACAGTCAGAATATCGACAAGTTTTTCTTGAAATGACAGCGATCGTCTATCTTCCTACTGCAGAAGATAAATAATCGCGAAACCAGTTATTGCGACCGGTCCGATGAAACTAAAACATGAAGTATCGCATCCCGTCGACATTTTTGTAGTAAAGCGTGCTCGGATCGGCGAATGTATTCGTTCATTTTCCGCGAGAGAATCGTTCGAATTTCGGCGACCGCGGCTCGGTTCGCTCAACGTCGCGGGATTAATTGAATCAGCGTGCGCGACCCACGATCCAAGGATCGCGAAGGTCGCAAAAATTTGTCCTGTCGTAACGCGAACAACGAGGCAACGCGGCGAGTTATTTGAGTTAAACACGTGAGCGAACGTGCGAAAACGCGCCGGCACGCTCTCGAGTGCAGCGTGTCGCAACTGTGCGCATGCAATCCGTCCACGTGGAGCCGCGAAGTGGCCGTGTAAATTCATCGCGTGCTGATTCGCATCGGCGGAGATTCCTCTTTGGGCGACGAGAGACCGAACGGCGCGAAAAACAATGCGTGACGTGAAATCGGTCATCGAGAGATCTCGCAATCGGCCAGACGATGCGATGACTTCGGTACCGACCTTGTGAATCATTCGAGACGATAAGAATCGTTCTCGTACGTAATCGCAGAGGTTTTCAGAACTGTCGTGTGTACGTTTTTAAGTGTAAATTAATGTTCGAACAATCGTGTGTTTTAGGATTTGTTGTCAACGAAGCGTTGCAGTGCACCAAAATTTGTCTGCGACTGCCGATTTCTATGAAATTGGATATTCAAAAGACGACGATTAACTGCAGAGAAGACAGCAATTAGGATGAATAATCAGGAATGGCGAAAGACTATTTAGACATGGAAAACCGAGAGCCTAATCGGCGTGCCGAGAAGATAACGAAGGTAAAATCGTTTGGAATCCGCTGGGAATCGGGAAGAGGAACGCTCCGGGAAATGATGTCAATGATAGACTAAACGCGAGTCGAATAGAAAGCGCAGAAGACAAAAGATCGTAATCGGAGAATGGTCAAGCGGTCGGAAATTATCGAGGAAAGGAAGGATTACGGTAAATGGCATGCTGCTCCGGGACCACGTGCAATGACTGATCACCTAGGAAAGAAATCAGAAAAACGAAGAATCACAACGATGACAGATCAGAAATTTTGTGCTACAATTCTGGTTGCTCGATTGATACACATTGTATCGATAGATCGTATAAAAAGAAAAAAGAGTCGAACCAGAGTTATCGAAGCGAAAATTTCAATTTCGCTGTGCTATTTCGTATCTCAATTACGGTAAACCGACTATCATTTAGGCTATCATTCCGGCCGATCAGCAAACTGTGTATTCACTGTTACGCACAGAAAATTCATGGAAATAAATACGAACCGGTAATTCACGCTTGGATCGGCGTGAAGAAAAAATTGTCGCAAGAAAGAAGCGACGAGCAAACGCACGTACCGAACGGGTATAAAAATTCCTGGTGTGACCGACATATGAATATAGAGGAAAATATCTCGTCCGAAGTAATCTCGCTGCTTCGACACTGGTTTCTATTTATGTGAAAAAGTGATTTATACATATATTGAAATGTCGGTGCGACATTTGAAATAATTGCGAGTCGCCAGAGGTTTCAGTCTCTGCGGAACGACGTCTAGGATCAATGAAATCGAAGAATCATGTTCCGATTTGTCGGCGGCTACGTCGCCGATTATTATGCACACAATAGTCTTAACGGAATAAAATCACGGAGATAACGGAATTAACGAAACATGATTATGCCGCGACTCGATTATCCCCGCGACCTATGTGCACCGCGAGAAATAGGCGACCGCCCGTTAATTGATTTCTAAGTCGACGGTGTCCGTCGCGGAGATGCGCGAGAGCCGATTGCACCACTCCGACGTATTTTCCACCCCGTCCGGCCGCCGAGTGCAAATGAACAAAAAGCAACTATTTACTTGCCGCACCACGAAGATCCCCATTTTCGATGTCGGCGACTATTCACGAGGACACACCGTCGGTCACAGAATCACCGAGCAGAATGCTCGACTGGCTCTCGCTCTCGCATGGAGCCGAAGAAAACGAAACGCGTCGACTGGCACACAACAACAACTTTCTCGACAGCCGAATTCATCATCCGGGCCAGCAGTTCCCGCTTTCCGATACTTTCTCGAGCCACATCCGAGCGGCCTTCCTTTCTCCTTCTCTCTTTCTCCCGTCGTCGCCCTGTCGTCGTCGAAACGGTTCGACGCCGGCTAACGAGACTCGGAGGCGATCCAGGAAATCGCGATCCGCTACCATAACATAACGTATGCTGTGCCACACATGCCGCTGCATAACCACGGCCTTGACCTTAACCGGCTCGATCGGTCATCGTTATCAGCGACTCGGAATTCCTTCGACACGAGCGATTCCCGAAGCGCGTCTAGACACCCGCGACGCCCTCGATTTCCGTCAACGAACAGATAAATCGCTGACGTGGGGTAACAGAGATGGGACGAATGGCTCGCTCTCAACGATCCGACGATTTTCAGGATTAACGTGAAAACCCCGAGCGCCAACGATTGCTGGCAATTTTTTAATCAAACCGTCCGGCTCTCCGTGGATATTGGACGGATACCAGGGGATCGGTATCCGCGGTTTCGCAGATCCGTGGTTCCACGATTTAACGATGTTCTGGGTCGATGAACCGGTAGCAGTTTTTTTAATCAAATTGTACGTATTACCGGTATATATTCGCAGTTTCAGTTATGTCACTGTGTAGACAGTCGAACGAGCAAGGGCTTCGATTGTCCTCGGTATTGACACAAAACAGCACTGCATTGATCGGTTTTTTAATCAAACCGACCATTTCTCATTCGAGACTCGTTGTCGCTTGAATAATTTTTGTACCGTTCGATAACCAGTTCGATAATTGATTCGGATTTTCCCAATTAATGTTTCAGATCGCGCGAGAAAGACCAGAAGCTCCGTTTAGAAAATTCGGGATTCGTTCGAGACATTGTAAAGACCGGACGAAGTGGAAACAGAGACGATCGACGGGGGAATTCCATGCGTATATAGATAATGTAATTCTTCGAACTGGTCAGGATTAAAGGGGCCAGCAGGACGAGACGCGGCGTCTGCCGGCGGTCTTGCCAATTCTGGCAAATGGATCGCGCTTGTCAAGGTCCGATTTCTAAACTCAGAGAAGGGGGTCAGGGAAGACTCGTCGAAAATTTATCGGGCAATCCGCTATCGGCGAAGATCAGCTGCCCACGGCCAATTAATTAAATTGTTTCGTTAGCGTCTCTTTGATCCTAACAGTAAATCACTGGTCGGTAATAATTACTAGAATCTTTTACATTAATTCATGATCGCTCGAACTGTTATGTCAATTCATAATTACTAGAATCTTTTACATTAATTCATGATCGCTCGAACTGTTATGTCAATTCATAATTACTAGAATCTTTTACATTAATTCATGATCGCTCGAACTGTTATGTCAATTCATAATTACTAGAATCTTTTACATTAATTCATGATCGCTCGAACTGTTACGTCAATTCATAATTACTAGAACCTTTTACATTAATTCGTGATCACTTGTACCGTTATGTTAATTCATGATTAATTCATCATTCTAAATCATAACGTTCTGTCAATTATACTTCTGTCAATTATATTATTATTAATTATATTATATTATTATTATTAATTATGATCAATTATATTATTATATGAATTATTCATTCGTATCGGCAACCACCGTGAGTTCTGTCGAATCAACTGATCAAAATAATTTCAATAACCGATCTAAACCATTCGAGACACTCTTAGAAACACCTACAAATGCGAACGATTTTTGTTTATTATTTGTTTAATGTTTCAACTATCACTGCGACAGAATCATCGAGAGAACTTTTTGTTATCACTGTTTAGAGTCTGCCGGGGCGCGTCCAGTAATCGCTGGGCCTAACGTTTACCATTCTGGAGACGATCCGGGGAGACGTGATCACCACGTGGATTCCGCGATCGACAGCCGTCCTGCCGGGGTACGATGAACGGCAAGATGAAGACTAACCACTTGACTCGGCAGGTACGAAAAGAAAACGGTTCCGATCGCGGCGCGGAGGGGAGCCAATTAATTGCCCCTATCGCAGTCCGGAGTCTGCTGCCGCATTCGATTCTTCCTCTGCAACCGTTCCGGTCCGATGACGACAGTGCATCATCTGCATGGCCATTAATTAGAGATATTTCCAGCGCGTTCTTTCGACACGATTCAAACCACGATCGGTTCCCGTTCCTCGGAACCAGCTGACGAACGTATACGCCTAGCGTTCGCGTGTCGGACTTCATCGAACTGCAATTATAAATCCCGAGACGCGGACGGCATTTATTTATCATTTCCGGATAGAAATGATAATACATTCTGTTTACGTCGGCTGGCAAAAATAATTGCGGGCATCGCGAACAACGACGGTACAGGACAACGCAACGCACTCGCGAAGCTATCTGTCCGCGGATATCAATTGCGAAGCTTATAAAAAGAAAGCAATGTCGGGCAATCGATACCATATGTAACGTCATGAAATGATATTTCACGAAAATGTCTGAGCATAAGCGTCGAAAATAACGAAAGCGAAAATAACGAGCGATACAATTCATACGAATATGGCATAACGAAATAACATTTTACGAACGAGAGAACAAACAGAAACGATGTTTGTTTCGCCAATTAGAAAATTCCGGCTTCGAGAGAAAAAAAGTACTACGATGATTTAGTGCGAATATGATTTATGTGCTTTCGCATAATTTAGCGCAGGCATCTCGACATGAATTTTCAGGTTCGTCGAAGAGTCCGCTTCTGTTTGGTCACATTGTTAGCGTCTGCGGCGACGCGACGCTTGTTCTCGGATTTTCGGCGACTGTGCACGGCGGTGGGTGACTCGCTGATCAAGGTCGATCAAGTGCAGCATCGCCCCTTCTTTTAGTGAATTCGTTCTAATTACGAACGTCCGTGCCCTAGACGTCGACGCGCGTCTTTACACGAAACGGCCGTTTTGTTACCCAAAAAAAACTGGTCCCACGGCGTTCACCGCTCTAAACCAAAAATCTGAAGCTCAATTTATCGCTCGATGTTCGCTGCGTCTATTCTCGGCCACTGCGAGATCTGAAATGAAACTCTCGCGCTATAAATCTGTCACCTGCAGAAACAGGAAATCCAAACGTACTTAAAAAACGTAACAGCTCGCGGACAGAAATGTTCAGCGACCTTGGACCATAGATCTCGAAGTGGCAGGATATATTTTCTGTGCGTGCAACATCTTCAGAAATAGTTATCCGACATTTTCTTAAAATTTGCAGATGCCGCCTCGAATTTACGAGATAAAGGGGGACGCTGTTCCGGGAATCGTTAACGAAGAGAATTCGGCGGATTCGCAGTCCTGAAACGATTTCTGTCGCGGAATGAAAGGACGATCCGTCTTCGTAACAAATGTTGCCGGAAGAAACCTCGCTCGCTCTTCGAGCTGAAGCAGCAAGGAGTTGATAGAAGCGTCCCGAAAAACTTCTGGAATCGTTTCGAAGAACTCTCTTCCCCCGTATTTGAAGCCGAACCTGTCGAGGATGGCCGGAGGGCCGAAATTACGGCCGCTCGGTCTTCGGCATTGTTTTTTCCCCGCCGGTGAAATTTCGCAACCGCTGTGTTTACACCGGGCCGGCGCGCTGATGCAACGTGCAGGAGTTGCAACGGCCGAGACGTAACGGGTGTTGCGATAGGATTTTACGGAACGGCGGCCAAGAAAAAGGAAACACGGGCTCGCCGGTGGCGAATCGACGCCGGAATTCGGTGTTGAAAAGGGCGCTGACACGACGGGGGAAATCGTTAACGGCCGCCGGTGCTCGTCGGACAGAGGAAAACAGTTATTACGGGCTTCTTTCCTTCCACGGGCGAACTGTAATCCGCCGTTCTCTAGCCAATTACCGGCGTTTCTATCGATATTTTACGACGCCCGAACGTTCACCGCGTTCCTTTAACATCTCCGGCTCTTCTTTCTTTTGTTTCTCGGCGATCCTTAACGGTGCTACCAAAATGGCCGGAGCTTGATGTCAATGAGAACCGATTTAACCGGTCCAATTTGGCCCAGCGATCTTCGTGCACGACGATGAACGTACTGCTTCGAAGTTAACGTAAAATAATTGGGTCGTTGTTACACGGAGGACGATCAGAGGCATCCGAAATCCGCGTCGTCTTCGAGCCGCGATTACAAGACGAGGAGCTACGCAGGCGAATTTAACAGATTCGAGGATTCTAGGTACATGGATTTCCAGATTTCAGGTCAGATAACTGCACAGGCTAGAATATTTGCGTGCGAAGCCTTCGATCGCCTGTCCGTTCGAGCAAATTAGGCTGTGATAACGGTGATCACCGAACTAGCCACGTTTTATCGCGGACTCATTGCCATTTTGTGTTTCGGCGGCCTTCCAGGGACTCGATCGTGTATACAAGGCACAAATGGCTTGACACCGCCGACAATTCCATCGGCAATTCCGCCAGCAATTCCACCGAGAATTCCACCGGCAAGCACGCAGGAAAGTTTCTGTTTCGCGCGGCCGGCGCGCGCGCTCCGTGACGTTGAGAATAGCACGACAAGATTTCGCAAAGACAGCTGATCATTAGACCAGGGAACAAAAAGGAAATTGCGACTTAACGTCGCATCGTTGACAGCTTCCACGCCACGGGAAGTGTCGACGTGGGCCCGAGGGAACTCGAGGCTTATCTGAAACGAAATCCAGCGCGGATAAATTAGAAACGAGAATTTAGAAAACTCAGAGCTCTCCGGGACTTCGAGGATCGAGTGCTTCTGTTGAGTGCTGGCAGCCGTATAATTATACAAAGTAACAGCCAGGTGTAACACTATTTTCTATTCGATTCATTCTAGCTGGCTAACATTTCAACCTAACAAGACGAATTAGATAGAAAGCGTCGTAGAAGTGTTTGACCTATTTTAAAAAATGAACAATTTTTGACAAGGAGATACAGAAACGAGCCGCGAGGCTCGGATAGTCGTATCTCCTCTTCCCAAATTGTCCATTTTCGTTTACAATCTGAGCGACAATTGGAAAGAATTGATTGTAGTACGCGTATCAAATAATATATGAAGTGGCAGAACGTTGGAAACGATTGCTCTATTTTAAGTAGTATTTGTCGGGGAAGAATTGCAGCAGTGTGTTCTGGTTACGCGTTAGCTTCCGTTTATTTGATAAAAATATTATTTACATTGCACAGATATATATATATTTATATATATTTATATGTATGTATATCACTAGCGTCGTTAAAAACGAACGAACAATCAGTGTTTCTGAAAGCTCTTTCCACGACGAAGGCCTTTTGAGAAATGAACAACCAACTGTGCCTCGCTTCGCTCGCTAAAACAACCTTTTTACTGCGAGTCCGTACAAAGTATACTTGATCGCGGTACATTTGCCACGGTACAAGCTTGTGCGAAAGGTCGGCAAAAATTTGTTTCTTTCCGATTTACGAACCTTCGATTTTTCTCGAATCTTCGTCGACACGATCACAGTCCGGTCTTGCAAAGCTTGAAATGCTAGAAAACCTATTATTTCATCGAAGCAATCATTACGATTTCAAGGTGGCTTCCGGGGATCGTAAGACGGTCGTAAGTTGAGACTGTGAACGTGTTAAATACAGTTCCACGAGAGCGTTTCCTTCATTTGTACAGAAGACCGACAATCTTCTCCGTTCGCTCTGTTCTCTGATTATTTCAGAAGAAGACACCGAATTCTCATTTGTTGCTCTGCGCAAAGCATGTTCATACTGTCAGCGACCCAGTCAGCGTTCACAACGAAACTGCAATCATTCCTTTTTAATCGTTGACTCATTTTCCAAGGAAGAAAATCGGCGATTACGGAAATATTCGTTTCATGGTGTAGAACACCGGGTGTCCTGGAAAGTTTCTGCGAATCTTGACCACTCGACGTTCGAACGGCGAATTGAATAAAAAGAAATGAAAACAAGAGTGTACAGATGTTAAAAACGCGTCGTTCGCATGAGTTTCTCCGCGAAAAACTGAACTGGACGCCCGATGGTTTCTCTGAATGGCCAGAAGTTCTTCCGGCAGTCGCTTCGCCTGAGAATCCGACGGTGATCGAAGGAAACGCTCGCGCGCACCGTGTCATTGAACGATCGGTTCGACGACGACAAATGGTCGGATTTCAAAAGAGCTTCCAGCGATGGAACGGGGCGCTCCAGCCGAATGAAACGAGCGTATGAAAACATTGTTAATTCCGAGATTCGTGCTGAATTGATCAACCGGAGGACACGACGCCGTACGCTACCTCTCAAAAAATCGTTCGATGTTCAATTATAATCCTCCGGATCCGTCGAAAGAAAAGAAACGGAAGTGAAGGAAAGACAACGCAAGGTGGCACGTTTATAATTGCTTTATCGTTTCTCTCCAATTACACATGTCAACTTCGGCACAGTCAGTCGCGATTCTCCATGTTCCCCTTCAAAATATACAAAATCAATTTTCTTTTTTTCCCCCGGAACAAGCACAGCCCGTCCACTCTCGCGAAACGCATGAAATTCGCATGATCGTCGTCATTTGCTACTCGCGACTGACTGTTGAAAAGTTTCGGGCTGTTCCCGTTCGCGTTACGTTCGCAGATGGTGTTCGTGAAATTGTATTTTTGAGCGGTTGCGTACGGTGTGCGGACATATTGCGGCATCATTGAGGAAAGAGAAACGAAATAGAGGATCATCGAGACGGATGATCGTTCAGCGTTGCAGCATTGTATGCGTATAAATAGCAATAAACACGTTTAATAGTGTTAATAATACTAATCGTAATCGATAAACGGTGTTACGGTCTGCGAAAACAACCACTAAATGACACACACGCACACGCACACGCACGCACACACACGCCACTGTACAACGAGGTTGCTTCCGGAAGGAAGCAAGATCGTGTCCTCTGGTTCCGGTCGAGACACAGCTCTGTCTCTTAATAAGGTACGGCTCCCGTGTTTCATCCTTAAGTACTGAATACAAGTTCATATTTATCGTCGTTTACGAGCCATTATTATTGTTAATTACTTGTTTATACGTTTTACATTCAACGCGCCACTGTAAACACACCGCGATCCACTATTGCCGATTTTCCATTCGCCACGGTTCTTACCGCCCCCGCGTCGCCCACAGTTTTTCTTTCCACGACCGATTCGCTCGTTTGCCAAAACGATCTCACGTAACACGATAATCGTGATCGTGTCTGAAGCAAATTCGAAAGTTTCTTCGAGCTCAAAAATGAACGACTAAACTCGTTTCTATTTAACATATTGCTAAGAAGAAGAGAATAATAAGTATAAAGCGTTAAGAACACAGCACACTGATCGATATTTTGTTGAAAGAAATATTCGAAGACCAACAGCGAATAAACAATATCTAAGGAATTTAAAATTAGCCATGTACAGCATCATTGTGCAAAATTGTATTGTTTTGTAGAGTAAAATGTTCTACGAACGCGCTGGTAATTCCAGGCTGCAACGCTATATGCGTTTAGGCATAAGAAAATGTTTGAAAACGCTTCAATAGGATTTTTATTTTCATTGAAATCTAACAGAGTAAAGTTCAAGTCCATTCCAGCGCGAAGATCCGCGCGGTCAAACAATGACCAAGGACCCTCGTGAATGGTTGGAAAACAAATGAAATTATAGTTACTTAAACGTCGCAGCAGACGAGCGATCGGTTTTTTCAGTTTCTCGCCTTTCTAATCGTGTTTTAAATATCGATAATTATCAAAGCTACTCCGTTTTACATTTCGTGTATAATAAAATACATTTATTATTAGTCCTGGACCACGTGAAATTTCGCATTTGATCCTCGCGTGAATCACACGACAAATAAAAGAAGTAGTATCACATGGATTACATACGGTGGTCGCCGCGTGACGTTCACGTTCGTTCGGTATGTAACGAAAAGAAATTCAAACGACACACCTCTCCGCATAATATGCGGTCCCCACTTAAAAATATATCATTTGTTCCTCTGCTCGTTTTGCGAAACGTTTTCCTTCGAAGTATGTGTACGATCTGCGTGAGGGATTACGGTGAACTCGTCGACTCGGCGAAGCATTTACACACCTTCCTGACGCTACGGTCCGCATCAAATTAAATGGTCGCTAAAGAATGGCATGCTAATGCCCGCATCATGGCGCTTGATCATGCCCATTACATATATTAAGACCCGATTAGCAAAGTAAGCCGTTCACATGATTCCGATTATTATGAAGTTATACTACAAAAATTTCTATTTGCATATACATCTTTTAGACGATATGCGTATAGATGGATAATGTATAAAATTATGGTGACCGCCATAAAATGTGCAAAATCGCATTGCACAGTAAACATCTACTTCGATTAAACGAAAGAGTTCACGGTATTCCCCCTCGGCCGAAGGTGCACAATAAAAATTTCGTACGCGCGCAAAGTCATGGTAAAAATTACTGCGGTTTTCCTCGCCTACGAATGCCTCGTTTACTTTAACAATTCTATTGAATAGCCTGAACGAAAGCGAACTCGTTTCCGGCGGTCGTACGCAATGGCTTTCTTCCAAAAACAACATCATTCCCTAAACAAATGCCGTTCACATTGAGAACTTACACGTAATCGCCTCTTCTCCATATGTAAGCGTAGCGCGTTCCGCAAAAAATGCAAACTCTGTTCATCACAGCAAAGGGCATAGAACGTGATAGAGAGAGAGAGAGAGAGAGAGAGAGAGAGAGAGAGCGAGAGCGCGCGAACGAAAAAGAAGAACTTCTAAANAAAACGATCTCACGTAACACGATAATCGTGATCGTGTCTGAAGCAAATTCGAAAGTTTCTTCGAGCTCAAAAATGAACGACTAAACTCGTTTCTATTTAACATATTGCTAAGAAGAAGAGAATAATAAGTATAAAGCGTTAAGAACACAGCACACTGATCGATATTTTGTTGAAAGAAATATTCGAAGACCAACAGCGAATAAACAATATCTAAGGAATTTAAAATTAGCCATGTACAGCATCATTGTGCAAAATTGTATTGTTTTGTAGAGTAAAATGTTCTACGAACGCGCTGGTAATTCCAGGCTGCAACGCTATATGCGTTTAGGCATAAGAAAATGTTTGAAAACGCTTCAATAGGATTTTTATTTTCATTGAAATCTAACAGAGTAAAGTTCAAGTCCATTCCAGCGCGAAGATCCGCGCGGTCAAACAATGACCAAGGACCCTCGTGAATGGTTGGAAAACAAATGAAATTATAGTTACTTAAACGTCGCAGCAGACGAGCGATCGGTTTTTTCAGTTTCTCGCCTTTCTAATCGTGTTTTAAATATCGATAATTATCAAAGCTACTCCGTTTTACATTTCGTGTATAATAAAATACATTTATTATTAGTCCTGGACCACGTGAAATTTCGCATTTGATCCTCGCGTGAATCACACGACAAATAAAAGAAGTAGTATCACATGGATTACATACGGTGGTCGCCGCGTGACGTTCACGTTCGTTCGGTATGTAACGAAAAGAAATTCAAACGACACACCTCTCCGCATAATATGCGGTCCCCACTTAAAAATATATCATTTGTTCCTCTGCTCGTTTTGCGAAACGTTTTCCTTCGAAGTATGTGTACGATCTGCGTGAGGGATTACGGTGAACTCGTCGACTCGGCGAAGCATTTACACACCTTCCTGACGCTACGGTCCGCATCAAATTAAATGGTCGCTAAAGAATGGCATGCTAATGCCCGCATCATGGCGCTTGATCATGCCCATTACATATATTAAGACCCGATTAGCAAAGTAAGCCGTTCACATGATTCCGATTATTATGAAGTTATACTACAAAAATTTCTATTTGCATATACATCTTTTAGACGATATGCGTATAGATGGATAATGTATAAAATTATGGTGACCGCCATAAAATGTGCAAAATCGCATTGCACAGTAAACATCTACTTCGATTAAACGAAAGAGTTCACGGTATTCCCCCTCGGCCGAAGGTGCACAATAAAAATTTCGTACGCGCGCAAAGTCATGGTAAAAATTACTGCGGTTTTCCTCGCCTACGAATGCCTCGTTTACTTTAACAATTCTATTGAATAGCCTGAACGAAAGCGAACTCGTTTCCGGCGGTCGTACGCAATGGCTTTCTTCCAAAAACAACATCATTCCCTAAACAAATGCCGTTCACATTGAGAACTTACACGTAATCGCCTCTTCTCCATATGTAAGCGTAGCGCGTTCCGCAAAAAATGCAAACTCTGTTCATCACAGCAAAGGGCATAGAACGTGATAGAGAGAGAGAGAGAGAGAGAGAGAGAGAGAGAGAGCGAGAGCGCGCGAACGAAAAAGAAGAACTTCTAAATAGCGTATCTATCGTTGCAAGCGGATACACAACGCCTCCATTTAATACTTGGTTTGCATCGGTTTGCGGTTCGCCGCGCGTGGAAACAGTAAGCATTCTCTGTATAATGTATCTATATATATTAACATCTCATCTATAAGCGAAAAAACGAACATATGTAGCTGAACGCGCTAGAAACGTATTATATCCTATCCGGTGTTTCTATCAAGTTTAATGAACCCTTCGCAGTACACCGTAGGAACAGAATGGTTCGGATTAACACTTTGCCTATCGGCGGGGCTCTTAACAGTCTTTTCTAAATCAGTGATAAATATGTTGTGACCTTTCAGCGAATTGTCCGGCAGCGATAACAATTTCAATCGTGAACTATTTAATCCTCTATGAGATCAGTATTTAGAAGAAAGATTATTGACTGCGATAGCTAAAGTGTTAAGTCTTTCTTTAGAGAAGCGTAGAAAGTTGAACTGTATTGCGAAGGGTCGACACGTCGACGTAACTGACGAGTACGTGTACCATCTCATAAATACACGAGCTCTTCACTGTTTTCATCTTATGCAAGCCAATTGGCCCTTTGCGTTCTTCCTGGGATACCCTGTACCCATCGAATAAAACTCTAAACCGTGAAACGAACGTCAAAGAAACGGAAGTTCTCATTCGCCGGAATGGGAATACCATTTCGGCCGATGTGCGTCAAACTTGTTAACAAACAAAGAATTTCGGCACGAAAAATTTGTCTCGTCGCGAGAAAACGAATTTCTTTCCCAGTTGCACGACACGCAAACGGCTTAAATACAATATGCATCTCTAAAATAGAACAGACTCAAAAACTCACTCGTATAAATGATAAAATATAGTGCGCATAAAATCCCTAACTCTATTAAATAATTTCTATTAAGCGCTTAACACGGGAATCGTCTAAAAACTAATTACATATTATGAATATAATGTAATAGCATTATATTAACTTAATAACTTTATATACCAACAATGTGCAGTATCGTGATATAAACATTATACCGTGTCGTCCCGATTCGTACGACAGTGTAGACGCAACAGTTTCGAACAGATCCTTCGACGAAAAAACATGATCGGGGTAGTGTTATTGTTTCTTTTAGTTTCTGTTTCTTAGATAAACCGTGTGTGTCGACCTTGCCGTTTGATAAACGACGATACTTTCGAAACAACAATAAGAATTACGTATCATGATACTTGGAGACAAGGTGTATCGATGAAAATAGAAACGCAGGGCCCGAGTATCATCGTTGTTCGAACATTTTACGATGCTATAAATCTGTTCTACAGCCGATATGAATTAATCTCTCCGCGCATCGATCCACGCTGTACACGGTTTTTTTCGATGATTCTTGCCGCCAACGAGTAATTAACTTACGATTCTAACAACAAGAATCATATAAAAATTGGTGCGTACTTCGGCTTGAACACTATTCAAGTGTAAATTCCAAGTATAAAAACTTGTTACGCATAATAAATTACAATTCGCGGGGAAACCTCCGCTAATTAAAAAACAACAGTTTTTTTTACCATCTTTCTCGAAACGTAAAAAAAAGAACGAGCGCTACTACGCGTACCGGGTGTACAACTATTTTACAAAAGTCTACATTACTAATCTTCACCCCCTTAATTGTTCTGGTATCACCGTTTTCGGTTTTCACGAGCAACCGAAATTTTGTTATCGAGTATCATTACCGTTCGATCGGATGTCCGCGGTTTGTTAGAAAATTTATAATCAGTCACTTCTCGTACAAATGAATAGAATGTTATGTAGCCAGGCGACTCCTGGCCCGAGGCAATGGTCACGTTAGCAATGATTAAGTTAGTTAAATAACATGCGCAGTTACACTTTCGTTACAAGATAGCACGGGTGAGATTCTTTGGAGGAGTTATTTGTCGGGTGACGAGACGAGATCATTCATCGGGCGTCCTTTGCCGTTAATTTCTCTATTAATTCTTGTAACGGCGCTAATTCTCTTCTCTCGATCAAATTGAATTCCTATCGCACAGACAGATAAAAGGCAATTAGAAATACAATCGTGATAGATGATTATTTATCATTATTCAAAAAACCGTAGAACGATAGCGAGCGTCTTGAATTACCTGAACGAAAAATATGAAGTGTTTGAAAGATGTGTTTAAATGTGCTTCTTCCCCTAACTGCACCACTTCGCTGAAGTGTTGATGGTAGATATGGGCGTATACTCTGAACAGTCGTTTCAATATTGTCTTCGCAATGGACAGAAAGTTTTTTGGGAAAGGAACACCTAAAAAATCGAATCTATCGTTAGTATGACATTTCATAACGTAAGAATACTTTGTCTAGCAAGGTAATATCGCTCACCGATCTTGGAAGGAAATAATGTTTCATCGTCTAACTGATCCTGTACCCAAGTCATTAAGTAGTCGATATACTTTGGAGCAGAGCACTTGATAGGCTTCTTGACGGTGTGTCCGTCGGCCCAATGATACTCGTATTTTGGTCCTGCAGACATGATGGGACAACTTTCTTCGGTGCAGAATTCTGTGATAGTGCCATACAACATGTTGATTTGATTGAAGAAATCAACAGCTGAAACCACAATAGAATTATACAATCTGCAATAGAGAACGAATAACAATTTATGTAATTTTTTTACATACTGTTCACTGCAACCCATTCGTTCAAGTCTTCGCCCTCTGGAAGCATAACTGCCAGTCTCAAATTCCCAGATCCCAGGGTGGCAGCAGCATGCTTCATCAGGTCATACTGATGAGTCCCCTCGGGAATATTCTTCTTTGGCTTGAAGGTTTTCGAAGATCTGCTTCCGCTTTAAAAATTTGCAGAAATAGTTTTCTAACATATGGATTTTCTGGTTCTCCGAAAAATCAAATGTAAATCACTGTTTTCCATTTAACAAATGCACAAATAAGTGGCCACGAAGCATCAGCTACATGCAAGCTAATAAAATTTTCATACAAGGCCCTAGCAACAGCATGATCCGTTGAATAGTATTGAATTAATTCTGCACAAGAATGGTACCCGAACGAAATGATCCGAAATACTCCGAAAATAATTCGAAATTCTTTTCAATTTCAAATGCTACGGAAAAAAAACATGTAACTTAATAGAACCATTATTTAAAAACTTGATACAGGCATTATGAATAATTGGAGTTTGCACAAACATCCGTAGATAGTTTATTCGGAGCAGAAATTGCATCGGGCATGAAAGTAAGCCGAGACTGTTTACTGTTTACCAAATGTTGTGTCAGCCACAGCTCCGATCGGGGCGGACGTGAGAAAATCGATCGATTTGAATCACGCGTGAGGACCTCCACCCTGATACCGAGCGTATCGCGGTGAGAAAACTGCATTTCTTCCAGCGATAACGAGTGTCTACACGATAAACTTGACGTATGACGAATACGGTGCGCGTGGAACGGAGCACGGGTGAAAGCGGCAAGAAGAGGAGGAGGCCGAAGAAATCGTAGAGAGTAAGAGACAAAAAAACGACAGAAGGAAAGAAACGATGTATTTTTTCAAAGAAATTATGGTATCACGCTATTTTTAGGTGATCCACCGATTGGTTGATCGGGATGTGCACGAATTCGAGCGGAACGGGCCCGAAACCCGAATTAGCCGAGCTTAGACGAACGAAAACTAGCGGAGGCGGTTTCTGTCAATATTTGCTGCCCGGTTCGCAAAACGTATTGCCAATTCTTTTCTACGTTGTCATTCGTCGTTCGTGAATATTATTAACGTTAACGTCGGGCTCCGTTACGCAGGGTCGTTTTTCTTATTTTGCTTCGTGGATCCTGCGGGATCGCTGGACCGCACTCGGTAGGAAAAGTCGATTTTCACTCGGGACAAGAAGGAAAAAAACAACTTACAATAGGAAGCTCATTGTGCGGCCGTGCGATGACCTGTCGCTGATATTCGATTCACAGTTACGCGGCCGCACGTGTCGCCGATTCCCTCCGAGTCGCACGACACTATCAACCTCGAACGTAGACGATACTCCTCGGTATCCACCATACACTATCTCACGGTTCTACAGTAGACGTTTTGTCAGCTACGTTCTCCGAGATCCCTCAACTTCAATCGTCCGTTCTGCCGTACGGTAGGCGATCTCTTTGAATCCTGCCACGACCCCTGCCGTGATTACAGAACGTATTAAAACACCGTCAGATAAAGGGTTCAAATGGCGCTAGTGTTTCAAACGCATAACGGTTGCTCTACGATAACGACAACTCGTTTTGCAGTAAGTTTTACTAAATAGTTTTAGCGAATAGCCCTTGGTTTGTGCTCTTTGGTTGCCTGATTATGCTACAATTAATATTTTTAATCGAATCTGCATTGCGGATATCTGGGGCGATTGCGGCGCCTCTTGCGGTGAGAAAATGAAGCTTCTTTCGAGGTACGTACAGTGCCAATTACACCAGTGGCAAAACGCTCAAATTGTTAGCCAAAATCGACAGTCGGTAATTTGGCTAACAATTTGAGCGTTTTGCCACTAGACTAATTGGCGCTGTACGGACCCCGAACGGAGCTTCATTGTTTCTCCGAAAGAGGCGCCATCATCGCCATTATATGCGCAATGCAGGATCGCCTAAAAACAATAACTATGACAAAATTAGATCATAAAATAATAAAACAGAATTAGTACAGAATTTCTCAGGAGAATCTATATATAAAAACAAATGACCCATTCCTCGAACCTGTCAAATGCATACATATGTATCTACTCATACAATAAGAAAAGGTCTTGCGCAGATTTGATGCATTTAGGAACATTGGAGTAGGTGTTTCCTGTTAAATTTATTTATGATTATTAATTAATATTATTGATGATTATTAATTATTAACAATTTATACGTCAGCTGTATCATTCAAATTTTACTCATACAACCATCATCTTCTATTTCATATATAAGAATTTTATTGATACATACTACAGTTTCAAATATGTTTTAATGGCCTAAATGTGAATAGTACTTTGAATTTCTTTGATTAAAAAATTGAATACACTTTTATTTTAATTTGGAATTTACAATATAACGTCTTTTATTTTAATATAGAAAGAATGTAATTATTAGAGCTCTTATTGATAATTATTTGCAGAATCACCTTAGTGATTGTGAACCAGCCTTGAACACCTTTGAAGCGGACACCATTTTGCTGGTAGATTGGCAAAGCGTGGTGTTGGCCGAGCGTTTGCTGTCAATTAAAATTAATTTGTGATTTTTCTCGTCCATATTTCAACACTGAATATTTGTAAGTATAAACAAAATGTTATGTTTTTACGGGTTATAAGATTTTTCTCAGAAAAAGCCTACAGCAAAGTTTTAACAACATTACTCATTCTTCAAAAACGAGATTTTTGCTACGAACTTTTTACATTTTTGTAAAATATTCGTTTTTTCTATTGGTATCAACTTATTGTTAATTTCTTGTATTAACAACACATTATGAAGTTTTTGCTACATACCTATATAGTTACTTCAAGTTTCTTTCTTTTATGTGACCTTCAAATTTTTTTGTCTGTTTTATATGAAATTAATGCAAAAATATTTATAATATTTTACCTCTGTTCATGTAAAACTCTGGTACTTCATTATGGTAAGAAGACTTGTGTTCCAGATCAGATACTATGTAGTGAATTTATGCAAATATTTTGTTTTTCTTTAGTTTATATCATTCAATTATATCATTTACAGCATAGTCCAGATACAGTTTGAAGAAATTTGTTGTAGATATTTATTAGAATTTTGTCTTAAATTACAAAGATAGAGTAAACTTTAATTTATGAGTTCTTAAGAACTAAAGGTTATTTGATAATATGAATTTACATAAGCACATTTGCATTATTTTGTAACATGTCCTATATTAGATTTCAGCCATGTCGAATGGTAGCGGGGATCATGATGACGAAGGTTATGTTGTTAAACTACGTGGACTTCCGTGGTCTACTACCGTTGATGAGATTATGAAATTCTTCAGTGATTGTTCCATTTCAAATGGCAAAAATGGTGTTCATATGACTATGTCTAGAGAGGGCCGTCCTAGTGGAGAGGCTTATGTTGAAATGGATACACCTGAAGATATTGAAAAAGCTTGTAAGAGAGACAGAGATCATATGGGGCATCGTTACATAGAAGGTAAATTAAGATGTATACAAATAGTTTAATTTTCTACTAGCAACGTAATACAATATATATTGTATACATTTGATCATTTAATGAATTTATGAAAACAATGAGTTTTCCTTTAATCGTAGTCTTCAAAGCAAAAAGAGGTGAAATGGAATGGGTAGTCAAAAGGAGTGGTTTAAATCTGGAAAATGCTATGGATGATGGTTGTGTGAGACTACGTGGCCTGCCATTTGGATGCTCCAAAGAAGAAATAGCACAGTTCTTCTCAGGTATTTCATACAATATACATCATCTTGTATTTGCAACTATTTTTTCTTACAATTGATAACCAATGTATCCTCAAATTTTTTTTTAATCAAAATATTTCCCTCTTGTACGATTTTTGTTGATTAAAAAAATAATCTCAAATCACAGAGACCAAAATTCCTCTTTTGTATTCAAATATCAATGCATTTTAGAATTTCATACATGTTTTTATAATAATCAGAGTCTCTGTTCTTCACAATTATCAAACTGCCTGAGTTAAGATTTAAGACTTTTAAAATAAAAATTCCTATGTTCTACTAGCCTTGAAGCAAAAGACTTTTATTATAATTTCCTTGCGCTTTCTATTTTGTTCGGAATACATCTTTGTTTTTATTAAAGGTAGAACTTAATTCTTAACTTTGGCCTAGAGAAATATATTTTTTTTATCTTTCTTAAATGAATATATGTATCTGTATATTTTTTGGAGCGAGACGTTTTGCACATAATGTGCAAAGGATATTAAAATCTTGCTTCTTTATAAGGGTTTTAATAAACTGACGATACTTTAATTAATAATGGGTGTTACGCTACAATGTCGATGTTTGATTATGTGTGGGTCAGGGTTGGAGATATTGCCGAACGGGATTTCACTACCGACAGACTACACGGGCCGCAGTACTGGGGAGGCTTACGTTCAGTTTGTTAACAAAGATGTTGCGGAGCGCGCTCTGCAGAAACACAAGGAAAAGATAGGACACAGGTGGGGCACTGACGCTAGCTGGGTTTGGGTATACTTATGACTTTTCAATATCATTTTATGATCGTAGTATATGTAGGTATATAAATTTTGTTAGTAAATAGCGGGAAAAAAATTTGTCAATAGATGCGGTTTTTTTATTTCATTCCAATATTAGCAGAAGTTGATGAAACATGAACAAATGCTGAAAATTGTGTAACAGCTTCTTTGAATCGCTTGATTCATCTGTTAAGTTTTATATGTGAAATTGGTTACATAAAGAAACTGCCTCTATCCGAATACAATTAAAAGAAAGTTAGTCGTACGTAAGCGAAAGTACTGTTGGCCCAACTGAAACCTATGGGTGGGTGCCGGGCGGGAGGTACCCCCTTACATCGTCACCAAACCCCATGGGAGGTGGGTAGGGCTAACCCAGGATGGGTGGGCGCTACAGAGGTAGTTATCATCGATCTTAATCTGGCACATCTGTTTGACAATTGCACAATTGTACGTTTTATGCAAACAAAACCAAGAACCAATATCAAGCTCAAAGGCTTCGCACAATTTTCTTTTATTTTAACAAAGTATCACTGGTAAAGTACAGCTCGTAATTGCACGAAAATGTTTTTACTGTGATGGTAGTACGATGCGCTAACTCTGACGTTCTAGCTTTCTCCAAGGTCATGAAACTGTTCAATTTCTGAAAAAACATTTCTTTTAGTTGTATCGCTTCTCGATACACGGTCTTAGTTTCTTTATAATCGAATTGCATAAACTGCAATTGTAATTGTCATATACCTGAGGATCATCAGCATCTCAAAGGCTAGGGTGACGTAGGTACGACAGAATGCAATGTCACCGTGGGAGGGTATCTACACAGGTTTAATAAATCCGTGGAGGTGCAGTATGAACAGTTAATCTGTTACAAAGTCTTCAATATGGATCTCTTCTTTGAATCATTTCTTTCTTTTTTTGTTTCTTTTCTCGCATCACACAATAATCGAGTTACTATACTACCTGCTGCGCGCAGAAGATCTAATCTTGGTTTCACGTTACCCATTTTTACATATCTCTTTTTGCTTTTGTTTCAAAATTCGAACTTTGTGCTCATTGATATTTTTGCATTGAAGTTTCCTATTCGAAGGCAGCCGGTTACAAACGGCAGTAACGTTTATGTAAGGATATTAACAATGTTAATATCGATCTTAACAGATACATCGAAATCTTCCGAAGCAGTTTGTCAGAAGTACGAGCTAGCATTGGACCAAAAATGAGAGGTGGGCCAATGGGTGGCTTTAATCAGAGACCAGCTCCCTATGATAGAGGTGCGCGGTTCGGTGGGATGAACCGATTTAGCAATAACGGCAGAGGTTCTAGAAACAGAGGTAACAATCATCTCAAATTATTATTTAAAGTAAATTTAGTCACGATTAATCTTACGATTTTCACATTGTCGAACATACGGAAGGTAAGACGCCTTATTGATCTTGCTTTATTACTTCTTGATACATTATAGACTTCGACGGCGGTCCCTGGGGAAGCGGTAACAATTTTGATTCCCGTGGCGGAAGTATGGGTATGCGTGGAGGTCTAGACATGAAGGGCGGTAACTTCAGAGGCAGTGGTGACACATGGGGTGGCAATTCCGGCATTCATGGCATACACATGCGTGGATTGCCATTCAAAGCAACAGAACAAGATATAGCTGATGTAAGTTCTCGCTTGAAATTAATTCATCTACGATTGCAAAATACTATAACCACAATGAAATTGATTACAGTTCTTCAGACCTATTGAGCCAGTAAATGTACGGATTATTCTTGAAAATGGCGGGCGTCCATCAGGAGAGGCTGATGTTGAATTTGCGACTCATGAAGAGGCTGTTAAAGCAATGTCTAAGGTTCTTATATTTTACCGATAATAGAAATAATAATTATTCTTCACCTAAAACTAATACTTAATATATGTTACAGGACAAAAGTCACATGTCTCACAGGTACATTGAATTATTCCTAAATTCCACGGGTGGCTCAAGCGGAATGTCGTTGGGCGGCATTGGAAACTTTTGCGGAGGTATATTTTTGAATGAAAAAAGAAGTGATTTCAATTTATTTTTAAAGCGTATATAAATTGAGATTTTAATTATTTGTTTTACCAGGTTTGGGCAATAACTTCAGGCCAGGATATTCTCCAAATCGAGGCTTCAGTTCTCAGTTAGGAGGGAATAATTATAATAGTTTTTGAGGCCGGGTATCGCGTTTCTTACGCTATCGACGGTAAAACGCATTGCAAATCAAAGTTTTTAAACAGTGAATTGTATCATCAATGACAATTTGATTTTGAGTTTGCGTTCAATTAGAAATTAATTTACTGTTTCGCTCTATACTTAATAATCGTATCGGGACACGTGTGATTACGTATGGCGATACATACATGTTAATTTTAAGCAGGACATATGAAGAACTTATGTTGCACTTTTGATAACAATATAGTATTATAACTATCAATAAACATTATTTAGTTTAGATACGTTAAGGAAATAAATAAGAATTCATTTATTGCAAGTTCTATGTTTCTACGTTTCAATACAATTATAAATTGATTTGATTTTGTTGGATAAAACAAAAAATAAGGAAGAAATCTAAGTCACAGGAATTGTTCAATATTTTCCTTATTTCTTTTCTTCTACACACACATATAGTTTTAAATGCATTGTACATCCGCTACTTAATTAAGACCTTATTGAGAAGTGTTGCAAATTCGAATATAGTTATAATAATAAGCGTATATATAAATTCTGTAATAACAGCTTCGACAAGTTACTGACAGAGCTAGAAATTAAACATGTTTGCATTCGTGCGAAATAATAGTTACTATACTTATCGGATGCAAATAATCAACG